AGCCGCAAGAGCCAGTGACTCGTCGGATATTCCGATCGTCTACTCCCGCGGTGTGATGGTGCTCGCTCAGCATGTGATGGACTGTCTCACCTCCGTCTCGACCAAGAGAGCAAAGGCCTCGAAATCTGCGTGTGCTCAACTCGCTTTGCAGATTCTGCTTGTCGCGGTCGGACTTCGCAGAGCAGCACTCGTGGACGCGCTGAGCTTGAGCGTCAAGCAAGCATCGGCAATCAGCAAGAAGCTAGCGGGCCTCAGCAGGTCGACAAGAAGCGAACACCTTGTCGGAGTGCGGTTGCTTTTGCATGCTCCAACATCTCAAACTTTCATCGTCAGCACGCAACAGAATCTGTGGTCTGATGTCAGGAGCTTGACACACGAAGCTGACTCGCCTCCGATTGCTGGTTCGGGGCTGTGGATTGACGCCCGCTCTACAGCACAGCACGGCTCACCGACGATCTCCTCGCCTGACCCACATGTCTGCAGTCTCATAAGTGCGGTCCATCAAGCCATTTTCTCCGACGACACTGCCGATGTGCTTGTCATCTTTCCTCAAGAAGTCACTGCCGCTCCCTCGCATTGCCCGAACGAAGCTCTGCTAGTTGGCGTAGCGCTAGCGGGCTTCCTGTTGGAGTACGGCGCAGTCTACTGTATCCACGAACCGTCGCACGACGCACTTTGTTACGACGTGCGGCCTCTCCGATCTGCAGAGCAATCCCTCCCAGAGGCTGAGTTCGCGGCTTCTCCGATCAACTGTCTCGGCTCGCAGCCACTCGTCTTGTTCAGGGTCCTCTTGTGGATCGATAGCTCGGAACAGAGCTTCGAGCTACTGGCATTTTCGGTGCCGCAGTGCTTGTGCTCTGACGACGCCATTGAACGCCAACGCATGTCCCTTGGCGACACCTTTCAGGCTCGGATCGATAGTCTCTCCATCGGCGCTATCTTCGCGAATGGTCGCATCACTGTAAACGTAGCCGCAGTCATCTTGCCACAAGTAGCGCTGTAACAATCTAAGACATGTCAGCTCGCGGTGTGATCATGAATTGACTGTCTCGCAGCAGCTGAACATACCATTGACCCGTCGCATCTGCATCACCTTGAGAGCAGCAGGTTTCGCTCGTTGACCTGACCCAAGACTTGCTTGTCTTGCACCGCAAGCTGTGGTTTGCAAACACTTGCGCTTCGTGTTGCTAATTGCGCGATCTCCTTTGTCGTTCGGAGAACGGACCTTCGAGCTCGTCTGGCTGCAATGGTAGCGAGGTGGTGCGGACTGGAGCACTTTCCGAACTGATTACAGGTGGAAGCGTAGAAGGCGCTATCGACACTCTCCTACACAACCTGAACTCACCTGCGCCGGGAAGCTAGCCGCTCTTCGCTTATCGTACGAAGTAATGACATGTTTTCCTTCATTGCGTTCACAGGAGAAGCTCCGAATGATTGTCTGAGATGCGTTGGTAGACTTGCCTAAAGCGAGTTTTCGGAGTAGATGCGGAAACAAGATATGTGCGACCTAGATCGAGTTGTCTCGGACTTCGGAGTACGAACAGGAACCCCATAAGAAGCACACGAACAAGTCATGAACCTATGAGCGATCTCGAAGCCGCCTCGACGATTGAAGGATCGGTAACCGGGAATGCAGCGTCGTCACACGGCAATGCCATACGGCATGAGTCACGGCAAAAGTCACATGTCGAATTTACAAAGAGGTGGTTCAGGCGACGATGCGACCCGACAAAGTCGCAAGTCACACGTCGAAGTCACAAAATGCTGTAGATTCGTCTCGCTCGAAGCTACAATGGCCTGACGAGTAACAGTGAACAGTCGCACCGCGTTGAAAGATCCGCGCTTGGAGGGCGGGCGTAGGATGCCAGCGTCGACAGTCTCGGAGTTCATGACACCTGGTCTGTCTAACGCACTCCGAGACTGCGCAAGAAGACCTTGCTTGTTTGTTGCGATGTATTCACCTATGTCCGTTCATGTAGCTTCTGCGAGGTCGTGCCGAGCCAAACGGCGTAGAAACGACGACGTATTCTCTGTCCCCCAGACAGACTTTCTTTAAGTCGCGATCTGCTCACCTTTGTCCTCATGCTCGATCGTGACTAGCTCCTTCTGAGCACTGACAATAGTAACAGGACTACTCAACACATCGACCTCCGATCAAGGATCGATTGTCTCACGGTGCCTTCACCCGTGTTTGACTCTCTGTGTCCGCTTCAAATTGAGGGAAGCAAGTTTCGAAGACAAGCGAGCGTCCACGGCCTCGGGGGAGCCGCCACGGCGCCAAAAGCTGCTTTGAACACCGTCGCTGTTCGCAGTACACTCCGTACATGCTACACAACAGTCGCTAAGAAATGCGAGCCCTTCTACTTTGATCGTCCGCGCCCAAGCTTCTGCAACTCGCAAAGTTGTCGATGTAACTAACGTGTACTTCATGATCGGCGAAAAAAAATGCACACGTCAGCATATCATTGCCGCTCACTACACCTCAATCTCACTCTCAGTCTCAATCTCGATGCCGAAAGCGCACAGTCGTCAATATGAAGGGGGGAAAGGTTTTTTGTTTGCATTGCGTCGTCAATCAACGTGAGAGACGAGAGACGAGAATACAAGAGGGGGAAAGCTCGAAAACAGGAAGGGGTTTACATTTGACTCCGCGTTGAAACCAGGGGGAAAAACGCGGGCTTGGAAGTTTGATTGCCTTTCCATCATACCAATGGCAAAGACAGGTTGGATGATCAAGAAGAGCCATCAGATCACGAGCGCGCTGAGTGAAATTGATTGCTATTTTACTTCAATGAGTGCAGAATCGGTCTGTGTGCAGAGGGTGATGAGCGGCTCAAGAGAGGCGAGGGAAAGGCGGCACACAGGCGGCAGGCAGGTGGCAGGCAGGCGATGTAAAGGCGGCACACAGGCGGCACACAGGCGGGAAGGCATCCACCGAGCAGATAGACTAAGCGGGGGTTAGTAGTCGCGACGTCCGTCTTCGACGGCCGCCGCTCCAACAGGAGTATGAGGGCACCTTTCGTCACTTTCGTGCTTTTTCTCTTGTATCGTTGAGGAAGTCATCGATCTCACACTTGAATCATTTGCGACGAACGACCGTTTGAAATTGAATCGCGGCAACGCTGAGGGTACGTCTCGCCTAAGTCTTTTTCACGCAGGGAGCCGCATCTCGCGCGGTTGGATGTGCGCTGACGCGCGATTGCTCGACACAGACTGGCACTGAACGGCGAGCTTGCAGAGCTATTCTGACGCTCCATTCGACTGTGAGGCTGCAGAACGGTTCTTTGACGCGACGATGCTCCCTTCGACTGCGGGGTCTCAGAAGGGTTCTGTGTCGCACCGATGCTCGATTCAATCGTGAGGCTGCAAAACGGCTCTGTGCCAGCGCTACACTCGGTGAGCTTTCACGTCTTGCTCATACGATCGAAGCAGTTCAGTTTTCATGAAGGGTTTGCTATTCTGAGCCCCTCCTCGCCGTGCAACGGCGGTACGAGGTTGAACGACGAGGTGGTACGAGATCCAGCTGTGTGGCGATATGCACGAGGTCGGAAAATCATACACTGGTGTGGTGCCTAAACACTGCTGAGAGGCCGAGTATTCTATCGGAGAATCATACACTGGTGTGATGCTAAGACACTGCTAAAATGCCCAACATATTTACCGGAAAATTTTACACTGGCGCGGTGCTGTAACATTGCTAAGATGCCTTGAACACCGGCGGGGAATGAACACTGGTGCCACGCGCCAACAGCGCTGACACTGCTCTAGTGCAGTTCATTTTGTGGCGCTCAGATTGTGCATGCACGTGGCTGCAAACAAAAGCCGATCGTGCATGCAGCTTTGCTCGACGTGATCCTCGCCGCTCACGCAGTACCGCTCGGTGGTTTTGAGGGCTGGCAAGCTGAATCGACAAGGAGACTTTCGTTGAGTACAAGATGGTGTTATTACTGAGCTGAACAAACGATGAGGTGACTACTAAGCTGAGCAAATATTGGCTGAGCGGAGGAAACGACGGTGTATTGATGTTGCGAGGGTTTGCTGCCGGCCCGACCCTCTCCTAGATCGCTCACAAGCACTTCAAACAACGAATGACATTGATTTGCCTCCTCTCACGAACGAGGAGCCTGCTGGGCAGCTCGCTGGCAATGCAAGCCACGACGAGACTGCCATCGAAGCGGTGAGCGGCTGTGCGATTTTGGTAGAAGATTCGATTTTTTTTGGCGCGCTGTTGTGGCTGGCTGTATGCGCAGTTGGACAGGTTGGCGTTGACGTCGGCGTCGACGTTTCGTTCGCTGTCGGCTCATCAAGCAAGCTTCAGTGTGGTTCCGTTGCGATTGTGTGCGAATGTCAGACGCTCCAGCAATGCTTGGAGTGTGAGAAAACGAGCGGTGCAGCAACGAGCGGCGTGCTGTGCAGGCTCCGTGTGGAAATGCTCAAGGATGCAGCTCGACGGTGTGCAGTTCGTCGAGACTGGGCAGTGCAACGAAGCTCCATCGTTCGCTGTGCATAGAGACTGTATACATGGCTGAAGCTCGATGCCTTGCCGTGCATTACGCCGCTCGATAGTGTGCAGTACCGCGAATGTGCAGATCGTCGAAACAGAGTGCAGTGCTCGCAATGAGCTCGAGACGGTGTAGGTATATGAATCGTCTGTGTGTCTTTCGTCGTTGTCGTCGCTCCAACAACATCTCTTTCTCGACAAGAATCGCCCGCTCGCTAAACAGTAAGTAGTCATGTACACACAGCATCGACGTGAATGGTACTGACATTACTCGGTCTCTATCTACAGTGATTCTCGACTTTTTCGGCAAGACTCGTCCCACCACGCCGGTCGTGGTCAAGACGCTCAAGAGAGCTGCAGCGGTGCCTGCCACGGACGCTGCCTCGCCGTCGCCCTCCTCCTCCTCCAAGCACAACGCCTTTGCCGCTCGCAAGGCTCAGAGGGACGAGGTTGCAGGCACCTCGGCTGGCAGCAAGAGCCGCGAGCCCGACTCGCCCTCGACGCCGTCATCGACCCCCTCCTCGTCCAAGACGTTTGGATGGACGCCTGCTTCGAGGCTCCTTCGCTCAACGCCGCCCTCCTCCACCCGTCCCTCGCAAGCGTCTGTCTGGACGCCGTCGTCGCCTCCTTCTCCCTGTGGAGCTTCGACGCTGCCCGCCTCCCTTTGGCCGCCTCTGCCGTCGCCGCTCCCTTCGACCCCCCCTCGCCAGCCCTCGTCGTCGCCGTCGCCCTCCTCGCAGACCCCGCCGACCGCCTCTGGGCCACCCTCTCGACCTGGCCGCTTCGCCCCCAGGTCGTTCAGCCTGCGCGCAGAGGGTACAGGCAACCGTGGACTGTCTCGCCACGGTCACCTGGCCAAGGTGGCTGGTCGCAAGGTGCTGGGCCTGCCCGCTCCTCTGCCCATCCGTCGACTGGAGAGGTCGCAGGTGGCAGGCGCTGGATCGTACCCCGGCCGCAACGGCATCAAGAAGGTGAAGGTCGTGATCAAGCACACCTTCTACAAGCCTTCCAAGACGGACCCTCGCCAGTACTGGTACTGGTGCGTGTCGGTCAACGGGTACGGCAGGGATGTGCAAAAGAAAAAGACCAACTACCTCAAGTTGGTCTTTGCGACAGAGAGGGAGGCGAAACGGTGCCAGGCAGTGTGGAAGCGGCTGATCGCCCAGCACCACGCCCTCCTGGACTTCAAGGAGATCCGCAACCTGGTCAGGGAGGTGGTGTACCCGTTGGAGGTCCAGGAGCAGCTCGACGGCGGCCGTCGGTTCAACTTTCAGAACCACGGCGTCGAAAGCATCCTTCGACACCGACGGTGCCAGCTGTTTCGCGATGGCGTCTGTACGGTGAGGCACGTGTGCTTCTCGTGCAAGAGGATCGTCCCTTGTATGGAGGTGGGCGTCGAAGTGCAGTGCTTCGACTGCTCGATCCGGCGATGGGGGCAGATCTGGGGGTCGTCGAAGCTGGAGGATACGGTCAAGCTGATCGCGAAGAGGGATGCGAGGCGTTCTGGTGCTGAGGAGAGTCTGTCGATCACAGAGGCTGGTCGACTGCACGCCGATCCCCACCGTCGCTCGCCGTTTGCCATGTCGGCGGCCAGATTCCTGCACGAGCAGAACGACGCTGCCAAGGACGAGCTGGTGGCGGTGTTGAGGCGGGTGATGCGAGGTGGTGCGGTCGGCAGCTTGGCCAGCGATCCGACTGCTGTCGCTGTGGCAGAGGTCGATCGCATCGGCGAGACCTACGCCTTCAGCCTCTTCCTCAACGTCAAGGAGAGGCTCACCGCTTTCTCGCCGAGTATCGACCTGCGGTACCAGGTCGATGGCGTGCACAGGCTGGAGTCGTGCTGGGTCGTGCCGCGGTGGTACAACCTCGCCAAGAAGCACGGTCTGGGTGTGATGGTCGAGCTCACCATCCTTGCCGCCCAGCTCCGGCACTCGCACTCGCAGGGCCGTCTGCCTGCAGCCCTGGCCGACATTGCCAGGCTCGCCGCTCGCCTGCAACCTCTGGACGAGGTATCGCAGGAGTGGCACACGCTCAAGGGGCAGGCGATCCAGGGTCGGCAGAGACTCGTTCTGGCGGAGCAGATCGAGATCGTCGAGCAGCTCTTCCACGGCAGGGCCAGGGATGCCGTGGACGTCGTCCATGCGCTCGCTGATGGGCCGTACACCATGGCGATCACCAACAACGGGGTGACCGTCAAGGAGCTGCGCAAGATGTGGCCCGAGACGAGCCCTGCGGTGCAGGGCTTTGTGCAGGGATTCGTCGAGCCTTTCCTCGCAGCACACGCACACACGAACACGCTCAAGAGGAATGGCGATGGATTTCCGACGTTCTTTTGGGGAGAGGATACGTCGACGAAGGAGGTGTGCGAGTTTTTGTTTGGAAGGGGGAAGCGGGCGAGGGAGGTGTGCGACAGGAGGAACACGAAGATGTTCGCCTTGGAGGAGGAGCAAGGAGAGGAGGACAGCGTCGAGAAGGAGGGCGCTGGGCATGGGAGCGATGGGCATCGGTGGATGGGCCCGCTCGCCGTCGCCGCGTACATGCTCATGTCGGCGGCAGAGGCAACCGCAGGTGATGCGGTTGGCGACCCCTTCGACGGCCAGTCGCTTCCCGACGCTTGGTCTGGCCTGCCGCTGTTCTCTGGACCGACGACGTTGATCGCCCACAAGGATCACGGTCGGTTCTTCCACCTGGGCTTCGAGACGAACGCGCCGAGGTACGGCGACTGGCAGCCCGACCTGGTCAATGCCAGGATGGAGCTGTACAAGAGCAACTGGATGGTGCAGGCGCTGAGGGTGAGCACCCTGGTGGCGATCCTGCAGGCGACGCGACAGCAGTGCAGGATGTGGCTGGCGATCTTGGTAAGGGTTGGACTGGTGGAGAGGGGCGCTCAGGAAGCTCGACAGGCGTTGCAGGGCGAGCTGGATGTGGAATCGGTGGTGCGACACTTTGGCACCAACGGTGTTTCGACGCTCGAGCTGGGCTGGTCCCGTCGTCGTTTGCTTCTCGGTCTGTAGATAGCTGCGTTTGTGAATTCATTGTGATTGCGAGTCGAGGCCATTGTGTGTGTACAGAGCGGCGAATCAGAGACTACCAAGCGAGACAGAGGCACCAGCGAATCTTTGAGACTTTCGAGTGAGATACATCGGCGGATCGGTGAGTCTGCCGAGTGAGAAAAAGGCGCAAAGTTCAGCCTTTGTTCAAGGTGCGCTCGCACACTGCCTTTTACGAGCGTGCGAGTCGAGAACGGCGATCATGCAAGGTCGATCCGACGTCTCCAATGACGTTTCAATCTCACTACACACAAGCGATCAGTAAAGCACAGACAACGTCAGCAAGGTCTGTACTTTTTTGCTTGAACGAGCGATTGTGCGAGCCACGGCGATCTTCTTGATGCGGGGTTGATCGCCGGAGAACAAAGTTTATTTTCCGGCCACGCGCCGCGCAGCCACACTCTACCATTTTGACTGGCCTCACGCCTGTGCAGAAATAAAAAAAAATAGAAAATAAACATTGAAAAAAGCCCGATGGTGCAGACCTCTCCCGGACAGGGTAGAGAGAAAGAGAAATTGGCCCGCTGATATTTACACTCGACGTTCGCAGTGTATGTGTGATTAAAGAATTCGGAATGAATGTACGACTGTGAAGGAAAGGAGATGCCTGCTGGGAAAGAGATTGCCTTCTCGGACGTCAACGCTTGATCGCGCAAGGCAAGGGTAGCTTGTACGAGGGTCGACGACAGCACAGACGTAGAGGGCCAGGCATGGACAGCGCTGTAGAGATGCATTGCGAGCTAATGTACAGGCCGTCGATAGGAGGAGCAGCGTGAACACACGCGAGATGTGAGCTCAGTCGAGTCGTGAACGAATCCGAGACAGAACCACACTGTGATGGAAAGAGACGCGCGCTGACGGCAGGGAGACTCGGGCAATCACATGCAATCTGTCGCTCGTTTGTAATCATACTGTGAGCAGAGAAAGGCAGACGAAGAAGCATCTTTGCATTGCGTTAGGTCAAGGCAAGGAAGTACAAGAGACAGCGCTGTACACAGGCGGTGAGGATGGCGAGCAGCGAATCAGATGTAGATCGCCGAGCGAGATAGGCTTTGCGAGGTGAGCAGGGACGCTGCAGAGAACGAAGCGGGTACCATATCGGCAGTTGAAGAGCGCGCAAGACATGCGCCGCGGTGTATTGTGGCAAATCGTCGAAGGGATGTGTCTCGACGAGACGGGTCAAAAGGGGGAAAGGGATGCGTCGTTGATACGCGTGCTTTGGGAACAATGCGCTGAGACTCCTGCTTTTCGGAGGTATGTGTTCACTCACTCGAATCGCTGAAGCTGGTCATTTCAGCTTTGTCGCCTATCCAATTGAGGATGCGTCTCATTGACAGCCTTCGAGATGGAATCGCAGTGCCTTGAACGGGCGTGCGAGTGCAAGGTGCAAGACGTGCCTCGAGCGGCCAAGACAGACGTGCCAGACTGTTCTGTGCCATTTCACTGCGTTTCTCCTTGCGCCTCAGCTCTTCTCATCGCACACAGACTGATCAAGCAAGGATCGGCGAGCTTGCAAGCTTGCCTGCGAAGAACGAGCGCTTGTACGACCACGGCGATCTTCTCGATGCGGGGTAGATCTTCGGCGCGCCACCCCCACTCCACCATTTTGACGGACCACGCGCGTGGGAACAAATAATAGTAATTTAAATAATAAATTTAGAATGGGAATGCAGCTGGCAGAGCGACATGCAGGACAGAGCGTGGTGACAGAGGTAGCACGGAATGTCCACAAATAGGCAACGGAAGGTGCATGGAAGGTGCGTCGCAGAACAGCACGAAAGGGGAGGAGAGGCAGCATCGCAGCAAGGAAGCAAGGAAGGAGTGGGGAAGCAGCGGGGAACGCGATAGGAAGAGTGGCGGCGACTGGGTACCCGCCGGCGGGAAAGACCGCCCACCAACGGGATAGCCCAACCACGGACGGGATCACCCAATCATTGACGGGACAGTTCAACCACCGGCGGGAACAACTGCTCGCTCGTGAGCACGAGACATGAGCCGACTCGAGACGTGAGCTGACTCGTGAACAGATTCGAGACGTGAGCCGACTCGAGACGCGAACAGATTCGAGACGTGAGCTGACTCGAGACATGACGGGAAACGAGACAGCCGGATTGATAAAGATGAAACTCATTGCATTGCTGTCAAAATGAGGCACACAGGCGGGATCGGTGGCGAGCAGAGGAAACGTCTATTGTATTGCAATGCGAAAGGAGAGCGTACACGAGGAAGCGAGGCGTGAGTGGTGAGGAGGAGGCAGCGCAGAGTCAGCGCAGAGGCAGCGGGGAACAGACTAACCGCCAATGGGATACTCCACCCACCGACGGGATGGACCACCCACCGACGGGATAGACTACACCCGGGTGTGTAGTCGCGACAGGCGTCGAAGACGCCCGTCACTCCACGGCGTGCCGGCGGCTTTCGTCCCCATCCTCATTTCTCATACGAAAAACCTCACTTTCCTCAAAAAAACATCACTTTGCTCAAAAAAATCTCACTCGACAATACACAAACACATCGAAAGGAGGGGGGGAGATTTTTTCATTGCACCACGTCACACGACGAGACTACAAGAGGGGAAGGAAACAAAGGGGGACGGGGGGTTTGCATTTGACTCCGCGTTGAAACCGAGAGAAAAAACGCGGGCAGGAAGGGGTAGGGGCGATCGATGATCGCCCACGAAGCAGCTCTGACGTCTTCCGACGTCTCGTCTCCAAGGACGACGCTTACTTAGCTTTTTTCTCGGCGGCCTTGGTGACCTTACCACCCTTCGCGGCGGCCTTCTCAATCGACTTGATGACACCCACAGCGACGGTCTGTCGCATGTCACGGACGGCGAAGCGTCCAAGAGGGGGGTAGACGGAGAAGGACTCGACGCACATGGGCTTGGTGGGGACCATCTTGACGAGAGCGGCGTCACCGGACTTGATGAACTTGGGGTTGTTCTCGATGGACTTACCAGTTCGGCGGTCGATCTTCTCGGTGATCTCGGCGAACTTGCAGGCAATGTGGGCGGTGTGGCAGTCGAGGACGGGGGCGTAACCGTTGCCGATCTGACCGGGGTGGTTCATGACGATGACCTGGGCGACGAACGAGGCGGTCTCGGCGGCGGGGTCGTTCTTCGAGTCAGAGCAGACGTTACCACGGCGAATGTCCTTGACGGAGACGTTCTTGACGTTGAAGCCGACGTTGTCACCGGGCAGACCCTCAGTGAGGGTCTCGTGGTGCATCTCGACGGACTTGACCTCGGTGGTGACATTGGAGGGGGCAAAGGTGACGACCATACCGCCCTTGATGACACCGGTCTCGACACGGCCGACGGGCACAGTTCCGATACCGCCGATCTTGTAGACATCCTGGAGGGGAAGACGGAGGGGCTTGTCGGTGGGACGGGAAGGGGGCTCGATGGCGTCGATGGCGTCGAGGAGGGTCTTACCAGTGGCCTTGCCGGCCTTGGTCTCACGCTCCCAACCCTTGTACCAGGGCATCTCCTTGGTGGCGTCGATCATGTTGTCTCCGTGCCAGCCCGAGATGGGGACGAAGGCGACAGTCTTGGGGTTGTAGCCGACCTTCTTGATGAAGTTGGAGGTCTCCTTGACAATCTCGTTGAATCGGTCCTCCGAGTACTTGGTGGTGTCCATCTTGTTGACGGCAACGATGAGCTGACGCACACCGAGGGTGAACGAGAGCAGGGCGTGCTCACGGGTCTGGCCATCCTTGGAGATACCAGCCTCGAACTCACCAGTACCGGCGGCAATGATGAGAATGGCGCAGTCGGCCTGCGAGGTACCGGTGATCATGTTCTTGATGAAGTCACGGTGACCAGGGGCGTCAATGACGGTGACCATGTACTTGGGGGTCTCGAACTTCCAGAGAGCAATGTCGATGGTGATACCACGCTCGCGCTCGGCCTTGAGCTTGTCAAGAACCCAAGCGTACTTGAAGGAACCCTTGCCGAGCTCGGCAGCCTCCTTCTCGAACTTCTCGACGGTACGCTTGTCGATACCACCGCACTTGTAGATAAGGTGACCGGTGGTGGTCGACTTACCGGAGTCGACGTGTCCGATAACGACGACGTTAACCTGTGAGCGTTGAAGTACAGCAAACGAGAGTAGGTACGGTCAGCGCTCGTACATTTTTTGAAGGAGAGGCGCGAGGCTTGCTGCCACGATCTAGGCCAGATCGGCGCCGCCACCGGCACGAGCCAGCCATGACGACGACGCCGACAAGATCCATCGAGACAGCAATGCTGTACGGCCACGAACGTGACCGCGACGCAGGCGTGCATCGTGTTGCATACGTACGTGAGCTTTTTCTTTACCCATTTTGAATGATGTTTTTGGTGTTTGGTATGATACGATGTATGAGGGGAGAGGAGAAGACATCGACGAGACCCAGCGCCCTTTATCAATCGCGCCCCGCTGGCGCACACACCAGACTGCCACCCAACGAAGGGCGGCCGCCCGCACAAAAGAGGGCAGCAGCTGGGCGACTCTCGCCTTCACTGCCGCGCAGAAGCAGAGAAAAATTTTCTTGCGCCTCAACTTCCAGCTTTCTCTGCTCTCACGCCTCATTGGTCGAAGAAACTACTCGAGAGGCTCCGAGCGAATTTCAGAAGAAGCGCATCGACCAAAAAATAGCACAGCAAATCCTAAGACCAGCAGCTGGGATTTTTCAGAGCGTGGCCAAAGCAAGCAGATCTTGCAAAAGTCGAAATACAAGTTGGTTCTTCCTTGCATGCCAATTGAAATCGTGAATACAAAGTCGAAATTCAGTCGCAAAGGTCGCATGAGAGGCTCAGCCACAGGCATTCTTCAGAGGCGAGAAGGAAGGCAGCGAGCTGCGCGAGTCTCAAGGAGAAACCAATGGGGTGCGCCGTCCAGCAGCACCGTCTGGATGGGAGGCTGACCTCACTGTGTAGACACGAAGCGGCGCACGTTCCTCCGTCAATGCACACTATGCTGCGCAAAGGCTCAAATCATGGTCGACACCTAGGCCGATCAGAAGCGGGCACGCACATGCTGTCACGGGCTTCTGACACGACATCTTGGATTGTTGCCGCTATCTGAGTGTCGATCCATCTCAGTGGGCTTGGAGATGACGGATCAAGCGCACGGGTTCCTGAGGACAGGCGAGCGTAAAGCGCACGGGCATCTGCCACGTACAATGTACGAGTCGAAGCGACTGCGGCAAAGGCATTTGACTTGAATTTCCTCTCCCTCTGTCGCAGCTCTGTTGGCCGCGTCAGGTTCCGGGCTGGCCTGCTTCTGCCTAGGGTGCGTCGATGATTTTGACAAATCGTTGAATTCCAAATCTCACCTCGTTGTCCAGTCCAAAAACTTAGGAACCGCGAATTTTGTGCCTCGCAGTCGGCCTGGCTGGCATGCACAGATCGTCATTCTCTGAATGTGCCTGTGAGGCGCACGTCGGATGTGACGGGCTCTCGCTACAGTGTCAAGGAGTGCGCAGCAGACGCCGACACAAAACGTCGCGACGTGACATTTGCCTCTGCGGCCATCCCTTCAAATTTTAAGGCTGAGGCGCAGCACGATCGAGTGGTCCATCTGCGTTCTCAACTCGCGAGTCTGGTAATCATCCCGAAAGCTTGAAGGGTTGTTCACAATTTTTGCTCAACGAGGCCATTCGCTTTCGTGGTGAATGGATCGATACAAATACATGAAGCTGACAAGAGTGGACAGGGCGCCGTGGACCGCTGTCATAGGCGCTGCGTAGGACGGCTATTACAGTATAGATAGAGGACGAAACCTCTTCATTCCTTTCATTCATCTTCATCCTCCTCCTCGTCATCATCCCAAAGATCACTGTCGCCAGGGCCTGCCTCAGTCAACTGAGAAGCCAAAGTTGTCGGCTGTACCGTATTCCTGCTGGCCGGCAGAGCAGGTGGTGGCATGCCTCGATTTTGAGATGTCAACTTCGCGTCACCGTTGACGACGGCTGCTGTTGCTCCCAAAGCAGGCTCTGCGTTGGGGCCCGATTGCGGTTGACTGGGTGGATGCATGGAATAGTCGTCCGCAGATCGAGGTTGAGCTGGCTCGTCGGCGTTCGGAGAATCGGCGGTGGCCTGCCCTGCCTGTGCAGCAGCAGCGGCAGAAGCAGCCTGATCGGCTTCCTTGCGTTCCTTTCGAGCCTGCTTGAGATCGGAAAGCTGATTGCGCTTCATGTCACGCTCTGTCGTAAGCTTTCGAAGTGCCTGTTGGTGCCGGTTCTTGATGATGAGGTTCATGGTACCGTCAACGTCGGCCTGCTTCCTGCGCACGAGGGTTTCGAGCTCGCGACACTCTGCTTCCAATTGGGCTTCTCGAACGCGCTGCTCCTTTTCTTCGTCGTTCTCATCTTCTTCGTCCTCGTCCTCCTCGTCTGCTTCGTCTGCATCGTCGTCGTCATCGTCATCCCAGAGGTCTTCTTGATCACTTGCGCGACTCTGCGCCTCGCTATTGGCACCTCGCGTTGAGCCGTCATCGTCATCGTCCTCTTCTTCCTCGAGCGCTGCGTCAAGCTCAGCCGCTAAATCCTCATCTACGTCGTCATCGTCAAGATCTTGATCGTCGTAGCCACGCTCAACTCCGTCCTCATCCAGGTCGACACGCCGACGGTATCCTTGTTCTCCATCTTCTGCGTCGCCATCGTCCAAACCTTCGTCTTGCGAGCCGACATCCGAGCCGTCGGGCATGGGAGTCTCCGCTTGAGACCCACCTGGTGATGTGGCGCCTCGCCGTCCCTGCCCGCGCCGCTGATCGTCATCGTCGTCTTCGGAGCCATCCTCTTCGGCTGCATCGATCATCTCGTACTCTACCTGTTCCGCCTTCTTGTCCGCTTTGAGCAACCTTTCCACCTCCTTTTCGGTAGTCTCGATCGCTCGCCGCGCGGCTCGCTTGCGGAAACGGCGTTTGCGTGCCCACTGCATGGGAGGCGTGATGCCGTGAGGATAGATAAAGTCCTCAATATTGAAGCCTTTGCCGCCGCTGCTGGAGGATGCCTGGGCTTCATCCGCGATCTTCCCTTCAACCACAAGCATCTGTGCGATGTCGGCAACCTTGAAGAATTGACGGTTGTCGAGGGTCTTGTGCGCTTCTGTGATGGTGGGCAAGTCGACCAGCTTGGCCGAGAAGAGCGAATCGCCTGCATGCACCACGGCTCTTCTGGAGTCTTTGAACTTGAACCAGACATCGTCGCCAAGTTGCCGCTTTTGAATGCTCTCCCTAAGCTTGTCGCATTCAGGACCTTCGGGCATGCGGAAGATGAGTTGCTCCTCGAATGCGAGACCTTGGCCGGTTTCGTCGTCCTCGGAATCGAGCTCGCGGTCGTAGCTTTGCATGTAAGCGTGGGTTTTGGGCCCTTGGCCGGTTCCAGCTGCCGTGCCTCCTCCTGATGCTTTCATCTTGAGCTTGATCTGTGGACGAGCGCCTGAAGAGGTGCGTATCGGCCTCGAGGGCTGTGATCTCCTAGAACCTCCATGTTCCCATCCCTCGGGCGATTGCTCCCGAGCGAGCAATGCTTTCGCTGTTGGTCGAACAGCACGTTTTGGTCTGGTTCCTCCGGGGCCCAGCTCCGCCGCCGAAGCTCCCGGAGCTGGAGATGCGGATCCGCTCGCTTCACTCATAGTGAACCCGTCTGACGTTGGCCGGTGGACACATCAACAGTGCGGCTTGCGATCGAGTATGTGTTGCATTGCTCTGGTAGAGACTTTCGACCTTAGTGCCGCTGCCTCAGCCCGGAAGAGTCACGGCCGTCCTTGCTACGAGAAGCGAGCTGTGCAAGTAGTACAAGGTCGTGCGGTGCCGAAGAACTTGCTGCTTGTGTTAAGAGGTCATTCGGTCGAGATGGTGGGTCTGGCACACCGGAAACGAGACGGACCCTGATCGACTCAGACACGAATTCATGATGAAGCTCCACAAGGAGCGCGTCGGAAATCGGCTGCTTCCGCTTATACGATCTAACAGTCTTCATCACATCAAATACGTCTCGTACACTTCCTACGAGTCAACAGTGGATCTCATATCTGTATGGCAGCGGCAGCATATCATCTCACACAGAAGCGGGTTGATGCCAGCTCGCGCTGCATCTTTCCGTGCTCGAATGCACCCACGTTCAAAGGGGGTGCTTCGGATGCTGCCAGTTTTGAGGAGGACGATGTGCCGCCCTTCGAGGTCTCGTCAATCATGAGCTGCAGTGCGCGGCTTCAAGTCGCGCAACCAACATTTGTCATAGGCTATGCGAGCATCGTTTGATACGAACATTCAAATGCTGAGCCAGCTTGTGTCGCAGTCACGCATCAAACCTATTCTAGATGTGACACAGACCAGCCACAGAATGCATGGGTTCTTCCCGACGTCGTTCGATCGAGCCCGCGATGAGGGGCAATTGATATTTTTGCACAGAGATCAGCTGTGATGCCTGTGTACGATGTGTAATGTCGATGGTGGTACATGAAGATGCGAGCGAGGTGTGGTTGGGAACACTGCGAAGTAGACGGATCAAATGTGGATGTCGATCGTCGAAAGTGTGTAAATGTGACAAGGTGTCGTGCAGAGTGTCGAGAGGAGGTTGAAGAAATTATGCCTCCTGAGCACGGACACGGGCGTTGGCGTTGGTGACCTTGACGCCGAGGGCCTTAGCCTTCTCAAGAATGTCGATGCGCTTCTTGGACGAAACGTTGTGGGCGATCTCGGCAGCGTAGACACCGTTGTGCATGAGGAGAAGCTCGACGTCACGGACGTTCGAGACTACGAGTCGGCGGTATCCGTTGGGCATGAGGTGGCGGGTCTTCTTGTTGGAACCGTAGCCAATCTTGGGCATGCGAACAGTGCTGCGGAAACGACGACGAACAGCAGAGTCGATACCCTTGGGCTTACGCCACGACTCGCCGACACGGTGGTATCGGTCCGAGTGGTGGCGCTTGAACGCCTTGGTGCGCTTCTTGACGATGGGGATGGATGTGGCGGCCATCTTGACGATCTGATAGGTGGACAAGAAGTGGTGTGTCAGAACGATGAGATGGTGGAGTCGTAAACGTCGACATCCACCGAGTAGCCTCACTGCCCGGCCCACCAACATACAGAGACTCTGGTTGTTGGGTGTCCCGTCTCGAGTCTCACGTATCGAATCTACCGAATTTCACCTCGAGGAGCGAGCCTCTGCTGAAGTGCCTGCCCTAAGGACCGGCCGATGTGGCACGTGATCTGTTCCGAAGCCCATTCGAAATTCTCGAAATAAAATTTGAAATCTACACCTGAAATATGCGGCGAGAGCTGAATTGAGCCTCGTCGCCGAGCCCAGCCTAACCTCTGTGTGCCAAGTTCAGGCGAAGAGTGAGTGATCCGAGTTGAGCTGGTTGGGCCAGCCGGAAGCTTCAGTCTTGGAGTGAAGCAGACAGTGGGCTCGGTACTGCCATTCGAGATTTGTTCGTCATCATCTTCGACACCACCACACCCGTCAAGAAACATATTGTCAAGGTTAGTATCTGCGTCATCCAGCTGCTGCAAGCCGACACTTCCGACACACCAACGCATAGCAACTCGCCTAAAACCAGCCTTCAGCACGGTACGAATCATCGGTGAATCGCATTAAGCAGTCAGCGACAGCCGCATCTTCATAGTAGAGAAGGATTCAGGAGGAATTGTCGCCGACATCGCAGTGTTGCCACGAGGAATGGAGAGGGAACGAGGTCCGGATGCATCCGTGGTCGATCAGGAGAATGAAAGGCCTCGTCGTCGTATCAACTCTTAGGGCAGATCGTGGTGGTGTGTTCAAGGTCAGGCCTTTTGCCCTGTCAGCTTGCTGTTCACCCCAAACTTCCGCCTTCGTGGCACCACCGTCCACCTCTGCCAGGACCAGGGAACAAGACAGCATCATGACAGGATCCTACGGAGCTCATTCGGAAGATGCTTCGGTACACGCGCAGCCAGAAAAACTCGACTTGGCATAGACATTCATCCGCTGCCCATCTCGCTCGATTATTCTGGCTCGTATGGCTCTGCACGCTCATCTTGATCTACAGTAGGCTGTACAGTGGCTGCGTGGATGCTTGCCGTGCTTGGATTTGGCAGACAGGAAGACATGAATCATTTTTTGGGAGGGATGAATCGATGTTGGGATTTCGTCGACGGAGCAGCTGGATCACATTTACAATCATTGTTTCATCGGAGCAGTTCACTAACCCTCATCATCGCTCGCTGGTTTCTTCTTGACCTCGTCCCCCAACCTTCGACGACACTACAGATGTCCCTCCAGCAGGCTAACCCATACATCGTTGACGGCAAGGGACACCTTCTCGGTCGTCTCGCCGCTACCCTGGCCAAGGAGCTCCTCTCTGGCCAGAAGGTTGTCGTCGTCCGTTCCGAGCTCATCAACGTTTCCGGCTCCTTCTTCCGCAACAAGTTGAAGTACCACGCCTACCTGCACAAGCGCCACTTGGTCAACCCCAAGAAGGCCGGTCCCTTCCACCACCGCGCTCCCTCGCGCATCCTCTACAAGGCCATCCGCGGCATGATGCCTCACAAGACCGCTCGTGGTGCCGCCGCCCTCCAGCGATTGAAGGTCTACGAGGGTGTCCCCCCTCCTTACGACCGCAAGAAGCTCATGGTCATCCCCGCTGCTCTCCGTGTCCTCCGTCTCAAGCCCGGCCGCAAGTACGCCACCATCAAGCGTATCTCGCACGAGGTCGGCTGGAACCACATGGAGACCGTTGACAAGCTCGAGGCCAAGCGCAAGGTCAAGCAGCAGGCTTACCACGAGCGCCAGGTCACCGCTTCCAAGAAGCGCGCCGCCGCTCAGACCGCCACCGCCGACAAGCTCAAGGACGTCAACGTCCAGCTCGCTTCGTACGGCTACTAAACGGATCGCATCACCCTCATCGACCAAGAGGCCCTCCCCTAGCTGTTCTAGATCTTCATTCAAGGCACGCTGGGTCTCTGTCGACGATACCGCCAGGCGACACATTGCAGCAGCTCTCATTCACATGGCCGCAGCATGCGTTGCTTGGTATCCCCTTGCATTGCATGGCTCTCCTCTCGAGTCGTGTGATCAAAACACCGTTCCCTTACGACTCCTGGTCATTAGCCGGACCGTTAGTGAGCGATTATTCATTCATTCTTCCCACTCCCGAACCTCTCTAGCAGTAGGTGGTTTCGTGTTCCGCCATCGTGTATTTCATACTCCTCACAACACCCGTGCTGCTCCATAACAAGGACAGTGCATCACTCTCAAGTCCTACCATACGCATTCTTTGGGACTCAAAAAACTGCAAGCATCCAGATGATTTCAAACAAAGCCTCTCATTCGCGTGACAGTCTGTGAAGTTGCCATGGGCAGACCACGCGCAAGATCAAGTGTCTCATGGATTGAGCGTGTGGAAAGGGCAGCGGCAGATGAAATCCTATTCACGTTCGGAAAGGTCAAATGGAGTGATCCAAGCAGCCAGATCCTCGTCTACGACCCTACCGTCCGATGCACGCTTTGCGAGTCGACGCTTGACCTTGGCTTTGAGTCTCTGACGCTTTCCCATCAGTACCTGGTCTTGAGCATCGAATGATCCATCGGCAAGAAGGCTGAAATCATTGAAGTCGACTTCGTCATCGTCATCATCGTCGTCGAGGTCGTTCGTATCGGCCCCTCCTCTCGGATCGTTGGAACCTGACGTTTGAGGCGGGGTTTGCAAGCTGAGGCGCGGAGTATCGCCAACATTCGAGGCGAGTGCGGAGCCGGCGGAGAGCATAGCCTGCTGCTTGCGTACATAGCCCTCGTCATGCCGTTCAATCGCGTGATGCAGGTCGCGCGGCGAGTGACGTGCCGTGGAACCAGACGAGGGACACGCTGCACTGAAAGTATGAGAAGCATGAAGCAGCTGTGCGATCTGCACCACAGCTACTGGCATAGCAGGCGGTTGACGAGCGAGCTGAACGAGACGTCGTGTGGAGCCTTTGCCAGCGTACCACGCATCCAGACGTCTCGATTCTCGCTTGATGATCTGGTATTCTTCCGACTTGAGCCACGCACTTGCTTCGCCAGACTTGGCAGATGAGGTCGGCATCAGCGAAAGGCACAGCGAAACGTGCGCAGGGGACGGGTTCGTCGGCATGCTGCCTTTGCTTTGCGCCGCTTTAGCATAGTGTCCCACATGGCCGATGTCCACCCGCGTCGGCGTCACGAATTCGACTTCAGCTCGCAAAAGGCAGCGGGTACGTCTATCGCTGGCGGCCGCGACCTGTGACGGTGAAGCTTCGACACGGCTGTTTCCGTACCAGGCGATGGCTCGTAGCAGACTTTTCCATGAGTGAGCGCGAAGGATGAAGAAGCTACAACCCGAGAGGCCAGCGTCGGGGCCTGTATTCTTGGTGATGTGCGACAGCTCGATAGTAGTAGGGAAAGTGGATTTGTTTGGCGACGCCGATGTTGATGCCGACGCAGGTCGGGCAAAAGGCCGTCCTTGGTCGAGTTTTGGCGCAAAAGGAAGGTTGCCATATCCAAAATCGACTCCCGCCAACGCTCGCTTTCCCCGATGTTCCGAGGTCAACGAAGTTGCAGAGGCACTAAAGCGCTTGGACGACGGCGTCGAGTGCGAGCTTCCTCGTTGCGGAATCGAAGGTGAAGATTCAGCAGGGTGCGGGGGAGCAGAAGAGACTTCGCTGCTGGGTATTGGCGTCGAAGAGCCTTTGCCTGGATGAGAGGAGCTCGTAAAGCTCTGTCTTGGCGAGCTCATGATGGGACTGTTCTGCGATTGGCTATGTGCTGAGCTCGAGGACGATGATCGATGCTGCAAGACGGGTCGGTTGAGAGCTTCGAGAGTGACTGTGTCGTAGCGAGCAGGGAAATCCTGTTTCTCTACGGGGGACGCAGCGGCGTAAGAAGCGACATCGTTTGACGGACCAGCCTGTGTCGCTTCAGCGTATGCCGGAGGCGCGTCGTCTGAATCGGCATGCAGAGCTGCGGGCTGGGACGGCGCAGTCAGGCGATCCTGTTTGCGAACTGTTCCGCCCAATTCGTCGGACGCTTCCTCGCTACGCTTTGATGTTTCTGGTGTGGGTGGGAGGGGTCGATGTGTTCGCGGTGTAGACACGCTGCCTGCGGCGTGTACAACATCTTCGGCGAGCGTCGGTTGGTTCATCTGAAGAGCTAGTTGATAAGCTTCGCCGTGACCAGCAAAACGCCAATACTCGGCGTCAAGATCGTGGGGATCGAAGGGGTCGACCGCGGCGGGGGACAAAGATGGTTGCGGGACAGGTGATGGCGGCCTTGAACCGAAGCCACTGTCAAAGTTCGCCGACATAGGTGTCGCGGATCGATCGATTCGGTTTCTCGATTCGAGAAACTCCCAAAGAGATCGCTCGGCACTCTCCCGTCGTTCCCACTCTTCTTCCTGCTCTCGTAGACTGAGCTCCAGCGCTTTCTGTTCAGCCTCTTGCATTGCATCCAATTCTTTGCGCCTTTGCCTGTCCTGAGCCGCCGAGGCGAGCTTGGCGGCCTCGAGCATCTCCGCTTCGAGCTTATCATTCTGCTCGCGTTGACGGTGAGCGTCCCGTCTCGATTCTTCCAGCATTCGCGCCTCGCGGTCCTTGCTGCGCCGCGCTTCTTCTTCGGCATCACGACGGCTATCTTGGATGGCTCTTTGCAAGCTCTCCTCCTCTTCCTCGGCGAGACGACGTCGGCGATGATTCTCTTCGTCGTTGGCGGCGTAGACTCTTCGAAGCTCCTCTTGCTCTTGCACCTCCCTTTGCCGCTTCTCATCTTCCTGTTTTGCCGAATGCAGCGATGCTCTGATGGCATCGTCCATGTCTGCACGACAGCCTGGGCAGTCATCGGGCTGGTGTCCTGGTTCGCCATGCGTTGGAGCTGGCATGGGCATACTTTGCGGACGGCCATGCATGCCTGATCTTGTGAACGAAGTCGATGTGGTCCGCGGAGTAGGTTGCGACGGTGGTGTTGAAGGCGTGCGCGGCTGCGTCGAATCGTCCCAGAAGGCGGGTCGAGGCGAAGGGGGAGGCCGAGGGACGTAATCGGGACGCTGCGAGGCTGCTTGCTGGGGTGCGGAAAACAGCGGGTCGCCTGGGCCGAAGCTCTGGCGTACAGCATTACGATGGTGAGGATTCTGAGCAGGTTCTCCGTAGCTTTGAATTGTCTGTTGCTCTTTCTGCTCATAAGGATTGACAAGACGAACGCCTAGCGGTCCTGCCATCGAGTGAACGCGAGTTCGAGCATGTGGTTGCTGAGGATACAGAGGCGACGACATCGCATAAGCTTGAGCCTGCGGCGACTGAGGCGGCATGTGCGCAGGAGGCGTGGATGGGAATGTTGATGTAGACGGAGAGGCTGCTGAGTGGGCTCGGCTGATTCGAGCTGGGGGCAGTACAGGCGCATCGACAGGCAGTGGAACGAAAGTGGGCCTAACGTGCGACGTTCCAGCCGACGCCGAAGGAGACTCTGATTGCCATCTTCCTTGGCGATAGCCTCGCTGATGGAGCTGTACGGAAGGCTGCATGCTGGTTAGAGATCAGCGCAATGTCATGATCACTTGCACGCAGAGAGCGGTCATCGGCTTGCGATGTGATGTTGTTGGTCGTACAAGAGCAAGAGATTACCGCGGGATGTGGAGGAGCCAAGACAAACCACACTCAGGGCTGTGCGGTCCAGCGGCCAAATTTATGCAGCAGCAGCACATTTGACTCCGCGTTGAAACCGGGGGGGAAAACGCGGGCAGAAAATTGGATGTCATTTCCCAGATGAGACCAAGACCATGGCGTTGAGCAGATCAGCTTGATCATTCAACAGCAACATCTTACTTGGCACCGGCCTTGACAGCGGCCTTAGTGGTCTTACCACCCTTAGCTCAGGCGGCCGTGGTGCTCTTAATGACACCGACAGCAACGGTCTGTCGCATGTCACGGACGGCGAAACGTCCAAGAGGGGGGTAGACGGAGTTCTTCCGAGCATTTTTCTCATGGAATTCGAACGCGATTCGATCGAGCCCGCTCATTTCAATTCGACGAGTGAATCGCATCAGGCAATGACTCGGGGTCTTTCTCATTTGTAACGAAGGTAAACATGTCATTACTAAGATGAACAGCGGACTGTAGAGCGACTAGTTTCCCTGTCCCGGCGCAGGTGGGTTCGGGTTGTCCAGCAGGATACCGATCGCACCTTCTACGCTTCCACCTGCCATGAGCAATGCTCTGACGTTGGCCTGACCGTCGTAGAAGCCCATCCCCTGCATCTGTTCGAGCTGAGACGAGAAGCGCTCCTCGGGTGGTCTCGAGTCTCGCGATGCTGGAGCTCCTCCACCGAATCCTCCTAGTCCACCGAGTCCTCCGAGTCCTCCAAATGCTCCTGCGCCTCCACTGCCTCCTGCTCCACCGAACATCTGCTGCAGGAACGAGGGATCCGCAAACGGATTTGGCGGAGCTCCCTGACCAGCGTCGCGGGAGTTGGCATTGTCGCCACCGGCGCCAGCGCCGGCGGCGGTAAAGAGGTTGCGATGGGCGCCGTCGTTGCCATTGTTACTGTTGCCTCCGCTTCCAGTCTCACCAAACGCACCAGCAGGCGGCCACTGTCCAGCGCCGCCCCCAGCGCCACCGGCACCAAAGCCACCTAGACCACCCAAGCCTGCCATGCCGCCCATACCTCCTCCCATTCCAGCGCTCTCCATAAGCTGCGACATCTGCGTCATCCTCTGCATGGTCTCGGGATTGGTGATCATTTCGCGAAACTGCTCAGACTGCATCATCTGGCGCATCTGGGGCGCCATGCCTTGCAGCTGAGGGTTCATGGCGATCATCTGATCGATGAATTCGGGACGAGACATCATATCACGCATCTGGCGCTGCACCTCGGGGTTCTGCATCAATCCCATCATCATGTTGGGGTCGCGCGGGTTGAGACCCATTCCTCCGAATGCTCCGCCGCTCTCATTGAGGAGTCGTGCCATGTGCGGACCGGCGTAGTCGGCGCGATTCAAGGCCGACAGAGGGTTGTTGGTAAAGTTCTGGCCTGCGGAAAAGTTGGAAGGTACGCCTTGCGCCTGCGAAGAGGCGGCATTGTTCGAGCCGCTGCTTGCTGCTGGTGCTGTTCCAGGCACGGATGGGTTGCCCGTGGTAGGTGCGGATCGAGCAGCCGACTTGACCATGTGGATGGTGTTGCCGTCCTTGACCTTGTAGACCGAGAGCGCCTCTTCGTCCTTGAGCACCTTGCCGGCGTAGATGAGCCTCTGAGAATCGGCGGGAACGTCTGGCTTCTGCTTCTCGATGGCCTCTTTGAGCTGACGCACGGTCTGGTCGGAAGTGATTTCGATGGTGAGCTTGATGTCCGAGGGGCCCTTGATGTTGATCTTGAGCGGCGTAGCCGCATCGCCAGAGTCTGCCATGATCGAAGAGCGTACGCGCAAAGACGAGAACGAAGTCGATGCGAGGGAGATGGAGGTAAAGTGATGAGGTGATGCGGGCTATCCCCGACGATATTACGATGCATTGGATGCTTGCCGCACACATGTGGAGTTTTCCCTTTTGACGGACGGATCCCGGACTTCAGCAACTGAGCACAGACACGTTTTTGATGCGCATTGTGCGCGTGCCGCGCCGCTTTTTCAATTCGGGCGAGAGAGACAAGTAGCTTTCATGGTGAGCATATCGAGGACACTGTGGACATGACAGAAGGCTATTGGTGCGACAAATCTATGCTATGGCGGCGGCGTCGGTACTGGCAGTGAACTGCAGCTCCTTCTCATACCTCTTCAACGTGTCCTTGGGAAACTTGGACCGGCACGTAAGACAGAAAGGTCTCGGCGAGCAAAAGAGACTCAGACAGACGCTGCAGATGTATCCGATGTCAACGATCTTGCGATGGCAGAAGCAGGCCGCCCGGAAATCGATCTCTTCTAGCGTCGGCAGGTTCATGACACCTCGCATGGAGCGTGATGGCAAATACGTCGTGAGCAAGGTCTGCACTAGGCTAGAGCGCATATCCGGGGCGGCCGACTTGTCGCCACCAACCTGATCCTGGTCGTCGGACAGGCGAAAGTAGGTTCCCGAAGTGAGATAGGAGGCCTGTTGAAGAAAGACCGTATCGCTTCCAAACAACTTGCAGACGTCGATGGTGATGCCCTTCTTCTGAGCGGCAAAGATGCAGTTCATCATGGGGATGTACTGCGTCGAAGCGTCCTGCGTCACGCTGAGGATGAGGATGCGCGACTTGAAGCTGCCCATGCTACCGGCGCCTCCAACACCGCTCCCTCCGGACGATGCATTGCCGCCTCCTGCGCGAGTCTGCGCCGTTGCTGCTATCCCGTTCCCTGTGTTGGCTGCATCCGTGGCATCGCTCAGTCCCAGCCGGTTCAGATGGCAAAGAGCCTGCGAAAGCGCAGATACGATGCCTACATTGACCGAGCGCGCCAGCGTTGCCTGCTTCACCGCTTCTTCGTCGCCGCTTGCATCAACGGCCTCTTGCGCCTGTCTTGCACGATCGAACATGGACTTGCACGTGTCTCGAATGCCCTGTTCGAGATTGTCGTCGACCAGCTTGAAATGTTGATAAGTGTTGGCATCCGGTTTGTGCGCACTCGTAGAAGCCGCCGAGCTCGTCGAGCCCGCGTCAGCAGCCTTGACTGAGAAGGAAGCCGTGGAATAGAGGAGCTGGGCGGTACCTGTTCCAGCTGCGGCATAGATGGCCAAGCCGTTCTCGTGCTGCATTGCCATGTGCGCATTAAGAAGGATCATGATGGCGGAAAGCGCATCCTCCAGAGCAACGTCGCTCGATGTTTGCTTGCCCTTTCCTTTCCCGAGCGCTTCGGATCTTCTCGTCCATGCCAGCGGATTGATGTCGAGGACGAGGACGAGAAAGTCGGGTGAAGTGCGAGCCGCGCTGCCCTTGGACGTCTGGATGTGGGAAAAGCCCGCGTTGGCGATGTCGGTGGTCGACTTTGCTTGCGTTGTTGGGGCCGGCATTTCGATCCTGCCTAGCCAGATATAGATATACTCCGCTCAGGCTATAATATGTGGTGGAAGATGGACGGTGGGGGACTCTCGATGATAGATGATGCTGAGTCGTGAATGTTCGACGTCTGAATGTGGAGAAGCGGGTCCACTGCAACTTAACACAACGCAACAGCAGCGACTCCGTCTCCCGAGTCTTTTGCGAAATTTTTGGAGGAAAGCGGCTTCCTGGAGCTTGTCAGGGTTCACAAGTTCTTGATACAGCTTCCGCATCGAGGAACATCGTCTACCTTTCGCTTGATCACAGACATATTTCTCTCACTCACGAGAACAAAGGGCCGGCACGATGTTCTCCGTCAAACGCTTCGATGCTTTCAGCTCGTCATCGCCGTCAGGGAGCAAAGATGACCGTGCGGATACAGCCAAGCTCGACGCTCTCAATGAGCGCATCTCGAAGAAACGCAAAGTGGTGCAAAGCGGCGAAGCATCCGGCTTGCAACCGAGCCTTCCCGGCGCATCGTCAACTTCAATAAGACCCACTGCCACTGCGGCGGGACCAGCTGCTCCTGCAGCACGGCCCGCCCTCAACATCCACCCTTCTCGCCTCAACAATGCTCCATTACTCCGTCAATCTGTCAAAAAGGCACAGACGGGCCCCAGAGAAAAGACAAAGGCCAAGCAGAGATATCTCAAAGCCAAGAAGGATCGTCGCAAGGCACGACTGCGTGCCGCACCCAAAAAGTCAAAGGCCGACGCGGACGGCGCGCAAGCAACAGCAGACAATTCGATCGTCTCTCAATTACCGGAAGAGGAAGCATTGCATCGCCGAGAGGCAGCGCGGAAGAAGGAAGCGCGACCATCGCAGCAGCCCATAGCATCCGAAATCGATTCAATGTCTTCCGCAGACTCCGATACGGAGTCTAGCGAGGAGTCAAGTTCGGACTCTGACAAAGAAGATGCCGAATCAGCTTCGCCTTCGACTCCCGAAGCTACAGCTCCGGAGGTAGCGACAGACACCGAAGTCATGGATGTTGATGGAGAAGCTCCGACAGAGGAGAAAGCGCTCGAGAGGTTCCCTCTTGCGGGTATCAAGAAGGCGGTCGATCCTACTCTCATCCGCTCCCTCGGTCTCCCAGAAGGGCTTTCGAACAGGACAGTCGTGGATCCAACACTCTCTCGGCCGCTTCCTCAGCAGAACGGTAAAAAGCCCAAATCTGTCAAGCCCTCATCTTTGCAGTCTCTCGACGGAGGCGCTCTCATCGACCAGGACACTGAGGAAGTCCTCTCGGACGACCAGGAATCCGTCACCATCTCCGCTCGCAGCAATGCCAGCGATGACTTTAGCAAGGTATCTCTGAGTGATGCTGTCCGCTCACGTCTCGAAGCACTCGGCGTCAGCGAATGGTTTGCTGTCCAAGTATCCGTCATTCCATGTCTCCTAGCGCAGCCGCAGAGTCGATCTCTCTACCGCCCTTTTGCTCCTCCTCGGGATCTCTGCGTTTCCGCGCCAACTGGAAGCGGAAAGACCCTTGCGTACAGCGTACCCATCGTCGAGGTCCTGCGAGCGCGTCAGATCGTTCGTCTGCGTGCGCTGATCGTACTGCCAACGCGTGACCTTGTTTTCCAAGTTAGGACCACGTTGGAGCTCGTCGCGAAAGGGTCTGGCTTGAGGATCGGCACTGCCACCGGACAACACAGCTTCGCACACGAGCAGACCCAACTCGTCGGGTCGAGCAGCGCGGGAATCGAAGACGAGGATAGCCAGCCGCTAGAGTCTAAAGTCGACATCTTGATCGCAACACCTGGTCGACTGATCGACCACCTGGACTCGACTCCCGGATTCACTCTTGCACATTTGCGCTTCTTAGTCATCGACGAAGCGGATCGTCTGCTCAACCAGTCTTTCCAAGAATGGCTCGGTCGCGTTCTTGCTGCTACGAACGGTGATACCGACTCGATGCAAGCACCCACATCGCAGACGACAGCACAAGCTCCGTACGAGCTCCTCTCCTCCAGCGCTTCAGGGTTGGGAGCTGCAGCATCAGCGACACTACAGGAGGAAGCAAGTCCGTCCGTACAAAAACTCCTGTTCTCAGCAACGCTGACTCGCGATCCAGCCAAGATCGCTGCTCTCGGTCTTCGCAATCCACACTACATCACTGTTCAAGATAGTCACTCTGCTGGAGACGAACGCAACGAACGAAGAGACGGTGCACAGCAACACGAGCGCTTCTCGCTTCCACATTCGCTGCATGAACACATGCTAGTCACAACGTCAGCAGAAAAACCTTTCCACCTACTCTACCTGCTTCATCGTCCTGATGATGTCAACAACGAACTGAAACCCGTCCGCAAGGCGCTTTGCTTCACGAAGTCGGTCGACTCGGCTGCGAGACTCGTCAAGCTGTTCGACATCTGTGAAGCTGTTCGAAGCGAGAACAGTCTCGTCGCTCGCGGAAGCAGGCCTTTGGTTTTCAAGAACTACTCCTCAGAGCTCAAGCCCTCCGATCGACAACGGATATTGACATCCTTCGAGCAAGGAGAGATCGACTTGCTCATTTGCTCGGATCTCATTTCGCGAGGTATTGACTTGCCCTCCGTCGAACACGTCATCTCGTACGATGCCCCCATCGATCCAGCCAAGTACGTCCACCGTGTCGGCCGTACGGCTCGAGCAGGCAAACACGGCGACGCCTGGACCCTCGTCGAGGAGCAGGAGGCTCGCCACTTCAAAAAGATGGTCCGCTCCATCGCGCGTCAAACGCCCATCGCAAAGATCAAGCCCAAGGAGCTCAAGGAGGACGAGATTGTGGACTTTGTCGAAGGTGATCCCGTCATTCGCGAACTGCACAAGCTCAGGGAGGCGTATGAAGAGGCTCTTGGAAGGATGGCTAAACTCTACCGCACACAGTGAGGTCGGTAAGGTCTTCAAATGGACGTGAAGAATACTCACTTCAGCTTCGGAATGTCAATTGCCTTGCTAAAGTGATCGAGAATTCCATCTCCCGCGATGACCGCGAAACAGAGCGTTGTTACTCGAGCGTGTATGTTTGTTTTGTGATCCGCGCTCTTCGAGTCTCAGCAGCCCGTCTGCGAGCGAGAATCTGCATGCATGGCTAACGTCGAGTCTGTATTGAAATTCAGAGGCGTGGGAGCCTGTCCGTCGCTTCACGGACCAACCTTGTTTTGGCGGTCTTGCTGGCAACGGTGGTGTCAAAATCCTGATCAAGCCTGACTGTTGCGGGTGCTTGGTTCCGCACACACTCGTGCTTCTCCTTGCGGGCTGGCGGGTTGTTGAGATCCAGACCTGTGTATTTGCCGCCGTTGTCGCCTTTCTAGGTCAGAGAAAGCCGCAGCTGAAGTGTGTACAAATAAACCCGCAGAGAACAAAGCCTTTGAGCGTCAACACGCATCTCGCACTTTCAGAGAGGTTCTCGACCCAAGCGCGAGCCAGATTCCCGCAAAGTTCCCGCAGCTCAGCCTGTCTACTGCGAGCCCTAAATAGCGGTCGCCATGGCCGTCTTCAAAGGCGGACCTGCCCTTCCCAAGCGATCCGAGACGACCATGAGTGCCCCTCCCGCCACCAACACTTCCCCTCCCTCCACACCTGCCAGTCGCACGCAGCGCACCACCGCTGTACTCTCCAACCGACCCAGCAAGCTCAACAACGACGACGTTGACATGCAGGATATGGATAGTGGTGACGACTACGCCACGTCGACGTTCCGCGGCTCGAGCACTGACGACGATGGTGACGCAGGCATCACTACCCCCATTTCCGACATTCGTTCCACCTCGCGCAACAACAATGTTAAGAGGGAGTTGGACGACGCTGACGATGCTGACGGCGGGCCTGCAAAGACTCGCAAGACGGCTCTGACTGAAGATGCCGCTCGCGACGTCAAGCCGATGAAGGCCGAGCCGTCGACTCCGAAGAAAGCTCGCACCAACGCTGCCGCTGGATCCAGCAAGGATGGCCCCAAGACTCCGACCAAGAGGCAGACCAGCTCGGCTCCTGCGACCCCTGGACAGGCTGGTGAGTCCCTCAGCGTACGTACACCAGTATTGAGATATCATCGTACAGTCTTGACAGACGATCATCGTGGAATGGAATGCTGACACTTCCGCACTTGTCTCCGCTGCTCAACTCACATCCTCCAGAACTGGAACTCTGATCACTGGGACGATCTCAACTTTGCCATCCTCAAAGTCGCCCTTGACCACGTAAGTGTCCTCGTTGGTCGTAGCTGTAAATGGAACCAAACACTGACCCTCGTCTGCTGATTCCGCATCTGTTGATTCCGCATCTGACAGTCTGCGGAGCTCTACGAAGCCAGCCCTAGCCTCAACCCTTGGAGATTCAAAGGTCGTCTCCTCGTCAAAGTACGTCCTTGCCGTCCGTGTTGCACAGCCGCAATCCGCTCAGCAATACTGACACGATATCAACTTCTCTTGCATCACGATGGCACTGCAGGTCCGTCAGCTAATGAAAGATGCTACCGGCGGCGATGTGGCTGGCAAGCGCTGGGACGTCGAGTGCAAGCCTGGTCGAGCCAAGAGCTCGCCGAAGAAGTAAGCCACTCGTCCTTTGCAGTTTCGAAGGGCGACATGATGAGCCAACATCGAACGACATCGGTACAAGCCATCGCGACAGCTCCAACTCTCATCCGCACAAGTCCGATTTTTCATTCAGAACCATCATGTATCACCATCAAAAAGCATCAACACCGCGCACACCAAATATGCATGAACACCATGTCATTACTTCCTCCCCGCATCAATCATCCCACGCCATGCCCATCAAGAAGCTCTTTTGAATATGCATCACCGCCGCGACAAACGCCTCCAGATGAAAGATCACCTTCGAACCCGTCCTCGTCCTCAACTCGTAGAACGCCGCTTTCTGTACGATAGCTGTCTTCACCTGTCCGTCTACCTTTTTCACCAAGTTATCCGTCAGATGTTTGAGGATGAGTGTCGGTGGGATGGCGTGTACGAGGAGCTCGTACAGCTTGGAACGTACGGCGAGGAGATTGTGCGGCGAAGGGTCGGATAGGATGAGGTCGGCTGTTTTGGAAATGTAGATCTCCCAGTCGGGTTTGGCGATTCCGATGCCACCGGAGAGGTCGGGTGACTGCATGCGCAGGGCTTCGAGGACGAGCATGGCTTTGCGGAGGTTGCCGTTGCAGTCGTCGCAGATCTGGTTCTGGACGGCGTCTGGGATGGTGAATCGTTCCTTCTTCGCGACGTGGGTGAGGACCGTCTTGATCTGCAGTGAGGTGAAGCGAAGGTGGGTTAGTCACATCTTCGATATGGAGAAAGTGGTGAGACCTGCGCTCGCGAACGTACCTCTTCATCCGTCGGCGCTCCAACACGCAGCAAGAGACACCTCGACCTGATCGGACCGATGATCTTGCTCGTACTCGTTGCGCACAACACCAGCCTCAAATTCCCCATGTATTTTTCCATCGTTCTCCTCAACGCACTCTGCGCATCCCTACTCAGCGAATCAGCCTCGTTGATCACCACCACCTTGAACCTGTGTTTGGCGTTCAGATCCACGTTCTGCGTCTGTGCGATCTCCTTCAAAATATCCTGAATCACCAGTCGATCGTAGTTGCCCGCATCCGAAGGCGTCAGTTCGATGTGGTAGTTGGACGATACGATGTTGACGTCGATCTTGCGGTTGGAAGGTGTGACGAAGACGCGTTGATCGATCTTGAGCTTGTACGTGCCTGGTCCGTAGAGTTCGCGGAGGAGACAGGCGATGCGGGTCTTTTTGCCAGCTCCCGAGGGACCGTACATGAGCATGTGTGGAAAGTCTTCATGGTCTGCCAGCGACGAAAGTCGCTTTGAGAGGTCCGAGTGGTAGTGCAGCTCCGAGAGCGCTTTTGGTCTGTACTTGTCAACGAACAGCATTGTGAAGGCGATGGCGCTGCGAGGTGGTGACAGAGAGAGAGCGTGTGTGTGCGTGCGTGGGTGAGGAAAAGGCTCGAGTGTCGGTGTGAGTGTTGGAATTCTCACTTTTTGGTTGCTGAGGCAACACGCGCTGCAACCACACGCGACAACTCCACTTTACGCGCTCAGTCACATCCTGGCGCTCTCACATCTTTGCTCGGCGCACCTCATCTCCTGCTCCTCGTGCACCGAGGGCTGTCGCATACTTGTCCTTGTTCATTCTCATCAGATCAAGCCGGATCAGGCTGATGAGCTGAAACATACAGTCGCTCATAAAACACATTTCGGAGAGTAACGAGATCAGATCTAAAAGCTGAATTTTGATTCCATGATGGTCGCCAGCTGACACCAGCGACATCGGCACAGAACAGGGCTGGAACAAAGAGCGAGGCAGACGAGAGCAGCTGCAACCGTTTAACCGGAGCCACCCTTGTAGACCTTGCCGAACATGAGCTCCTGGAGCTTGTCGTAGCCAGAGAGCACACCGGCACCGGCGATACCACGGAGAATGTTGGCACCGGCACCCTTGAAGAGCGACGAGACACCCTCGGCGGCAATAATGGCGCGACCAGCGTCGAACATGTTCTTGTAGTGAACCTTGCCACCCGAGGTCATCATCATTCGTCGACGGATGGTGTCGAGAGGGTAAGAAGCAAGACCAGCACCAGTGGTAACACCCCAGCCGAGCAAGAACGAGGCAAGGAAGTTGTTCGAGAGGTTACCAGTGAGCAGGACGGGCTTGAGCGAGTCGTACATGCCGAAGTACAGACCACGGTAGACGACGATACCAACGACCGAGGGGACGAAACCACGGTAGAGACCGGCGATACCGTCAGAGGCGATGGTCTTGCGGTAAACGTCGACGAGACCGTTGAACTGACGGTCTCCACCGCCCTTGGCGGCCGACTTGGCATCGTTAGCGAGACGGGTACGGGCGTAGTCGAGCGAGTAGACGAAGAGGAGCGACGAGGCACCGGCGGCACCACCAGAGGCAAGGTTGGCCGAGAGCGACTTCCAGTAAGGAGCGGTCTTGGGGACGGCGAAGAGGGACTTGAAGAAGTCCTTGAAGGCAAAGTTAAGAGCCTGGGTGGGGAAGTAACGGATGACGTTGGCGGTGTTACCACGCCACAGCGAGACGAGACCCTCCTGCTGGTAGGTGCGGACAAAGCAGTCGCCGATACCCTTGTAAGGGGAGGCAAGACGGCCCTGCTTGATCATCTCATCCTGGTTCTGGATGAGCAGCTTGACACGCTCGATGGGGGCGGCAGCCGTCTTGGAGACGGCGGCGGAAACACCACCCATGAGGAAGTCAGTGGCGAAGCCACTGGCGGTCTTCTTGGTCTTAGCGGGGTCGGCAACGGTACCCATTTTGACTGCGGAGAGGGTGAAATGGAGGGAAAGAGGTGATTGGGTTAGTTACTGTTGGCAGCGATCAAAGCGTGGGACGGGAGATCAAAAACAAATTCACGGCATCGTCACCGTCACCGCTCGTCGATGCACAGCAAATGGCTGTTCGTGCAGCTGCTTTAGACAAGAACAGGCACGTCATTCAGCCAACGCCGTTCGTCGACGTCAATGTCATCTAAAGATAAGCGATTGACGTTGATGAGGACAGCCGAACGTACGACAATCCGGAGGTTTCAGTCACGAGCATTGATGGCAAGACGTGAACCGGCTGCTGCGTCAAGCCTCGGAAGTGTATGCTAGACCATGCCAATGGTTTCCGATGGCGGTGACCAAATGTCATCCAGCGCAAGCATCGATTCTGACAGCGACGAGGCGGGTGAACCGGGACAGGCGATCTGTTGTTGAGTTTGCTATCGTAAAGCATGGAGCTCTCGAGTCGATAACTGGGAGGAGGCGTGGTGTATGCTTACCTGTACTACTGTATGAGAGGTGGTAGGTAGGTGGAAGAAAGTCGGAAGGGAAGGCGCACGGTGGAAGAAAGGTATTTTTCAAGGGATCCGCGCAGGCGACGAGCGAGAGAGGCTCAGAGGGTGGGCGGTCAAAGCCCAGGCGAGTGCACACTGGCCGAGCGTCGACAAGAATGCGACGACTGATTGGTTGAGGACACACGGATTGCGCGATGCTCTCAGACCAACTCTGGAAAAATCAACAGCACAGCAGCTACGAAGAAGCGAGGAGGAAGAAAAAATTTCGAGACGAGGCAAAGAACCGAACAAGAAGAAAAAACTTGCAACACACACAGGCCGGATGCCTGTTCCGTTCCAAGATCGAGGTCAGGATAGGAAAGGACCGGAGCAACTCGAACCAAACAAAATTTCGAATCTGCCCTGCGGAAGAGCGCCAAGCTGCTGGCATCTCTCTCTCACCTCGCTCTCTCTTCAACATCGACCGACCTGGCAGACTGGTCGCGCTGGCTTGTCCCTTGTAGCGCCGGTCAAGGGTTTGTGCGACCTTGTCGACGCAGAGGCCGCCGCCAGCCACCTGTCTCACCGAGGACACCCACTGCACTGTGCTGGCTGCCGTGAATCACACGCACCCTTCTCACCAGCGGTACACATACCATGACAGCGACGGCGATCGGGCCTCGCCGAACTCTGTCTTCTGGCAGCGATGTCGTCGCCTCTGTGCCCTCCCGCTACCTTACCGGCCCGCTGCTCCCCTATGCGAAACGATCCCTGCCCACGAAGCGGCAAATATTTACTACATCTGCTTCGTTCCAACTTCGTCTCATTCTGTGTGCTTAGGTCGCCATGCATTGGGGCGGGGCGATACACCAAGTACTAGTGTGGTGCTGCCTTGAGTTTATCCTTCTTCCACGCGCCCGCGAGGAGCCGGTCGGTCTCTTCGGAAGCAACGGTCAAGGTATCCAAGCCTGCGCGAGAAGACCGACAAGGGTACAAAAAGTACAATTCGCACATTCGAGATTTGTATTCTCTTGAAAACTTGCATTTCGAAATGAAAGCTTCTCCTGAAGTTCGAGCAGGAACTTGCCGGAATCCTGCAATTGCCGGGTTTGGGCTTTAGCTGGCGTATCGGGTCCGAGAGACGCTGCAGCGAATTGGCCGAGATCAGGAGAAAGTTGAGCCGCTCTCCTGCTGCTTTTAAACGAGCAGCGTGTGATTTGCCGGGGACCCCGCCCACGACAGGGCAGGCCGACCTCTCCGCTTGGAGCGAGCAGCTCGAGTGTTTTTGGCTCGTCTCGCTGCTGCTCTTTGAGCCGACGTAACAGTGCGGAAACTGCTTGGTCGTGATCCCGTTTGTACCTTTCCGTCACGCTGATGGCTTCAGCGACGTCTCTGCATGGCGTTGCGAGCGCAGCATTGATGGGTCTCAACACAGTCGATTCCTCTTGATGCCATGTCTGAACTGCCAAAGGGTATCTCAGTCTATTTCTCCGTGGGGCCGTCCCGATTCCCTCTGCTCAACCTCTCGGTGAACCGTTCTTTGCGCAAGAGGGCTTGGCAGAAGCGCCAAAGATCCTCTCGCGGGCTAGACGATACTCTTCCTGCCGTTGTTCGACCGTCTTGTGTTCCTGCGGGCCTGTCCTCAACGCACTGGCAGAGCTTCCGTCGCTTCGCATACCCGGAGCCGCTTCCTTTGGACGCTGCAGGATACGAGGAGGTGCTGTTGCTATCGCGACCCCACCATTTCTGGCAAGAACCGAGGCCGGCGCTTCACGAGCTTGTGATGATACGTTGACCTGCAAGCGATGTCCGTACGCTGCACCCGGGAGACTGCGGCCGTGGACGGATGCGAACACGGGAACAGCTGCTGGTGCCTGCGAGTTGCTGTCCATCCGTGATCGCGCCGACAGATCACGTAGAGAATGGCCGCAGATATCGTCAGCTGAGATGTACCACCAGAGATAACATCGTATGCGTGTTGGCAGCGCTCTACTCACGCTTCAGTCCATTGGTCGTTGGACTTCTTGAAGACGTCCGCTGATTGCGTTCCTGCCTTGCTGTCGTCATCGTTGCTCTCGGCGTCCCAGTCGTCGACCACGTCCGCCTCTTGCTGCCGTTGCTTGGCTGCAGTCGACGACGCCTTGGAAGGCTTGAACTTGGACGTTGCAACAATTTCGCCTGCCGCTGCTTGACCGTGCATGGTGGTGCTTATCCTGCGAGCTGATCCCTCCTCAGGATGCTAGCATGTCCGTTGCACGGCCGTCACCGAAAGTTGGGCGTGCTTGAGCTCGGTCTCGACATCGAGAAGGAATGAAAAGCATCGCAGGATGACAGCTTTGCCGGCTTTCGGACGTCAACGAAAAACGCGATTTTCCGTGCCGCAATAAATGACTTGCTTTTCTTTGGCCGTGAATTGTGCCGATTAAACTCATTGCTAATTTGTGGAGGAATCTGGCTGCGCTGCTTGCTGCAGGCTGAGCTCAACCGTTGCTCGCCGCGCCGTTGCTGCATGCTCAAAGAAAGGCCTCGGGGCTCAAGAATGGCTGTCAATGCGCTAGTCACATCTATCGAAACGACTTGTTGCCGTCTGACATCCGCAACACTCTCAGGGCACGGACGCTCGCGATCCGTTTGGGCAGCTTCGACAACAAACTGCCACCTTCGTAGACGCCTGATCGAACCAAAGAATCTCACGCGCCAGAACATCTCGTCACGTCTGGCACCGACGTAACCGGCTGGACGGATCGGCTCCCTGCAGCCCTCTATCATTCCGCACTTCCACTCCTATATCATCTCGTCTATGCCGCAATCAGTGATTTGGTGAGCAACCACTGCCCGTAGCAGAGGCGTTTGCCGCCTTCGGAGCGGAGCCATCACGCGCTATGACGACGCAAGGCGAAGGCCTCTCTTGGCCCCAGTTTACCAACGTATCCTTCGACGGCACCATCTCGAGTCAGCCATCGGCAGGTTCAGACGCGTTCGACACAGCACCCGAGACCGTCGACTTTGGCGCATCTCAGGCGTTCTTCGGCGGGCTAGACCACTCACCTTTCGGACTGCCTCCCCAAGACGGACGCGGCCACCCTAATCACCGGTATCGTTACGAGCACGACACCTTCTCCACATCATCAAGGCCGGTCATCTCTGGTTCAGATCCCATCAGTAAGCTTGGTTTCACCTCGAATCGCGCCTCCTCACAGCTACATGGCATGGCAGACATGCACTCGCCTCCTCAGTTGAGTCCCCACAATGTACACATGCCGACCAGCCACATTTCATACCCAAACGCTTCTACACCAACCCACTTCTCGCCTCCGGAACAACATACCCAGCACTACCAAAGTCCTCATCAGAAAGCATACGCAGCACAGAACGCATCCTCAACACAGCAACAACAGCAGAACGAGGCGTCGCAACGTCTCGCCGAGATCGAACGCCGCAACAGGGTGCGGGAAGAAGGCAAGGCACGCAGGACGCTGGAGATCACAAAGCAGGTGAACGACGGCATGGCAGCGCTCCAGCTTGAGAAAGACGATTCGGCGCATCGCACCGCCGAAGTCGAGCGGCGCAACAGGCAACGCGAGCAAGACAAGGAAGAGCGGAGGCTCGCCATCCAGAAGCAGGTAGAGGACGGCATCAAAGCGATTCAGCGCGAGAAGGAGCGCGAACGCGCCCAGGTCGAAGCGGACCGAGATGCTTGCCGCAAGTGGCTCTCAGATTTGCACCTAGCTGCGTGCTCCTCGAACGCCGTCGGGCCATCAGACTCCGATACAGTAGACCTCCATGAAGCGATAGGACGCCAGATGCAGGGCTTTTGGGAGGCATCGCGTCCCGCCGCCTCGAGTCAAGCAATCCGCAACGAGGTCATCGCCGACGTCCAACGTGCTATCAACGCCAAGTGGCCCCGTCAGGGCCTGCAAGTGGCAGCCTTCGGCTCCAGCGTGACGGGACTCATCACCGAGACATCCGATCTTGATCTCGTCTTGCTCGATCCCACGCGTCCCTACGGCGTCGGCACACCAGCAGAGCTGCGCCGCGACACCAGAGGTTTTGTTCGTCACACGAGCGGCATGCCCGAGTGGTACAGCACCAACCAGATCGGCAACGCCATCCGCAACTCGGGCAAGTTCCGCAACATCGTGCCCATCAGCAGCGCCGCCGTGCCAATCGTCAAGATGGTCCATAGGAAGCATGACATTCCCGCCGACATCAACATCAACGAGCGATTCGGTCTCTTCAACTCGCAGCTCATCCAAGCCTACGCCAACTTGCAACCGCAGATCGTACGGCCGCTTATCTTCTTTCTCAAACATTGGTACTCGCGCTGCGAACTCAATGATCCAGCTGGCAAGCGCGGGTCCATGACATTCAGCAGCTACACCATCGCCCTCATGGCCTTGCAAGTGCTTCAAGTCGAAGGTGTGCTGCCGAACCTGCAAAGTCCCGCCCTGCTAAACAGACTCAACGTGGCACCCAGCTTCCTCTACGCCCGTACCAGGCGACCGGCACGCGGCAAGAACGCACGGTCGGCCCTGGTCGAAGATGCGTCGCCTCCAAAAAAGTACGATGTGACCTTTGCGACGGAACACTCCGACGCTGAGCTGCAGAAGGGCAAAGTCATCAACCCCACCGCAGACGACGCTCCCAAGAACATGGTGTCAAGCAGTGATCCTTTGCTCGGCAGGATGCTGATCTCGTTCATTCGATTCTACATGCAACTTGACAGACGTAGGCATGTTGTGTCTGTGGTGAACGGGTCGTTGTTGCCACGAAAGAGGGGCTCGCATCCGAGACACGTTCTCTTCGACTCGGCTAGCGAAGATGACAGTCTTGAACCCGAGGACGGCGACAGGCAAGAATCTCCGGATCTTCTGTCATTTGCATTCAGAGACGGCGACGCTCGCACCGCCTTGCGCGAAGAGCAACAAGACATATGGGCTGGCGAAGAATTGGTGGTGCAAGATCCCTTCATCATCGACCGCAACACCTCTCGAAACGTCAAGGCTGCGGCGATCGAAAAGTGGCAAAGCACGATGCGAAGCGCTGCCGATCACCTGGGTGTGCACTTGGAGCAGAACACGAAACACGCTCACCGGGTGAGAGTCGAGGACGCCCCGCTCATTCTTGACCTTTGCATCCCGCTCGGGATTCGCGCTGAACTCGATGCCGCTTTGCCCGACGCCAGAATGGGCAATGGAGGCGGAACAGTGGAGCCATGGCGGCGAGAGGAGGAAGAAGCAGCACAGGCGCGCGAGATCGCCAAACAAGCCGCCAAAAAACTACGCCAGGAAAAGAAGAAGCAAGCTCGCAGATCCAAGGCCAGTGAAGCACGCAGGCTGCAGGAAGAGGCGGCCATGGTGGAAGACATGATCGATGGCATGGAGTCGCGTCGTCCGACGACAAGTGCACAGCTGTCGGAGAACTGGCGTCTGAGACCAGACAATGGCAACGGCACAAACACCGGCTCCAGCCACAGCCCGGCTTTCGGCAGCAATCAAGGCGACGGAGCAGAACCGAGCTTTGTCCCTTTCACGTTCAGCGTGGAAAGGTCGTCAGGGCCCATCCCCGCAACAGCACCTCTCCCACCAAACACGACCGTCAGCAATGAGGGAGACAAGCAATTGTCTGCACGCGGGCAAGCAAATGGCAGTCCGACGGTCTCGATCAGGACGGATGGATCATCCGAGTCAGAAGACATCGACCTGGTCGCGTTGCGTCTTGAACGGGTGGCTCAGCCTTAGTGACTGTCACGTCAAGCAATCTTTCTGTTCCTTGAGTATTGCGTTACAGCGATATTAGATGTGATTTGCTGTGCATGCGATCAGTCAGAGATACCAGTCCCGAAGATGGATCTTGAGCATTGACCGCGTGAGACCCCCGTCCCAGAGCCTCGGAAAGCGTTTCCGGCATGACCATGTGGAGGTATCAACTCGATTTTTCGGCAGCGCAGCATGCACGCCTTGCAGGCGGAATCCGCGCTTGGACCCTTTTCACGGCTTCGGGGCGGCAAGTCGAACGTCACCGTCATTCGGACCACCATGAACGAGAGCACTCTTTAAACGAGGTTCATTGCACGGCTCTCGAGTTACTTTGGCTCCCCGTCAATCCGCCGTTCGGCATCGATCAGCATGTTTTCGAAACAGAATCGTGCTCAAGCAAACCCGTCATCGCTCGACCTTTCCTCCCTGCAGTCATACTCACCTAAGTGGTCCATACAGCTTCGACTCGCCACTTGCATCTCGATCAAGTACGCCGTCCGACGCCATGTAGAGCGCGCTGCGTACCTGAATAGCGCATCAACAGCGCCGTCTTTGACTGCTGGCGCGACGGCATATTCTGTATCACAAGAGTGGTCCGATTACGGCCAAAAGTTTCTCACAGCGACCTGTCAGCATCTCGGAGTGGCCGAGAATATTCTCCCGCCAGATCCGATCAACCTCGAAGATGTGCTGTCGGCTGCGCAGGGCCGCCTTGAGCACGCGGGAACGCACGATCCTGTCTGCGAGAACGAGCCAGCCTTCGAATCTGGCTCGGACCATGCTCGACGCTTTCCAAACCTCGATCTCCCCATCAAAGGTATCGATGACATAAAAAAAGGAGACGCAGCTGAGGGCATCGAAGATGAGAAGGCTGTCGGAGGCTCATCAGCACGTGGTGAGAAGCAAGAGCTGGCCGAAACCACAGCTTCCCTAGAAAGCCTTCATCTCAAGACGTCGGCTTCGTCTCTATCCGATCACGGCTCCGAGGGGTTCGCCTACGATCAAGATGCTCAAGAGCTACCAGACTTCCTTCAAAGTCAAGCAGATCATTCGACATCGTCGAGGTCGACCAATGCGGACCTGAATCGCCAGCAACGAGCTCGTAGCCTTTCTCAAGATACCACGGCCTCTGCCCCTCCGAAGCGCATGCAAGGCGCTCTCGACCTGAACTCTGGCCAGGATATCGAGATAGCTCACGAACTGCTGCTGATCGCGCTGGGTCTCGGACAGTATCGGGCTCAGGACGGAACGTCCACTGTCTTTGAGCAAGACTTTCTGTTCGGCGAGACCGAACTGGACCTGCCTCGTTCCGGATCGCAGAACACAGGGGAGGCCACCCAGTCTGATCCACCAACACCTTCAGTCTCAGCTCAACAAAGCTCTCATCCGTCATCTGTTGCAGCCGGGAGCAGGGCGTCGGATGACGGGATCAAGAGCATGTCCGAGACGGGGCGCATGATCGGAGACGCATCGAAGAAAACCTTCACCTCGCTCAAAGCAGGAACCCTGTCTGGATGGAACAAGCTCTCTTCCGCTAGCAAAGATCTTGTCAGCCCATCAACACAAGACCATACGAAGGCAGCGGCCTCCAAGGATGCGAAGCAGCCCGTCAAGCCAAACGAAGTCTGCCACTACGACGCCCGGGCTCGCTCGCTGATCTTTGTCGCTGTCACCGCGATGGGCATCCCGGCGCGGCAGGTGTGGATGGCTGAAAAGGTTATGGCTCAGACCATTTTCTTCATCATGAGCGAAGGCGACAGAGCATCGGCGTCCAAGACTGGCAAGGGCATCGTAGAGCAACTTCCCACAGGTGCTTCGCTCGATGCACGCACCGGCTCGATCACACAGGCATCGCAGCGCTCCGAGTACATGAACCAGCATTCTGGATCGGTGGTGCAGCGAGAGCGCGAAAAGGTCACATGGGGTAAGTGGGCCGCCATGGGTGGGGGCTTTATCGCTGGAGGATTGGTGATCGGGCTGACAGGTGGCCTCGCTGCTCCGCTTATCGCGCCCGCTCTGGTCGGTCTCACTGGCGTCTCCTTCCTTGCTACCTCGGGAGGCATCATCATGCTCGGAACGCTGTTCGGCTTGGGCGGCGGCGGTCTCGCTGGCTATCGTGTCGAGCGACGTCTGCGAGGAGTCTCGTCCTTCTCGTTTGCCGAGTTGGCAACAGAAGCCCGAAAAGCTGGTGTCGCCATTCCGAGCTTGCACGCCACAATCTGCTCCAGCGGACTCATCCTCGAGGCGGAGCAGCAGGTGACACCGTGGACACACGTCTTCGAAGGCGCCAAGGACAATCGCGATGCCTTTGCCATCGAGTGCGAGGCCGACATGATGAAGGAGGCCGGACAAGGGCTGCGTTCCTACATGCTGGACAACCTTCTCCGCACCGGTGGCACGAAAGCAGCCGAAGAGGTGGTGAAAAAGACGGCCCTTGCAGGCATCGCCGCCATCACGCTTCCTCTGAGTGTGTTCAACGCAGCATCAGCGACGCTGGACGGCGTCTTTGTTCGTGCCAAGACGAAAGCGCACAAGGCGGGTCTCATCCTCGCCGAAACGCTGCGCAACGAGGTTCAAGGTCATCGACCTGTTGTGCTGATCGGTACCTCGCTGGGAGCGGCGACGATTCTCACAGCGCTCACCGAACTCGCCAAGGACCCCGAAAACACATCGCACCTGGTCGATTCGGTCTTTCTCATCTCGGCACCCATCACGCCGTCCAACTCGACGCTGCGCAAGGTAAGGAGCATCGTCCAGCGTCGCTTCGTCAACGTGTTTTCGTCGAAGGACATGGTCTGCGGAATCGCGGCTTGGCTGGGATCGGGTGTATCGGTGGAAGAGCTGCGGGCGGGCAAGGTGCCGCGCGTGGCAGGCAGTCGCGCGATCGACGACGTGCCGGGACTGGAGAACGTCAACGTCTCCGACATCATCTCGAGCCATTTCGAGGTGAATGACCAGGACAAGCTCACAGCGATCTTGGCACGGTGCGGAGCGCTGGACGATTGAAAGTGTCACAGGAATTGTAAACACAGTGCGGGCGCCTTGAATCTGACAAAGCAACGCACCCTCTCACGTACCGAAGCGCTGTGTCAAACGTAGCGGGGGGTGTACCGTCTGCTCGGAGTCGCCCGTTGGATCGGTGCAGCTGACCAAAGACATCAACAAGCAGCCACCGGTGTCAGATCGAGGAACGCGCAGATTTCGCATGAATGTTGAGATGTCCTGAAAAGCGGAACGTAGAGAGGAGCATGTCTTGGCATGGCGTCCCGGTAAAAAATAAAAGGCAATCTCCATGCGAGGAGCTCGGGTCGCGAGGAATGGACCCTGCGCGTGTTTGCCGGCGTCCGTCCTCCTGTGTCCGCAGCCCTCCTCCTCGCAGGACGGTTGAGTCTCCGACACGCTCTTGTTCACAGCGAGAGTTGCAGCGACTGTAGATGGCCTCTTCGTGGCAAGGTGTCGAACGTCGAAAGGCGATGCAGGCAAAGACGATCACGGCTAGGCAGCGTCGGGAGCAGTGCAAGCTGTCAAGGTGTGCAAAAACGGGTCGCCTGGCGAAACATCGGCTATGCACGACAATTTGGGCGCCTCATGCGAGATCGACAGCATTGATCGGCATTCGACATTATTTGAGCTACATCACATGCCGTTCTCCACTTGTTTCTGATTCCGCTCAGGAGGTGATCCCCTGCAGCACACACAATTTGCTCGACCGCATGGTTCGAAGAAGAGTGAGACGGGTACGCGCGTGACCATAGTACGACGCACATCAATCCATTCTCCTTTGGATCGAACCAGAAAGTTGCTGACGACATGGTACAGGCTTCAAGTCCCAACGTCAGACAGGATCTGAGATTTTGATGCTCCGCGAGCGGAGGTACGTTCGAGATGATGGCGCAAGACGAGAGACAGAAATAGTTAGAACCCGGGAAAGTACGTGGGAGCTGCAGAGGAACGCATGTTAGGTAAACTAAATTTAGATCTCTACTGTTTGTCCCTATTTGCGGGTACGACAACTGCATGTGGGTCGCAAACACCGGAGCATCGTCGGAGTCTAATAACCTGAGAACCAAGCTCGTCATTGTTGCCCCACGCTTGTCGCTCTGTTAAATGCTGCAATGGTCCCGCGGCACAGTGTCAGACACTCGCGCTTCTCGCTGAGGTAGGGGCTGCAGGGGTGGATGCCAAAAAATCAACATTCATGCACAGCGACCAACGCACCGGAAGTCCGCTCGGCCGTTGGCCGTCATGCTACCAAAGCTGTACCGGGTTTCGAGTGGGACCTTCTTTGTTCCTCGCTTACCTACCATCCTGTTCCTGCTGTACGCCACATTCTGAGCAGTCCCATTGTGAAGGCCGTCGCTAGGATGCAGTCGGCCATTCCTGGCTTGCGAGATGATTGGCTGAGGCCTCTTGACGTCTCGCATCATCTATGATGATCGACGTCTGTCTCATGTACTGCACTCGAGCCTCGCGTCCACTGCTCCGTCTATCTGCCTTGTGCCTGAATCAATCAACCTTCGCGACCCCTTCATTCCAACCAACGAAACGGCTGCGTGTCGCTGTTCACCCGTGTTCGCCTCGTTCCGATTGTCCCGTCGGGCCGTCTTGTGGGCCTCGTTTCGCACCCCGCACCTTGCAAGATCGACATCCCACTTGGCTGAAGATCCTGTCAACCCACAAGGTCGGTCGAGCTGGCTGAAAAGGTGGCGCAACAGAAGTGCAGCTTGCAGCGTGATGACGCCCCTGACTGTCAAGTGCATCTGTGAGGCCCGAGAGCCACGGATGTTCCAAGAAAAGCCTGTGCTCATAGCATCCAGCCCGTGGTCCAGATCGTTCCTCGTCTAGCACCTCAGTACCAGTGCTCCGGCTCAAACAGACCTCGCTAGGATATAGTCGTTGACGGCATACGACCCCTATCCTTGCGGGGAATGGAGGCGCTACTTTCCGAGCAAGAGGGACACCATATGAAACCTTTACCCTAAAGTATCTATAGTCCACCCCGTTTCCTAACTTCCGGCTTTTCGTCACCCTCACCTCATTCTCCCCCTACCCTCCTCCTTCTGTCCTTCTACCCTTTCCACTGACCTTTCACTCGTCTTTACGCCAGGATTACACCACACTCTTTTGATCACCACAACGCTCCTTTTCCATCCCCTCCCGCTTCCCAACAGCTTCTTCAACTCATACACGCCCTCGACTTACACTCGTCATCTTCTTAGAAAGCACCGCGTACTGTCACTCACACAGCCTTTGACGGCCTCGTTCCGACTGGTAGCTTCACTCGGCAAACGATGACCTTCGCTACGCACAGCATGACGTTAAAAGCTATCGCCCTTGGGTCTCTCCTGCTCGCCAGCAGCGGCAGCGGTGTCTCAGCAGGCAATGCTGGCACCATGCGAGTGGTTGGGAACTCCGGCGTCTCAGCTCAGATGATGTTCCTCGGCACAGAGCAGAAGGTCTACATCCTCGACAAGACTGAGAACAATGCTGTGCGCGTTAATGGCCACCCTGCCTGGGCCGTAGAGTACGACATCAAGTCGAACACGTATCGGCCCATGGAGGTGCGTTCCAACACCTTTTGCGCCGGTGGTATGTCCCTCGGTGACGGCACCTGGCTGGTCACTGGCGGAAACAAGGCCGTGACCACCAACGGAGACACCGCAAAAGCTGGAGCCGGCTACGGAGCATACAACGGCGGAAAAGCGCTCCGATTCCTGAGTCCGTGTGACAATCAACAATGTCAGTGGGATGACCAGTCGAGCAACCACCTCGACACGGAACGATGGTATCCCACCGTCGAACCTTTAGCCGATGGCCACAACATTATACTTGGAGGTATGCGAGATGGAGGCTTTGTTCCCAGTCAAGGTTCAAACAACCCTACCTACGAATTCTACCCTCCCAAGAAGGATGGAAAGAGTCTTTCGTTGCCGGTGCTGCAGCGCACTGTACCTCTTTCGCTTTATCCGATCGCATATTTGATGTCGTCGGGCGATGTGTTCATCCAAGCTGGGAGGGAGGCGATCATGTGGAACTACAACAAGCAGAGCGAGTGGTCAATGCCCAAGATTCCGGGCGCGCCTCGCGTCTATCCTGCCTCGGGTGGATCGGCTCTGCTTCCACTGACACCTGCCAACGGATACAAGGAGACGATCCTCTTCTGCGGTGGTATGAGCCTAGGCAAGGTAGCCAACTGGGGCAACGAAGGTGGACCCAGCATGGCCGTTTCGCAGGTTCCAGCGTCGACCTCGTGCGAGCAGATCAGCCCATTGCAAGGTGGCAACTGGGAAGCGGTCGATGATCTACCCGAGGGTCGTTCGATGGGTCAATTCATCCAGCTGCCCGACGGCACCCTTTGGTTCGGCAACGGCGTCACCACGGGTGTCGCTGGCTATAGCACCAACCCGAATGCCAAAGGTGATCCTGTCGGCGAATCGTACGGCGACAACCCATCGTACCAACCTCTCGTGTACAACCCTCAAGCATCACTCGGCAACCGATGGAGGCAAGTCGGCAGCACCTACATTGGTCGACTCTACCATTCTTCCGCCACGCTCCTTCCCGATTCCTCCATCCTCATCGCCGGCTCCAACCCCAACGCCGACGTCAACACCTTCACCACATGGGCTACCGAGTATCGAGTCGAGCGATGGTACCCTGAGTTCTACGACTCGCCTCGTCCATCTAGCTCTGGTCTGCCGCGAAGCTTTTCGTACGGTGGCAAAGGGTTCACCATCAAGCTCAACTCGGCCGCCGAGGCGCGAAAGGCCAAAGTGGTACTGGTTCGCACCGGCTTTTCGACGCACGGTATGAACATGGGTCAGCGCATGATCGAGCTCAAGTCCACAAGACAAGGCAGCTCGATCAGCGTTGCTCAGCTTCCACCGAATGCCAATCTGTTTGCTCCTGGACCGGCCCTCGCGTTCGTCGTGGTGGATGGCGTGCCGAGTCAAGGAAAGATGGTCATGGTGGGTAATGGAAAGATCGGTACGCAGCCGGTTGCGGCAGAAACGTCGCTGCCTGCTGCGTCTGGCAAGAGGGAGGAGATGATGGAGCCTAGGAATGTGTCCCAGGTGGAGCGAGAGGTGGCTGCGGCTATGGGAGGACACGACGATGTGCTCCGAAGAAGCGCGTTGCACGCTCGTCACTACAAGAGCGGCGTCGATCGTCTTTGACGACACCTCCGACGTCCACCGGGTTGCCTCTTGTGAATTGCTTTCGCGCATGATTTGTCTTCTCTTCATCAGAACATGGTCGACGTGATCCTCGGCAGCGATCGATACGATTGATCCTGCTTTGTAGCTCTGATCCGTCATCCCATTTTAGCACTTAGTTCTTTCTTTTTTCACCTTTCAATTCAATCTCAAGATCTCCTTGCGGGCATAAACGGTGTGATTCGTGTGACCGTTCGCTGATTGTGTGCTGTTGATGTGGCTGCGGGAGGCAGATATGATGATTCGCGATGCAAGATTAGTGAGAGCTGTCGAAAAGAGCGACCCACCGAAGTGAAGACCCTTTTTTCTTGGGATGTCAAACCTTAATTGCAAACATCGGCTAGGCAGCGCGAAAGTTCTTTGCCTGGAATGCAGCCAGAAAGAGAGCGAGTTCCGAACTTTTTTTGTCACACGGTGGTGCAGCTCAAAGTCTTCTAAACCTTTCGTAGCTACCACCTGCAGTCACCATCGGACCATCTCTTCAACTATCGCGAAGATGCTTGCTCGAATCACAACGGCCGTCATGGCCTCTGCAAAGGCATCATCGTCACGAACCATCACAACAACCGCGGCGGTAGCAGCAGCAGCAGCACCAACACGCAGCGTCATCCCCAAACCTCAAGGTAAGCCGACTCGCCTTTCGAACTTCGTCCGTACTCTTGCTCTTTACTCACACCTACCTTCTCTCTTTCTTGTCCCCATCGATGCATCATCTCTTCAATCACTCAGGCACAATTTCTGACCCAGCCACGTTCCTCACCTCGATCTCGCGCACACGCCGCGATCTCGCCTCCAACTCCTCCCTCACATCAGCGATCGGCGAAGAGTGGTCCAACATCTTCACCATCCGTTCCGATCAACTCAAACAGGCAGGCGTCACAACAAAGGACAGACGATACTTTCTCTGGGCCAGGGAGAAGTTCCGACAGGGTGCGAATCCGGACGTGTTTGCGATCGATGCAAAGCCCAAGAAGAAGGTTCGAGGGTAAGTCGCGGTACTTTCCAGCGCATCGAGATGATACACAGATCCAGAGATTCTGACTCACTCCTCTTCTTTTGCGATTGGTTCGGATAACAGCTGGGGTGCGAGGGTACAGACTGCAGAGAGGATCCGTGTGCGCGGTGTGAGGAGGCCGGGCGAAAAGTGATGCTCTCTTGTTTCGCCAACTGAACACACGCAATTGCAGTCACCAACCAGACGGATGCTGTTCCGATGTGTGACTCTGTGAAATAGCAACAAGCATACGTGAAAAGCTGCCTTCATCTCTGCTGTTGCAAAAGCTGCTGCTTCCTTGCAGCCTTGACGACTTCGGACCTTCGATCCATCACGGCCAGCACGGAATTCTGAATCAACGTGTAGATGCCCGACGAGAGCCAATAGATGACCAGCACACCGGGCGCCTGGCACGCGATGGGGATGAAGGCGATCGCCATCACCCTCAATGCGTTCGTGATGATTCTCGCTCTCGGCGGTTCGTCATCCACCTCTTGTCTTGCTTGCTCCGGTTTATCTGCCAACAGCTTGTCCGCCGTTCTCGCTGCAGCATCACCGCCGGACGTCACCGAACGGATCTTTGCGATGCTCCTCCTACTCCAGCTGTTCAATTCCGTATTCGCAAGTGTCAACATACCAAAACTGAGTGGACCGATCATGGTCGAATCCCGGTCGACGAGAGTGGGACCTCCCATGGTACCCTTCAATTTGGCGATGGCAGCTTCGTCAAAGCCGCGATCTGCCAGGATGGCGGTGCTCGCCTTGAACTGCTGCGCCAGCTCTGGCGATGGAGACCACCAGGGCAGCACTTCCGTGCTCAGTGGAGAGGTCGTATCGAGTGCACACTGTCGAAGAAGCGCCGTCATGAGCAGAAACACGGGGATGGTGACCACCGCCGGTCCGAGGAATGCCGGTAGTGGGGACGCATTGTGCTTCCGGAGCAGCTTTGCGAGTTCTGCCTTGAGCTCCTTTTGCGCTTCGGCTTCGAATGCTTCGTACGAAAGTCCCGCTCGCCTGGACCTCGCCCGTACAGCGAGTGGGATGCGCTCCTTCATGATCTCCCATTCCGGCAGCACTTTTTCGGTCAACTGTCTGGTTTTGCCCCTTTGGTACAGCGTCATGGGCAGCGTTATGGCGGTTCGGACGGCGAAGGCGAGGATGAAGATGGATAGGGCGTGTGCATAGGGTCCGCTGAGATGCATCGTGTCGGCGAGGTTGTTGATGGTGGGTACCCACGGTTGGAGGAACTCGAAACCGCCAGCTACGACGTCGCTGTCGGCGACTGCTTGAGAGGCTGCGCTGGCCGCATCCGTTGTTGACGTTGAAGAGGAAGTGATTTCACTATTCGTTATTGATGGCGCCGAAGGAGCAGCAGAGAAGGCTGTTGAAGTCGATGCGAATCCTCGATGGCTGCGAGGTGCAAGCCGATGCGGCAAAGCGTTTCCAGGCCAAAAGGAGCTTGCCGTTGGTAGCAGAGCTGCTCGTGTGCGAACGCCAGCGGCGGCAACGCGGAAAACCCCTCTGCTTGCCATGTCTGCGTTTGTTCTGTCGATCGGTCTATGCAATGTATGACCTTGAGGGGACAGGATGATGCTCGGAGGCAAGGTGGAGAAGTGTGTCCGGTCACGTCTGCTCCACTTTTCTTCCAATCGTATCGGCGATGCCTTCGCCTTCCTGCGTTGCCGATCCAAGATGGACTTTTCTACTTGCAGCTCACGCTGCCGTTTTACGCGACTGCAAAGCGCGTAAATTTTTGGACTGCGTGGAGGTGTTGGTCTCTGTTAAGGAAGCGCACTCGTGTCAAAGCTGAGTTTGCTGCGACGCCACCAAAGGTAGAAACTTCGGAGTGGTCCCGACGTTGTCAACAGCTCGTCAAGTTGTCAACTCTTCCTGACGTCCAAATATTCTTTCAGAAGCTCAGCTCGGCTCAGCTCCCCCGGAAAAGCAAAGCGGGAGGATTGCGGAAGCAAAGCCTGCCACTCCCGTGCTCGCATTCAGGACAGACTTGGACAAGCTCGACTGCGTACCGTCTCGACGAGCGTATTGCTCAAACGATCCGCGGGTCACGACTTCTCTCGTCTGACCCGCACACTCCATCCGCATCTTCACGACCTGCATTCTTCACACAAAGCATCATCAACGCCGAACATGTCTTTCGTCTCTGACTCCACCACTTCCTTCCGCACTACCTCATCCACCGCATAGCTCTACAATCCTACATCGCATTCAAAGGCATCGTCCGCATCGTCATCGTCAGATAACACAACCCTCCAGTTCCCCCTGAGCTGCGCACGACAATCTACTGCATCATCATCATGACAACCTCGCCGGACGAGTTCGACGATATTGATTTTGACGACTTTGGTCTCGATGACTCGGCGCTCCTTCAGCTGGATCAGATTGAGAGCAACCTCGTGAGCAATGGTGCCGCTCATAAGCAGTCTACAACATCAAACACGCATAGCAAGACGGCTTCGGACCCACCCCGCATACAGACGCTGTCGGCCATCAGCAACACCGACCATGCTAGAGGTGCGGCGCAGACTGCGAGCAATGGATCCTCTTCCTGGGCAAACAGAGCGGCTGCCTCTGCCGTAGCATCCACGTCGGCAAGACCGATGCAGCGAGTATCGTCTACAAGCTCAAATGCATCCAATCAGCCCACGTCGTCCGGGGCAGCCCGTCAGATGAATCTGTTCGGCAAGCCTGTCGCACCCTCGCAGACCCGAGCGGCCAAGGTGGTCTCTTCTAGTCCCGGGCAGATCACCATCTCATCGCAGTCGGCTTCCGACAGTGCCAACGCCAATTACCGTCTACCCTGGCAGACGAAAATGGGCACCAAGACGTGGGACAGAGAGGCATACCTTCACCGCGAAAACGCAAAGAACCGCGACAAGGAGGCTATCGACGTTGATGCACTCGATTTTGACGACGGTGCGCCCGGCACCAACAGTCCAAAGGGTAAAGGCAAGGCCAAGCGGGACTGGGACGCAGACAGCAAGTATACCAACGTGCTCCCGCCTGCGCCTGCTGAACCGCGTCGCAAGCCTGTCCAGGCGCAGCCGCAGAAATGCAAGATCGATCTCGAAGCAGGAAAGACGTGGATCTACCCGACCAACATGGAGAGCAGAGACTACCAGTACAACATTGTGCAGAAGGCTCTCTTCAACAACGTCCTCGTTGCCCTACCCACCGGTCTCGGCAAGACGTTCATCGCTGCCGTCGTCATCCTCAACTTTTTCCGCTGGTACCCCGATGGCAAGATCATGTTCCTTGCTCCGTCTCGTCCTCTCGTCGACCAGCAAAAGACGGCTTGCCATCGCATCTGTGGTCTGCCCTGGGAGTGCGCCATCGACCTAACCGGCAGCACTGCTGGCTCACAACGAGGAGACTACTGGGCCACCAAGCGCATCTTCTACATGACGCCGCAGACGTTCGAGAACGACATGATCCACAATCGCTGCGATCCGCGAGATGTCGTTTGCATTGTCGTCGACGAGGCCCACCGCGCACGTGGCAAATACGCTTATGGCAGCGTCATCGGTCGTGTCATGGAGGTCAACCCTCACTTTCGCGTGCTCGCGCTCTCGGCTACACCAGGCAAGGATTCGGACAGCGTTCAGGAGGTGGTCGATCAACTCCACATCAACCAGATCGAAATTCGTACCGAAGAGGCCATCGATGTCCAGCGATACGTCTTCCGCAAGCGCGAAGAGATCATCAACGTGTCGCTCGGCAAGGACCTCAACTTGGTCAAGGAGAACTGGGCCAAGCTCATGCAGACCCAGATGGATCCGCTCATGAAGGCGGGTCTCATTCGCAACCAAGACCCCGTCCTTTTGCACCCTTTCGCCGTGAACGCCATCCACAAGGACAGGAGTCGCGCAGCCATCTTGCACACCAAACCTTGGCTTCAAGCCAACATCAAGGAGCTCAGCCATATGGCCCTATCGATGCAATACCTCATGGAGCAATCACCGACCATGTTCTACAACCGTCTCAAGGAGCGATCCATGGGCTACAACGCAAAAGGCACCAAGACGTCCACGGCGAAGCAGCAGATGTACGCCAACAAGAACACCACGTTTGCCGAGATCATCCGCGAGCTCGAGCTGATGCAAGACACCAAGGGACGTATCCTCCATCCGAAGATGCTGAAGCTGCGCAACGTGCTGATCGAGCACTTTGACGCGATCAAGGCGGACCAGGTGCACAACGCAGAGGCGTACGAGGTGAGCGGGCACGACGTTCTCGGCAACACACCCAACTCGGGTCAGCTCGCCAACTTTGCCAGCTCGTCGCAGGCCGACACGAGGGTTATGGTGTTTTGTTCGTACCGCGAGTGCTGTGACGAGATCGTCGCGTTCCTCAACGATTCCGGTTTCAAGGCGACCGAGTTTGTCGGGCAGAGCAAGGCGAAGAGCGGCAAAAAGGGCATGTCGCAGAAGGACCAGGAGCGCGTCATTACTGATTTCAAGGCGGGCAAGTACAACGTCCTCGTCGCCACTTCGATCGGAGAGGAGGGTCTCGACATCGGATCCGTCGATCTGACCGTGTGTTACGAAGCGGTCAAAGACTCGATTCGCATGCTGCAGCGCATTGGTCGTACGGGTCGAAAGCGCGAAGGCAAGATCGCCGTGCTCGTCTCCGAGGGGCGCGAGCAGCACAACTGGCAGCATTCGAAAGACAACTACAAGGCCGTACAAAAGGAGGTCGATTCACGCATGCATGTCGAACTGTTTGACGACGTCGATCGGATGGTGCCGGACCACATCTCCCCGCAGCCTGTCCTGAAGGAGGTGGAGCAGCCCGAATTCGACCCTTCTATGGTCACCGACGGAAAGCCAACTAAAGCCTCGCGGGCTCCGAAAGTCGCCAAGCCGAAAAAGGATCCCAAGCGCAATATGCCCGAAGGTGCCATTATCATCGAAGGGTTCCGCAAGGCATCCACCCTCACCAAACGCAAGCGTGGCTCCGTAAGCGACGAAGATGCGCCTCCATCAAACGAGACGCACAGCCAGAGGATAAAGCGTCTCCTGACGGTTTCGAAGGAAGAGTTGGAAGCTCAATTTGCCGAGGAGGATCTGTCTCTCGACCTCCGCCCGCCGAAGGAGAAATCTCGGCCGGTCAAGAGGATTCCGTCTACACCGCCTAGCTCGCCTGAATTTTCGCCTCCACCGTCTTTGCTTCGAAGACCTGCAGTCAGTGCCAGCGTCGGCACGGCGTCGGATGGCATTCGGACGCCACCCGTCCCCAGCGCTTCATCCTCCTCGAAACCCTTGGCGGCAGGCTCTTCTACGCGCGGCAGAAAGCTGGGAGTAGGCTTGAGAAGCTCTGGCCGCAGTTCGACGAGCTCCGGCACGCTAGCTTTGCGCAAGAGCGACGACGCTGTCGATGCACTCATCCACAGCGACAGCAAGAGCCAGGACGAAAGGCTGCTCAACGCTACATCACCTCGCAGCAGGGGGATCGCTCAGGCTGTAGCTGCCGTGGACGATGATGACGACGAGTTCGCCGATCTGACCATGGATATGTCGATGGAGAACGCGATCACTCGACTCGAGCAAGAGGCGGCGTCTAGGCTCAAACAGTCCGCTGCATCGCCAGTCGACAACAGCAAGTCCAAGCACGACCTCCGTCATTCGTCGCCGCCATCACCTCTTCCGGCAAAGAATGCGCGCAAACCGCATCCCATCGTGCAGCAGCTACTGCAAGAAAACGCCGAGGAGCTAGCCGAACGTGACCAGGAAGCGATCGGATCCACGCCGAAAGTGCTTGCTTCGCCGATGAAGAGTTCGATGGGCCCACCTGATTCGGTACCAAGACGTGCGGGCAAATCTCGTTCGAAGCGCGTCATTGTCGAGTCTCCCGATGCGGCCTCTACCGACAATGTCTCCGCCAACGAGCTTGTCGATACGGATGGGGACAAAGATGCAGCTTCATCGTCACCCATCAAAGCGCCCGTAAAACGAGGTGGTCGATTGCAAAAAGCTTCGTCCTCTAGCAAGCTCCCACCTGCTGGAGCCGACACCTCCCCGACAGCGGCAAAGAGTCGCACGCGGTGTTCGCGCAGCAAAGCGCGTATTACGTCCGACTCTGACTCTGACGCTAAAGCACCTCTCGTGCAGCCGGTCAAAAAAGGTAAGAAGGCAGCTGCGACTAGCACGCGCGCTGCTGCTGGTGCTATTGGTCGTGGCAAGAAGAGAAAGATCACCAACTCACCCACCTCCCGAGCGCTTTTCCAGTACGAGGCGGAGCGGTCTACGGACGAAGAGCTTCACGGAGAGCGGGACGAGAATGACTCCGGGGTAGGAAGCTCGGACGAGGACGATTCGGATCGAGAAGCGGTGGGGGACTTCGTGCCTACGCAGGCTCCGAGGGGCTACCATCAGCAGAGCGTGTACATGCAGTCGATGCTTTCGCAGGCGCCGGCGGAATTTCAGAGGTTGAGACACGCTCCGTTTCCGGGGATAGGTGGGAAGTTTGGTGATCCGGCAACGCCGAGGAGAACGGCAGGGAGAGAGGTGAGGACTGCGAGGCAGGGTATGTCGAGCGAGTCGAGGAGAGGAAGGGCAGGGATGGGGTCAGAAGATTTCTACTCGGAAGACTCGTTTGTCGTCAACGACGAGGAGGAGATCGTGTATGATTCCCAAGCGGATGCTCTGCCCGATAGCAGTCCATTCTAGCGGAGCTGACACGAGTCTTCGCAGCAGCACTTGACGCGTGGCAAGCAGCGGCCAGCATCGTCAGTTTTGCATTCATCACATTCCTACAGGGGAGAAGAAACACTTCGATACACATCAGACGACCAAATGACTTTGCGAATGAGAGCGAGATTGCGATGACAAAGGAGTGCGGTACAAATACAAGGTGGAATGGCGCTGAGGTCGACCAGATGGAGAGCTGTCTCAGTCGATTCGCATCGGGCGTAATGCGAAACAAACAAGGAGGAAGGGACGAAAGGGGTATGACGGCGGGATGTCGAGACCAATTGATGCCATGCACGGGCTGCTCCGACGTTGAGGCGTACGACCCTGACTCCAGTGGAATTCGACGAAGATATCAAAAAAGGACAACGAGAACTTGAAAGCCGTCCACCGCTTACGAATCGTCCATCATGATCTGAATGAACTCGTTCTCGTTGATCTCGCCATCCTGATCAAGATCGAATTCATCAATCATGGCCTGCAACTCGTCGTCGTCCAGCGTCTCTCCCAACTCCTTGGCTACACGCTTGAGGTTTCTCAACGAGATTTTGCCCGTTCCATCGTCGTCGAAGAGAGAGAAGGCTTTGCGGATCTCCTCCATAGGATCCCTGGATGCGATTCTTTCCGACACTGTTAGAACAATAGCAAAGATGTTTCGTCAGCACCCCCGCCATCATCGTCCAGCATCAAGCCCCACGGCTCATCGCTCAAAGCACAAGTTGCTGTACATACTGATCTTGTTAAAGTCGTCCCACTCGAGCAAGCCAGAGTTGGTCTTGTCGTGGTCGCGTAGCAATTTCAGCACCTCAGCTTTTTTCAGATCGAAACCTAGTGCACGCATCGCCACCTTGAGCTCGTGGTAGTCGATAGCACCATCCTTGTCCGTGTCGAAGAGCTCGAATGCCTCCTTGATCTCCTGTCGCTGTTCGTCGGTGAGAGCTGCATCGATGTGGTGGTGTGAGTTGACCATCCTCGAGGAGGAAGAGGCGGAGAGGTGGTTGGGTGTGGAAGTGTGGTTGCTGGTGGATGCGCCGAGGTTGGCCGCCCGTCGCTTTGCTGCCTTGGAAGATGGAGTGTAGAGCGACATGTCTGTGATGCGTTGTACAGGCAGTGTTGTGGTCGGATCGGAAGGGTCGAGGTGTGGGAAGGTCAAAGGAACAGAAGCGCTCAGGACAGCTGGTTGCTGCGAACTTCATTTGCGCTCAGCGCAGCGCTGACGTCGGAAGGCCTGAAATTGCCCAACTGCCGAACACGAGACCAACACTTTGTCGAAGGTCTAAGTCAGGCAAGGCAAAACGAAACGCGTGACAAGCCTCGCTGAGCGCACTTCTTCTTTTTGGCTTGTGAGGCACCTCTTTACGCGCTCTGACACTAGGCTGCTCCATATCCTTCCACGGCTTGGCCAGCTCGGAACGCGTCTCTCGTTTGGCAGACGAGCAACACTTTTACCCAAGCATTGTCGAATCCTTCCCAATCTTACACCCGTTCGCGTATCGAAATCTTCTGATCGGCGACTTTTGGCAGCGTGCTGACTTGAAATTTGCTCAGAGTCGCAGGCAGGGAGGACTCGCATACAGTGTGTAAGCTCCACTTGGTTGATCTGCGGTGGCGGCTGCACGTTGCGGCTGAGTTGACGCAGCAAGGTTGCCGTTTTGACGCTCGGATCTGCACCCGACAGACTGTGTGAAGCTTCCAGCTGAGTCGAATCCAGACAGTAGCATTCAGTGGTGCGTTTTGCTTTCAAGATACCAACCAGTAACGCAGCAACTCAGCCTTTGCGGTGTAGCATCGAGCGTCAATTGCATCGCAGCTTTCAGAAGCTTGAGCTTGGTTGCGCCTCACTGCAACGCGCACGATCGGCAGCGGACAAGTCAACTGACAAGCTCCCTCATCAATCAAGTGGGTGCACCCCAACCCTATCATCTCGACGACCAGTAACAGAGCGGACAAGCATCAAGTTCGGCCCTTTCCGTGGCAACACTCCGGCAGCATGGGCAAGAAGGGCAATCGCGGCGGCCCACCTAGGGGAGGTCGTGGGGGCGGCGGCGGCGGTGGTCGTGGCAGAGGTCGCGGACGAGGAGGCGCGCACGGCGGCTTCCAGCCATTTGGCGGCCAAGGACACATTCTCAGCGGCGCGTCCGCCTCAGACTCAAAATCCCCCCGCGGTGGCTTTGCAAATGGCAGGCCATATCGTGGTCGCGGTCGCGGAGGTCACCTCTCCGTGTCAGGACAGAATCGTGTCGGCTTCGACTACTCTGGCATGTCACGCGGTCGTCGCCACTCCTATGACGATGCAGACGACGACGACGATGACGATGATGAGGAGGATGAGGATGCGGATGACGCTGCCGACTTTTCAATAGAGCCGCCTAAAGGATACAAGCACAAGATCAAGCCACATCTCGAGTCAGACCTTCATTCGGATCTGGAAGACGATAAACCCACTTTGGAAACATCGCAACAGCAGAACATCCCATCTGGCTCTGCAACGCCTCAGCGCGCACTTCCACCTCCTACAGTATCAGCAAGCATCCCGAGGCCACGCTTCACTCCGCGATCCAACGTGCCCACCACATTCCCCGAATTCCACACCAGCAGAGGCACTGGTGGCGGCAAGTTCCGCCCACCAGAGGAAACCGAAGACTCTCGATACCTCGCCGGTATTCCAGGTCTCCGCAGACAAGAGCGAAGATCGCGCAATACGCCTCGCTTTGGCGATCCGGCCGATCAGACTCAGAGCTCCTTCCGCGTCCCTGTCACATTTGTCAAGGCTACTGGCGAGTTTGGCGATCCGCTCAAGGGCAATCTGCCTCCGAAGGATGCCGACGAGGCGATAGTCGATCCAGCTGCTCCTGCGGCCCAGGTGACCGACGCACAGCGCCAACAATCCGGAGATCCCTCAGCCCCACGTCACGCAGGTCTTGGCTTCTCGAATCGCTCCAACGCAAAGCCGTCCGTCCCCGGCTCGGAGAGTCACGCAGAGGCTTCCAAATCGCGAGTCGCAGCTACGCCTTATGAGCCGCCTCGAGCAGTACCTGCATTCCCAGACACTTCGATGCACGGCTTCGATTTTGACCAACACGACGCCGCCCACGGAGACGACGACGAAGTGAATGCCTTGCTCGCTGCTTTCCCTGGCTCCAAACAGTTGGCTGAAGGCGAGTCGATGCTCGAGGATGACGATTCCGCGGCCTGGACGCTGCCAGCTTTCCAGCCAGAGGCAGGTAGTACACCGAAAGCGACGGAGCAAGAATATACTTCCGCCGTTGTTGCTGATGCGCAGACAGCATCGCCTCCCGCAGCGGTGGTCGAACATTCTCCAGTCCCTGCGAAATACTCGTCTCGTGTCTCGACGGTTTCTTCGTCCGACGACGAAGAGGAGATCATCCTCGTACCCTCGCAATCGCGAGCTTTGCCTACAGTGGGCACTGAGCCTATCTCAGCTACCAAGCCTCTCGAAGAAGCAACAACCGAGATGGCCGCACCGGCCGACACCGTCGCCGAGGCCGTCGAGACAGAAGAGACGGAGCTCGGCTTCGTCATTGACCTGGAAGGCGAAGATCCAGCCGCGGTCGCCGAGAATGCGCAGATCAGCTCCACCACTTCGACTTCACACCGCATGGCTCTTGGTGACGCTGTGCCGGCCCGCTCCAGAACCACTGCCAGAACAAAAGCCTCCAAGCGAGGGAAGCCGCGACGCATTCCGCGGGAGGGCGATTCAGACCTCGACTGGGGAAGCGATGGCCCGCCTGGTGGCTCCGACGACGACAAGCACATGGCTCACGAAGACGACAACCTCGCAGCTGCTGCCGCTGGCATCTCGATCACGCGCACCAACAAGGACGCTGAGGTCATCACCGACCCCATTCTGGCCAAGGCAATCCGTGCAGACCGTCACGAATGGGAGTCTGAAGACGAGGATGACAACGACATCATCATGGACGTCGCCAAGTCCAGCAAGCGTCGCGGAGGACAGCGCGCCAAGCGCTCGCTCGCCAACCGCGCAGCCGCTTCGCGCAGCGCTGCTCAGCTTTCACGCAGTCGCAAGGCGGATCAGGATGCCATCGTTGCAGATTACATGCAAAATATCCTCAACCAGGCCGACAACACATCCGACGACGATCGTGACGCAGACGAGGATGAGCTTTTTGCTACAAACGACATGGTCGTCGAGACCGTCAATGGTGATCAACCGTCAGATGGAGCAGGCAAGGGCAAAGCCAAGGCTCGCCGCTTGTCGAACAAGCTCGACGACAAGACGGACTTGGACGCCATGATCCGCTTCATGAACGGAATGGATCCGCAAAAGGGCGGTCGTCAGCTCGGCTTTGGCGATATCGAGGACGAGATTCACATGGACGAAGTCAAGGAATGGCTCACCGAGAGCGAGGCTGACAGTGACGATGAAAATGATGATGACGACGGTGCCGATCAAAGTCGCGCCATTGTGGTCGACGTCGACGTTGATGCCTTTAACACAGACCGTCGCCAAGACGCCGGCGTTGAGGACGAGGAGGATGAGGAGCTTGCTGACCAGTTACGCATCATCCTCGAGGATGACGATGATGAAGAAAGCAGCGAGATCTTCAGCGAAAGTTCGGACTCCGAAGAGGACGACGACGATGATGATGATGATGATGACGACGACGACGACGACGATAGCGACGATGATGAAGATGAAGGTATGTTCCGCGGCAAGAACACGTGGGCCGATGAGGATGAAGACTTCATCCGCGCACTCTCATCGCAAGTCGGCGGCGCTGGCCTCGGAAGCAACTCCAAGTCCGCGCCCTCGTCTAAACGCCAACAGAAGAAGCTCTTCCACGCTATCTCGCGTGGCGACTTTTCCGACCTTATGGACTTGGCATCCGCGGAGAACGAGATCGACTCGGACGATGCTGCCTATGGCATGGGTTCCATCCCCACGGCCCGCAACGGCAAGCGCAAGGGCCGCAAGTTCTCCGCGTCGGATCTGTGGGCCGAAGAGCTGCAACAGCAGTGGGACAAGGATCGTGCCAGCAAAGCGACCAAGAAGCAGCAGCGTCTCATGGAGCGACAGGCTGCTGCGCTCAACCCATTCCCCAACACGCACGGCAAGGCGGACAGCGGCAGGACCAAGTCCACCAAGAAGCAGGCCAAGCTGGCGCGCAAAGCCGAGAAACGCGAGATGCGTGCGAGCCTCAAAGCGCATTCGAACAACGTCGTGTCGGCGATCAACGCTGCCGGATCGATCGATGCGGTCGACTCTTCTCTGCTCACGTTTGGCGGGAACAGCGTTTCTGGCGACATCATGTCGTTGGGACTGGACAAGAGGTTTGCGTTCAACATGGACGAGCTCAACCAGCAAATCCAGCATTTCCTCAACGAAAGAGGTCGCAACACGATGCGTTGTCAGCCGATGGACAAGTTTGCCCGTGCCGAGGTGCACGCTCTTGCTGCGGCGTACAACCTGCAGTCCAAATCCAAGGGGAAAGGGCGCGATCGATTCCCTACGCTGATCAAGACGAGCAAGAGCGGCCTCAACGTCGACTATCGCAAGGTCAAACGCATCGTCTACTCGAATGCCGGTGCTACGTTTGGCAACGATGCGGGTCGGAGCGAGTTCAAGGACAAGTCGCGGAAGAAGGGCAAAGGCGGCGGTGCAGCGGGAGGCATGTACGGTGTCGGCGGAGGCACTGTGCCCAAGAACCGGGAAGGAGAAGAGGTCGGATTCGGTGCTGACAGGATCGGAGCGGACAACATCGGTCACAAGCTGCTCGCTGCCATGGGTTGGACAGAAGGCAGCGGTATCGGAAGCTCGCAAGGCATGGCCAATCCTGTTGCGGCCACGGTCAAGACTTCGCGCGGCGGTCTTGGATTCTGAGCGTCGATTCAAGTGGTGAGCAGCTTCAGCACTTGACTTTGTGTGATTTCAGCGCCGTTCCGACGGACCGGCAATATAGACTTATCACCAGAGCTCCCGCGACGTCGTAAGTTGTCGATTGCTGTATGAAGCGAGTGGAGGATGCCTGTTTGCGGATCCTACTACACAGCCATTCAGCGTGCAAAGGGTGTTTGAATGTGATCAGCTCAGAGCGATGCCGAGCGCATCCACACGTACGCATACAACGACTTTGTTCATTACATCCTGATCCGTTTCTAAAGATCCGTCTTGGCACCAGTGCCCATCATCTGCTTGACCTTGTTCAAGTTACTGATCAACCTGTCCAGGACTTCCGGGTTGGCATCGTTCTGCGCCTTTTCGGCCTCCAAGCTAGCCCACAGCTGATTGGTCGAAGCGATGAGCTTTTCGAGCACGCCTTCGGTGGCTGAAGCGGCGGCGGCTTCGGCGGATGCGTTGAGAGTTGCTGTTGGATCGGATGTGGTGACGGCAGCGGCGAGTTGAGGTGGGGGAGAGTTACCGTATACGTAGTACAGAGCTCGAGTTGCGACCTGCTGAGCGTGACGTGGGAAGTAGTGGATCAACGAGTACCACAGCAGCAGCGTGAGCAGGCAGAAGACGACGATGACGAGGAACACCTCCCACGCTTCCAGCATGGACAGCACGAAAGTACCCTCGATGTTCCAGTAGGCGCGGAAGAGTTTTCGTTCGATGATGCGGATCGGATTCCACGTCCAGCTGTTGGCCCTTTCGTAGGCATTCATCTCGCGCTTGGAAGCTTTGAGCGGAATGTGCGTCTCTGATTGGTGATCCTTGATGGTGGAAGCGCTGGATGATACAGAGGCAGAACCGACATTGGTTGTGCTTGTTTTGGCAGAAGCAGCGGCAGAAGATGGATGCAAATGGTCTGTGGAGGAGGAAGCGCCGGCCTTGGAAGAGGCTGAGGTGGATTTGCGTGTCTTGGGCGGCATGGTCGGTGACTGCGACGGTGACGAAGGGCGGGGGATCGGACTTGGGAGTGGTTGGCAAGAAGGTAAAGACGTTGTTTGCACGTAACGCGATGTGGTGGTACAAAATTCGCCCAACACAATACTCACTACTCTGCTTACTCGAACCAACACACATACACGCTCCTCACCCAAAAGTGACATTCCCGGCTGCGTTCTTCCGCAAAACCGACGAGCATACGCGTGTCAATTTTCCAGGGCTGGAAGTGTTAGGCTTTAAGCTGGCTACACTTTAGGAGAAAGAGAATGTGGAGTTCTCTCGCGGTCAGGGCAAGTCAAGATTGGCAAAGTGACACTCGACATCAGTGTCGGTCAGACTTTCCTTTCATCATCATCATCATCGTCGTCGTCGTCGTCATCCCCTGTGGCCACTCCTCACGTTCTTGAGCATCGTCTCGAAAGAAACAGGCTCGACATGGCGATCAAAATCTTGACCGGCATCGAGGATACCCTCGCGCTCATCCTCGAGTGCGGATCCGATCTGGCTCGCATAGAATCAACTCTCCTCCCTGCGCTGCGCAAGCTCTGCAAAAATGCTTCTTCCGATGGCGAGGCCTCCAATGCTCGAAGTGCTGCTGGCTCGAGCCGCTCACAAGCTCCTACGGCCACGGAGACGGCGCTTTGCGCGCCAATCCAATCCAACCTCGACCCGCTTTCCGCCCTCGACCCAAGCGTCCATTCGGTGGGCATGCTATACATCCTCGCTGCAAGAGCGAAAGGCGCAACAAGCTCAACAGAGGGCGCAATAGTCCTTCTCTCACACATCACAGCATTCGTACAGCGCTTTGACCCTGCCCAGGTCCAGCTCGCAGGCGACAGAATCACACAGCTAGCATCCACTTTTACCGCGCTCGGAGATCAGGTGTCAGAACCGGAAACGGCTCTGCAGCTTTTGCAAGCGCTGGCGTCGAGGTTCTTGACCAGATCAGAGAGCATCACCACGCTTCATCCGATGCTGGCATATCAGTATCTCAAGACAGCGCGCTATGCAGAAGCAGCTACCATGCTTCTCGATCTGCCGCTCATCGACGCCGACACTTCTCTCACACCTTTGACACACTCGGACGTACTGCAGTACTTTTACTACTCTGCACTCATCTTCATCAAGCTCGATCGACTTCACGACGCAATCGACGCTCTCGAGACAGTGAGTGACCTCGATCTTTTCCTGATGAAATCTTGCGCTTTAGATACACGACTGACTCGCTCGTTTGCTTGCTTGCTTGACCACATTGCGACATATCAGTGCGTATCCAGCCCGGCGGTAGCAGCAAGTGCGATTCACATGGACGCGTACAAGAAGCTTCTTCTGGTCCAGCTCCTCGCCAACGGCAAAACATCGCGTTTGCCCAAATACACCTCGCAAGCTGTCACGAGAAGCTACTCCATGTTCATGAGCCCCTACGACCAGTTCGTCTCATTTTACGAGAGAAGAGGAGCAAAGTGGACCGACGAACTGCATCGTCTGGCGGAGGACAGACATGATGCGTTCGAAAAGGACCGGAACGTCGGGCTCGTCCGGCGATGCTTGGCGCTACATCGACAGAGGAGAATCCAGAGACTGGGAAAGGTGTATAGTGCGTTGTCGTTGGGAGACATTGCGCAAAAGATAGGTGTGGAGGGAGAAGTTGCAGTGCAGGAGGTGTATGGTGATGTACAAGAGATCGTAAGTAAAAGTCCTTCCTGCGACAGCCTCGGTGCAATACCGCTAACACCGACTTTTGCCCCTCCTTGCTGTGTCGACATCTGCAGGTCCGCAAGGGTTGGATCCACGCGACGCTGTCACCACCGCCTTCGACATCCTCTGCTGCTGCTGGTGTTGTCAATGGCGACTGGGTTGTCAACTTCGACACATTCGGCGGCGAGAGCTACACTTCAACTTCATCCATCTCTTTGCTCGAGGACAAGATTCGAACCGCAAAACAGTGGCAGACGCTACTTCAACAGAGGGACAGGCAGATCGAGAAGAGTCATGCCTATCTGACGAGGGTAAGCATTTACTCATACTGAGCCGGTTTCGTGAGACGATAGACGCTGACGACATTGATGATCTGTCTGGCCGACGATGATAGGGTCTCAAAATCCGTGAAGCGAGAAGCGCCGGCGCAGACGCTTTCTCGGGCGCCGACGAATTCGACGACGCCGACTATTGAAGCGGCGCTAAGGTTGTCTCTCATCATCTCAATGCAATTGATCTCAGTTGCAACTTCATGTTTGGCGGTAGCAGGGTACAGATATGGCTTGACCGATGAGCGCTGTGCAGGTGAAGAAAGCCCTCGTCTCGCAAACGGGGATTCATAGCCTCTTCTGCTTCTGAAACCTCTCGCTGTACTAAATTATCCCTCTTCACCTACCGTTGAGTTCAGTTCAAGCTTTGCACTGCTTGCTGTGGTGATACGCGGCATCTGAGCCAAGAATGTGGTCAGAGCATGCTGCAATGCCACAGTTTCACTCTCTGTCGTCGTTATGGGTGTATGACGCGCTAGCGTCGGGTTCGGTGAGCTCGTGACTGCGCGTTCACGCTGGAATACTGTGATGCTGCTACTGTATGTTGGGAGGCTTAGCCTTTGTCGTTTCGCGTCGATTGCCCGAATTCTTTCGCAAACCTCCCCTCAATTTAGCCTTTCTCGTCTTGTGTCTGTCGCCGCAATCCTTTCTTGTCTCGAGTCTGCAACAGATAGCTTTTATAAAATCTTCGTGCGCTCAGCGGACAGGCGCTGGCTGCTCCAATCCGAGGCTTCCAGAGCATCCATCAGGGAACTTTGATGCACAAGGAAGAGCGCACTGAGACAAAGATCGTCTTCTCTTCGCCTCGATCGCAACTTGAGGCTGCCCTTGCTTGCATTGTGGAACCTCCTGGCTTTGTCTGCGTCACTTTTCTGCCTGGTGTCAATGTACCCAGCATCTTGCTGGACTACAACAGATCTTTTGGCAGCGCCTCTGCTCATCAGACTCAGACAGTCGTAATTTTCAACATGGCCGAGTGAGGCAGAAGAAGGCCTGACAGATCGTTGACTTCGCGCGAGGAAGAAGGGGCGAGTTGCGAAGAAGAGGGGACACGCCCATGGTAGTCCTTTCGGCGGTCCCATTGACCGCCAAGATGCTGCTTGAAGACCTCGTATTGCGCCAACTCGCGAGACATACCCATGACATTCGTCAACCTGACCATCTCCTTGACACTATCCCTTGCGAGCATCCATCTCTTCGGGCAGGCCTTGTTGCGACTCTTTTTGGCACAACCCTTGCATTTCTCGACGATAGAATTGGCATACGGATGCTCGCAAAGACGACCGGAGTCCAAGCAGTCCGTGCCAGGCTCGTTCGTCCAATGCTCGGAGATGAGCCAGGCCCGCATCTGAATGATCACACGACGCTTCTTTGGGCGCGCGAATTGTTGATAGTTATAGCATAGTGTTAGACATCCAAGTCGCGGGGTGTCGCGGTGCTTTCCGCAACCCTTCTCTATCAACCAACTGCTCCCCTTGGACGCCACGGGGCCCGCCTCCAACACCTTCCAGAGTTACGACGAGGGTTCCATCCGGATCTTCGTCGCGTGTATTACTCATCCCGCTGAATAGCAATTTGAGTTCTGTGCACCATCCTCGACGTAATCTACGACTCCTCCATGCCCGTGGCCCACCCCGCGTCCGCAGCGGCGTGAAGCGGTAGCTAGACCCTACGGCCTTTGCACAAAGAACAAATAAAGACGGAGATCAGCATTGCTGCACCTTCGCTTGAATAGCGAGCCAGTTCCCTGTTGATTGACAAATGCTAACATATTTTCAAAGCTCGGCGAGAACAGCATCTCGGCCGTGAGAAGAGAGACCCGTGTGGCCAGATGCACATTTCAACAGCTGCTGCACCTTGCAACTCGCGCTCGACCCGACTTTCTCCACAATATCGCGCCTCTTTCGTTCTCACACTCATCTGCTTCGACATCAACACAAGTGCGCACAACCTCTCGCCAATGCAAGATGGTGAAGCGATCAGCGCAGTGCAAGTTTCCCGTGGCGAGGATCAAAAAGATCATGCAGGCGGACGAGGATGTCGGTAAAGTGGCACAGGCGACTCCGGTGTTGATCTGTAAGTTGTCCCAGGACCGAGCCGACTATAGCGATCATCGGCAAGCGAGAGCTTCACTGACACGTCTTCATTTTGATCGCGTGCATAGCGAAAGCATTGGAGCTCTTTATGGCAAGCATCGTCGAAGAGACGGTTAAGGAGACTCGCAGCAGAGGAGCCAAGAAGATGACTCCGTACCATGTGTAAGTCTCGCGCCTCGCAGGCTCATCTCGAAATGTATTCATCGCAGGATCACGATCGCGTACTGACCAGACATCCGTCTTTCTCTCTCTCCCCCTCCGCTCTCATGTCGCTCCCGTCTTCGAATCGCAACAGCAAGAGGACAGTGCACACCAACGAAACCTTTGACTTTCTCAAAGACATCGTAGCCAAGGTTCCTGATCCGGTCGAGACCGACAGCTCGACAGCAGGAGCAACAGCGGCAGCAGCAGGTGACAATCGAGGTGGCAAACGCAGAAAGACGGCCAAGAATGCGGATGAGTCGGATTGAGCTTGGCATCGACTGCTTCGGCCCGTTCACCCGCATCCACCTTCTGTTGTCCCCTTCTCGCATTGTAACTGTATGCTCGTCACCTAACGCAATCTGTACTTCTATGTCCTCTCTCCCTGTGCTGTTGTGCACCTTGATGCATGCACGCTGATCTGATCTGAACGAAGGGGGGCGGTAAGATAGCGTTGAGTCGTCTCATGTGATGGCAGCATCCAAGCATCAACGGAGAAATGCCAAGTGTTAAGCTCTGACTTTGACCACTTTCAAAAATTTCGAAATGGGCTGAGCTACAGCAACGTGGGGACTTCGGGCCAAGGTGAGCAGCGCGGGAGCTGTCAAAAAGCTTGAAATTCGAGAGTCTTTTTTTGGGTTCGAGGAGAGCGCGAGCGTGTGTGTCTCGTCTCGCCTTGAGTTGCGCCACCCTGTTCGGTGCCTCCCGCGCAGCCAGCAAGAGCCAGCCTGCGTGCCTGCCCGCCTCTCTCTCCACACGCTGATTGCTTCACAGGCACAGCTTAAAAAGCACACTTGGGTGTCGGTCAAATTCACACTCGACATCGCTCAGCCTATCTCTCGGTCTTTACACCACCTGACGCCCTTCCCTATCAACATCGGCACTCCTCGACACACAGGTCGCTCTCGATCTCTGCTGCGGCTACATCACACAGACACCTCGCAGACCAGCATCTCTCAAACTCGGCCGTTGCGTCAAGGCTTGCGATACCTAGCGCCGCTCTCTTTCGCGCATACCCTTGTCTACCTTCATTGAGACGAGAGCTCAATCCTATAGTCACCGACCAACACATTCGAAGCGTACCGATTTTATAGCAATGTCTGCTCAGGCTGCCAACAGTGCTACTGGCGAAGCTGCCGGTGCTGCCGCTGCCCCTCAGAAGCCGTTCCAGACCAAGCTCGTGCTTCTCGGTGAAGCCGCGGTGGGCAAGTCGTCCGTCGTGCTTCGCTTTGTTCAGAACGACTTCCAGGAGAACAAGGAGCCTACCATCGGAGCTGCTTTCCTTACCGTGAGTCTGCCCTTTCCGCGATGTGGTTTGCGCCGTGATTGCATGACACAGCAGTTGACTCATACCTCTCCCCTTTCGCTTGCCCCTTTGAACAGCAAAAATGCCGTCTCGAAGACCGACTGATCAAGTTTGAGATCTGGGATACCGCAGGACAGGAGCGATTCCACTCGCTCGCTCCCATGTACTATCGCAACGCCCAAGCCTCTGCCGTCATCTACGACGTGACCAAAGCCAGCTCGTTCGAAAAGGCCAAATCATGGGTCAAGGAACTGCAGCGTCAAGCTAACCCCAACATTGTCATCGCGCTCGTCGGCAACAAGATCGACCTGCTCAAAGAAGCATCCTCTTCCTCCAACGCCAATGCAGAGACGGAAGAAGAGGACGACGATGAGACGGCAACCACCACACCGGAAGCGACGGGAGACTCGTTGAGGGCTGTACCGAAGGACGAAGCTGAGGCGTATGCCAAGGAAGCCGGTCTGCTGTTCTTCGAGACTTCGGCCAAGACGGGTGAAGGTGTGGTGGAGGTGTTTACCGAGATCGCAAAGAAGATCCCGATCGACTTGCATCTGGCGAGAAACGCTGCTGCCGGCCCAGCCGGTGGGAACGGTGCCCGACAGGCGAGTGGTGGTCAGGCTGGTGGTGTCGATCTGCAGAGCAACCAGCAGGGAAACAGAAAGGACGCTTGCAACTGTTGATCGGATGTTATCCAACCCTCGATGCTCGAGGTCGCTGCTTCCACGCTATTCAGGATCACTCTGTACATATACCACCGACTCGGCTTGACATCTTGACCGTTTCTTCTTTCGCAAAAACTTCTGATCGGAGTGAAGCTGTGCGTTCGAGCTCTCGTGTTCGTGAGACATGGAACATCGATGTGCAAGTGAATGCGCCAATTGAAACGTCGAGATTGAGACCATGAAGCCTGAGAGTGTCAGATCGCGCAATCGAAGCGGGATGAATTTTCGGCGACTTCCGCTGCTTGAAAGCGGCAGTGTGCACGTCACCCGCATCAAAACTCAAAGTGGACACATAGCAGCTGCTGAGAAGCAAGCCTCGTTCTCTGCAATTCTTCTCGGAATGCCGCGCTGCACACAGAGCAACACATCGACGAGCTTTACATTCCACACTCGTTCCTTTCTTTCAACCCTCTTCATCATTCTCTCATCATCATATCAAGCTTGACCAACGTGGCACGGACTGGTCCATCATCACACACGATGCGTTTCGCAACGAGCGATGGCCTAGGCCGCAGCCGCATGAGCACCGCCTTCAGCATGCTCCTGGTGCTAGCGTTGCTGGCTGTGACGCTGCTGTCTGCACCTGCCACAGCCATGGGCGTGGTCGCCTTTGACTACGGAACAGAATGGATGAAAGTTTCCCTCGTCAAGCCCGGTCTGCCATTCGACGTCGTGCTGGATCGCGACTCGAAGCGCAAGATCCAGTCCGCCGTCGCCTTCAAGAAGTGGGGTCTCGAGGAAGAGATCCTGTTCGGCACCAATGCCTACAACCACGCTACAAGAGAGCCAAAACAGTCGTTCTACGGTCTCAAGGCCCTCCTCGGCCGCACAACAAGCGATGAGGACAAGCCATACGTTGATCTGTACACGTCGATCTTTGGCAACGACGTCGTCAGCTCCGAACGCACCACCTGTGCATTGAAAAGACCCTACGAAGCTGACCCGAAAGTCTCTTCGTTGCCAGTGCTGACCGTGGAGGAGCTCGTTGGTATGCAATTGGAATACGCAAAGAAGCTGGCGGAAGAGACGGCAGGCGAGAGGGTCAACCCTTCCTTGCCATCTGGATTCAGCGTAGGTTCGTTCGGTGGATTGGACGCCGTCGTCACCGTCCCCGCCTTCTTCAACGCACAGGAGCGCCAGGCCATCGTCGACTCTGCCACCCTCGCCGGCTTCCGCCCGAGGCTGGTCTCGGACGGTGCCGCCGCGGCGGTCAACTATGCTCAGACCCGCTCGTTCGAAAAGCCCGAGAAGCATCTCTTCTTCGACGTCGGCTCAGGCTCGGTTCGTGCTACGGTGGTCGAGTTCAGCACCAAGCCGGTGGTGATCGACTCGATCCTTTCGGTGGGCAAGACGTCCAAGGACTCGACCATTGTCGACGTCAAGGGTGTCGGCTGGGAACGCAACGTCGGTGGACTCAAGTTGGATCTCATCCTGCGCGACAAGCTCGCAGCCGAATTCGACACGAAGCACGGTCAGCAGATCGGCGGTTCGATTCGCGACAACCACCGCGCGATGGCGAGGCTGCTCAAGGAGGCGAACCGCGTCAAGCACATTCTTAGCGCCAATGAGGTCGCTTCGAGCAGCATCGAGAGCCTCGTCGACGAGATCGACTTCCGAACCATGATCCAGCGCCAAGAGTTTGAAGATGCCGTCGCCGCCGCCGGTCTCGTGCCCAAGTTTACCTCACCCATCAACCAGGCGCTGGCCAACGCCGGGCTGAAGCTGAGCGACATCAACAGCATCGTGTTGGTTGGCGGAAGCACGCGTGTTCCTCTGGTGCAGAACGCCTTGCGCGAGGCGGGTATCCCTGATTCGAAGCTGGCTCAGAATGTCAACGCTGACGAGGCAGCGGTCATGGGAGCAGCATTCTACGGCGCCAGCTTCAACCCCCAGTTCCGCATGAAGGAGATTCGTGCCTACGACCTCGTCCCCTACGCTGTCAACCTCAAGGAAGCCGATGGAAAGGAGGAGCTCATCTTCCCAGCAGCTTCGTACGAGACGGACGCCGTGCTGCGCCAGTACGACAATGTCAAGGAGGACTTCATCTTTGAGCTCGAGTACGATGCCGCTTCGCAAAAGGCGCTCGGTGACAGCACCGATCGCTCGATCTCCATGGTCGAGATCACGGGAATTGACGATGTGCTCAAGGACATCAAGGCGAGCGGTCAGCTGGATCAGGTGGACACGCACGTCAACTTGACGGTCATTAGCCGACCGCTGGGCACGTATGCGGTGGAGAACATCGTCTTGGTGATCAAGCCCAAGGCAGGAGGTGGAATTGCCGGTGCGCTCAAATCGTTCTTTGGTGTTTCGACTCCCAAGAAGGCAGCCACCAACGGTACTGCCACCAACGGCACCGCTTCTGCAGGCAAGAACGAGACGTCGACAGATGACGACGTCGAGGCGCAGGCCGACGAGACCGAAGAGACGCTCGCCACTGTACCTGCCAAGGACAAGATCGTCAAGCTCACGGCACGCGTCATCCCGCAGAATGACGCGGTGCGACCGCTTTCAGGCGTAGAGATTAAGCAGAGCAAGGACAAGCTCTGGACCATGGCCCAAGCGGCCACGCGCAAAGCTGCACGCGAAGAAGCGCGCAACGCCATCGAATCGTACCTCTACCGCGTGCGCGATCTGGTCGACGATCCCACCTACAGCTCTGTCTCGAAGCCCGCAGAACGCAGCTCGATCACGTCCAAGACGGAGGAGCTCTCCGCATGGCTCTCCGAAGACGGCGAGACGGCCGACACGTCGACGCTGAAACTCAAGCGTGCCTCTCTCGAGTCGCTCATCAAACCGCTCGAGACGCGACTTTCGCAAAACAAGCTGCGTGCTACTTCGTTCGCCGAGTTCGAATCTTCGCTTGCCGATGCACGAGCATTCGTCGCTGAAGCAAGGGCGAATCTGACCGCGGCGATCGAGACGAACCAGTCGAGCAAGTACAGCGTCACTGAGCTGGACGCATTGAACGCGACCATCGAAAAGGACGCCGAGTGGTTTGCCAAGGGCAAGAAGGCTCAGGACAAGAAGGGCCCGAGCGACGATCCTGCGTTGTTGAGTGGCGATGTAGATGCGAGAAGGAGAAAGGTAGGTGAACAGATCGGGAAGCTCAAGAGGAGAAAGATCGCCAAGACCAGGCCGAAGAAGAGTGCGCCGGCCAAGAAGGAGGACAAGAAGGAGGGCGAGGCGCCGAAGCACGAAGAGCTCTGAAACGGGGCTCGATGCTGGCCTTCAGGATCCGTGTCGCTCTTCCGCAAAAGTATCACTGTGTCTTACCTCTTTAATCAAGCCTTCATTTTCAATGGCTCTTGCAGCTGTCCTGTGTGGTCAATCAAATGCATGCTGCCGACAGTGTTCGAGATTGCACGGATGAGAAGGTGACCTGAGAACCTAACAAGTCTGCGAAAGGAAGGCCGCCGACCCATGCTGGAACTCGGACCAAGTGGCGATCAATTTCTCGAGGCAGCAGACTGCGATATGCGGCTAAATTAGGCTTCCAGAAGATTGAGCAGCGTTCACTTTCGGGAGTGAGTCGGGTCGAGCCAAACAGGGTTTCGCTGGGCAAGAAGTGGAGTCGACTGCCAAATCAATTTGCCAACCAACACCTTCTTGAACTACTTGACACCCTCATACCTCGACAAGCTCACCATCGCCTGCATTCGCAAGCAGCACGCAACCCTCGCTGAACACCGTCATCCTACACGTTCCGCATACCGACTCGTCCACTCACACTAGAAAGCAGCTAGACATTGTCCCCGGAAGAGCCGCATACACGTCGGATTGCGGCGCTGCCGGTTGACGTCGGACAGCTTCGAAACGCTTGTCTCGCGCAATCTATCGTCGCGATTAACGCCGGTCCCCCAACCAGATTGCTGCAGTAGCTCCAGATTGAGCCTAGATCTGGCCGTGATCGAGTCGTCATGCCGTCATCAACAGCATCTTCGGTCTCACCGACCAAGCTCGGTGGGCTCTCGTCTTCGCAGCGCTCCAACAATGGTGGATCCGTGTCGCCTACCAAGCCGTCCTCGACCAACGCATCACGCGCTGGTACCCCGTCAGCCCCAGCAAAAGCGACAAGCACCGCAACGCCCATCCGCCACATCCCACCAGGTTGCCAGCATCTGAGCTCGCTTCTCCACCTCGGCGCCTCGCCTTCATCGTCGAAAAGCTCCTCCCCCACCAAGATCAAATCCGAACATGGCGATGAAGCAAGAAGCGACAGCTTTGACACGCTTCCGGAAGCCACGCGCTCTTATTTGAAGCGCTACATCGCGGGCCTCCGATGGGGAGCTCAGATCAGGACGGGTCACGTCAAGATGATGGACGACGAGGAGAAAGAAGCAGAGTTGGCAAAGTGGAACGAGCAGGCGGCCAAGGCGAACAAGATGGGCAGACCCACCAAGAAGCGCAGAAAGCTCGACTATCCACAATGCAAAACGTGCCAGGCCGACATGCTGCGTCCGTTCATCTGCCTCGATTGCGCTTTCACCGGCTGCTTCTCGCCACCCGTGGACGACGATCCGACGGCGGTGACCCGTACCGCATCCGATAGCCATATGATCCAGCATCTTCGTTCCCAGAAGCATACGTTGGCATTCGATCTGCTGTACGGACAAGTCTACTGCGCCGACTGCAAAGACTTTGTCCACGACCCGCTGCTCGAATCCATCCAACGACACGAGACGTGCCGCGTCAGCCAGAACGTCATCGGACAGCAATTCGGACCATCAAAGTCGACGGTGGAATCGCTCTTCCCTCCATCGGCATCGGATGTAGCAGCGGTCATGGCCAAGTTCTACACGACCGATCCTTCCAGCGTCGCGTGTCGTGTGCCTAGAGGGTTGAGGAATATGGGTGCGACGTGCTACATGAACGTCATCATCCAGGCGTTCCTGCACAACCCCCTGTTGCGCAACTACTTCTTATCGGACCGACACAATCCGTCGCTCTGCAATGGAGCCAGGAGCTGCCTGGCTTGCGAGATGGACAAGATCTTTGCAGAATTCTACTCGTCTGATCCTGGCGCGATGGTGGCTGGCGCTGGAACGAATGGGTCTGGTGCCTCGTCCGCGGGTGCAGCGGCGGCCACAGCTCCGGGTGCGATTGTCGGTATCGGCAGCGAGAACGGAGCCAGCGGATCTCAGGCAAAGGGACCACATGGACCAACGTCGTTCCTGTATTGCGTCTGGGTGGACCAAGCGAGCAGCGAGCTCGGTCAGGCCGGTCAGCACGACGCCCACGAACTCTTTATCTCGACACTCAACTCGATCCACACGGCGCTCACGAGTCGAGCGCTGGAACGATCGTCACTCCCGTCGTTTGCGTACGATCATGCGGACGCGCTTAATCTGATGTGGGACCACTACGAGGGGGGCGGTGGATCTGGTAGCCAGTCGGAAGATGAAGGCATGGGTGGCAATGCGGGCACGCCGATGGGGTTGGGTGCCGGTGTGAATGGAGGAGTGGCGGGTTGTCCGTGCGTGGTGCATAGGACGTTTGCGGGACAGCTTCAGTCGGACGTCACCTGTCAACGATGCGGCAAGGTCAACACGACTCGCGATCCGATGCTGGATCTCAGTCTGGACGTTCGACCCGAATCGATGCGTCGCAAAGATGCCAACAGCCTTGCCGGTAGCAGCAACAACAACAAGCCCAAGTGGAACAACGGCAAGCCGACAGCCGTCAACGGGAACGGAACGGTGGATGGGGAAGAGGAGCAGCATCTGACGATCTGCTTGCAACGATACTGTTCGGAGGAGAAGCTGGGCAACAACGACTACGCTTGTACGTCGTGCGGTGGAAGTGCATCGGCGACCAAGCAGCTGAGTTTGTACAGGTTGCCGCCCGTGCTGTGCATTCAGCTCAAGCGGTTCGAACACACTTCGTCGGCCGCCAAGATCGACACCAAGGTGCGTTTCCCAATGGTGCTGGACGTAAGGCAGTTTTCCACTGCGGAGATTCGCGCTTCGACGGACGATGCGAAGAACGCAGCTGGTTCGGCGACTACCTCTAGCAAGAATAGTGGGTTGGTTGCCAACCCCGACCCTGAGTAAGTCTACTTTTCCCCTCCCACAAACACATTGCTGCTATAAATCGTCGCTGACACAATTTTTCCATCTTGGGCAATAGGGCGTATCTGTACGATCTCTTTACAGTGGTGGTGCACGAGGGGTCGATGAACACGGGACACTATACCAACTTTAGCAAGTGGAGAGGCAGCTGGTACAGGTTCGACGATGACAAGGTGCAACCTACGAGCGAGGCGGTTGTGTTGGGAGCGAGGGCATACCAGTTGTGCTATAGACGGAGGGTTTTGAAGAACGTCACGAACTCGAGGTCGAGCGAGTAGATAGATGGCAATGGAAGGTTAGATTCGGGAGTAGCATCTCGTGGCTGTGGGATTTTTTTGGATTTGGAATGTTTGATTGTGGTAGAAATGGGGTGAGAGAGAGCGATGGCGCGTGATGACGCCAGCGTGCCGCTTGCCCCGCAGCCTCGCTCTTGTTCTTTCGGCTCTGACAGTCAACACCGTTTTGCGGCTTGGCGAGAGGTCTCGTTGGATCCGGCAAGGCGGTGCGTGCTTTTGAGAGTTCAGTGTCGGGCCGAAGCGAGTCCAGGGTGTACCGCGCGTACCTGGTTCGGTTACGCCAGTGCGAGAAACGAGGTCGGCGAATCTTCTAGTAAGTTGGTGTGTGTTTTTCTTCAGTGAGGCTGCCCTAGATGAATTGAACAAACGGACTCGCTCATCTATTCGTATCACCACCGCCTGGATCGCTCCCCTTCCGTCCCACCATAGACCAAGTCAGCGACGATAGAAGGCTTCTTATAGCAGCAAACAACGACTCTTCACACCGCTCAGTGATCGTAGACCCGCAATTGGCCAGCATCCGTGACTGGCGAGCATCCTGCAACACACAGCGCCGTATGTCTTCATAATCGTTGACCGCGTTCCATCATGCCGGACGGCCAACCGTCATCGCCAGCCTCTCCGGCGAGGCGAGATGACTCGGCGCTGCTCTCGACACACGTAATCCCGCACTCGGCTTCCGAGCCATCGAAACTCTCATCAACACTTTCTGGCAACTCGAATTCCTCAGATGGTGCAGCGCACAATTTTGCCAAGCAAGACGGCTCCTTACAACAGCCCACGCCTGCCTCTCCAATCCAGTCCGATCTTGCCGAGACCACATCACCACCTCCGCTCTCCGAATCTGAACAGCAGGCATTCTCCTCTCTCTTTCCCAACGGTTCATCCAACGACCGTGAAGTAGCCGCCTACACCGCCGCCGCCCCCGCTCGTGGTCGCAACCTGGATCAGCACGGCGAACTCCAGGATGAGTTCGACCCCAACCGTCGCACCTCCGTACCAACCCCGGCTACCGTCCTTAAGAATCTACCAGGTGCAGCGACAAAGACGCTCACCGCAACAACAGCTGCTCCTGCGAGGACGCTCGACTCGATCAGGAACAAGCTGCAGAGTCCTAGTACGGGTACAAAGAGCAAAAGCGAGATACCGCATTCATTGAGTAAGCTGGAACACGATTTGAGGCATAACGCACATGCACCTGGCAATCTGGATGCAGACGCTTCCTCGCAGAAAGAGCTGGTTGGTGGCAAGCCGCCTTCCAAGTCGAGCTCGTTCAGCTCCTTGTTTAGGGGCAAGTCGAAGAAGAGCGAACGAGCGTCGGCGCTGATGAAACGTGGACGGGAGAGGTCGAGTTCAGGTTCAACGAGATCGAACTCCATCTTTCCACCGCATGGAGCGACAGCTCATACCCAGGACCGGCCAGCCACTGCCATTCAGGAGGACGGAGAGCTAGGGAATAGGACACCAGTGGAAGAGGAGGAGGAGGAGGAAGACGACGACGTGGTGCAGCAAAGGATCTATGACCAGCAAAAGAGGCTGGAAGAATTGGACGAGGCTCAGACAGTCGGCTTGTTGAGGACGCAGCAGGAAGCAGGGATCGAGCCGATTCAGTCTCCTGAAGAACCGACTAAGCCGTCTTGGCTGGTGGGGTTGCCGCTCTTTGGGAATGGGACGGGATCGGCAAAAGACAAGCACGGTGATGGCGGTCAAGACGAAGGACAGGCTTCGAGACGGAGCAGTTTCCGGCGTAGCAGCATTCATCGTCGAGGCCGCGACGCAGGCGAGGGCCAAGATGACGACGTAACAAGTTCGAATGGTCTGCGTCGAGGACGTTCCGCTACAGCTGCACGATCCGCCTCGGCCTCTCGCGCGCCGCGAAGCAAAAGCCGCCCAAAAGCCTTACTCGACCGACGTCACAGCACCGGTCTTCACCCACCTCGCCGCAACTCGACCACCTGGACATCCAAGCTTCGCACCAAGATCCCCATCAAAGAGTTCCCCTTGCAAGGCTCCGGTCGCGAATCCGAATTCAATCAAGAATGTCCGCTCTGGGCACGTCAACCGTACAAGTACATGTACTTTTCCTACTTTGGCCTCAGCGTCGGTCTCTACTACCTGCCGCGATGGGCCATCTCTTCGATCCTACCCTCGCATCGAGGTCGACCCGATTGGAGCTGGAAGAAAGCCACCATGGTCAAACTCTTTCGCCACGGTACAAAGTTGACCTTCCGCACGAGAACGAGTTTGGGCAGGGATCTGCAGAAGGAGGTGCCACACAGCAAGACGGTGAGGTGCAAGTTCACGTGGGTCAAGCCGGTAGGGGACGAGGATGTGAGGGGCGAGTTGAGTAGGGCGATGGAGATCCAGAAGGTGATGCCGCAGAGGACGTGTGGGTTTTGGTACGGAGAAGTGGGCAAGCCGGCCAAGCAGGCCAAGCGCAACGCCAAGCTCAAGAACGATGCTCCGGCAGCGCACGACCACACGCCCAGTCAGGAGGGATTGCAGAATGCATTGCGAGCGTCGTCGGGTACTAGCTTGGGAGCTGGATCACAGAACAGCGATACGGGATCCGGGTGGGAAGTGAAAGGCGGCGTCGGTCGAAGTGCAGAGCCGGGCGAAAAGGTGTTGTACCATCTGCACGGTGGTGCGTATTGGATCGGCACGGCTCACGAAAAAGATGTCACTGCGGCGGTCAACACCGAGAGTCTGAGATACATGGCAGAGATCTACAAGTCTAGAGAGGCTGCTCAGCAGAGCGCTGATGGCTCGGCATCTTCGTCGTCATCTTCCAACTCGGCCTACAGTGGCAAGCTGCTGCGATCCTTCAGTCTCGACTATCGCCTCTGCGTACCCGGTCGACCTCGTGCTGGCTCGTACCCAGCTGCGCTGTTGGATGCGCTCTCTGGCTACCTCTATCTGGTGCGCGATCTGAACTTCGCGCCCGAGAACATCATCATTGCGGGCGATTCTGCGGGAGGCAACCTGGCGCTAGCGCTCTGTCGCTACTTGCGCGACGAGGGGCCTAGCATCGCTGCGCAACCAGGCGCGCTGCTGCTCATGTCGCCCTGGGTCGATGTCTCGCGCTCGCACTCGGGCCCCACGGGGGCACCCAACCTCGACTCGACCGTGTTCCTGAACCAAGACTCGGACATCATCAGCTCGATGATCGCATTCCGCAACACAGCCGTCTCGGCGTTCCTCGGCAATCTCCCCGCACGCGAAACGTACCGCAACCCATACATGTCTCCCGTCTCGCTGCAATTACCGCTAGAACGAGGCGGCAAAGCTCCGCATTGGGGGTTCCACGGCTTCCCCAAGAAGATCTACATCACCACCGGATCGGCCGAGATCTCGTACGACCAGCACCTGACGCTTGCACACAGGTTGGCGGGTGGAACGCGCAAGGGTAGACCGGTGTACAGCGGCGACAAGTTGAGCGCGGGATGCAATGCGAGGGAGATGGCGGAGAGGAGGGGTAGACCTAGGCCCAAGGAGCTGTTGGATGCGGAGCAGGCGGGGATGGGTGTGACGCCGATGGAGGAGCTGCAGGGGTGGGAGTTGGGCGCGCAGGAGGGGGAAGGGTATGTGACCAAGGTCGTCGATGGCGAGCCGAGGGAGGGCAAGCGACCCGAGTTGGAGAGTCGAGATACGACGCTGTTGGGCGAAAACCGGGGTGGCGACGGCGATGCCGGTGCAAACAGCCAAGATGGTCCGAGCAAAGCAGCAGCGGGGAAGAGAAGGCTTCACGCAGCGCCACCCCCGGAACCCACCGAGAAGGAGGACCGCCAAGTGATACTGGACGAGGTCAAGGATGCGGTGCACGATTATCTGCTGTTCAAGTGGTTCGAACCGGAACGCTCTTCGACGTGGAGGAGGATCGCCGAGTGGATCGATGACGTTTGATGTATTGCGTTTGTCCTTTTTTTGCTGCATAGAGATCGAACGAACTCGGTGTGATGCTCGATGCTCGATGCTCTGTGCGTGTGTGTCTCACGTCTTGCGCCAATCGTCCGTGTCATCATCCCAATCGGAGGCGAGATCGCCGTAGTACGCGGTCAAGCTGGAGAGCTTCTTGCCGTTGTTGACGTACTGATACTCGATCTTGACGTCCATCTTCGTGTTGCTGCTAGTGCTGGAAGAGGAGGAGGAGGATCTTGCGGGGTCGAGCAGGGTGGTGAGATGCGAGAGCTCGGAGAGCGAGGTGTTTCGGGGTAGGTAGAAGGCGATGTTGTTGGTGTGGAAGGCTTGGGTGACTTGGGCGAAGAGGGAGAGGCCGTCGATGGGTTGGATGGAGGAGAGGTGGTAGTTGGATTGTTCGAGGGAAGGTGTGGTGGGTTGAGCGGCGTAATCTACGCCTCCCCAAGGTGGACTTAGGAACACCGCCTGTACGTCGTCCAATTGGCTCGCCGTGAGACCCTTCCACACCACTTCATCCCCTCCTCCACCCTTTTCTCTTCTCTGCACCATCGCCTTCAGCAGTCCCAAACTATCTCCCTGCACGAACACGATCCGATCCTCAACCCCGTACACCATCGCGTTCCACCTAGCCAACTTCAGCTTGACCTCATCCAACTCGACCGCGATCACCTTGGCGCACGTGAAGGCGAACTGGATCGCATTCCCGCCCGCCCCCGCGAACAGGTCTACCACTGTTCTATCGGTGGAGCACCGCTTTGCGATCCGAAAGGCGACGCTTTCGGGAGTGATCGAGTACCACGATTGCTCGTCCAGCAGACAACCGGAGGAGTAGAGGGAGAGAAGCGAGTGGCGATGGCGCCAGTATTTGAGGTGCGAGGCGGGGAAGGTTGAGGGATGGACGAGGGCATGCGGGAGGAGAGAGTGGTAGAGCGATTGAGAGGAGGTGGGGAAGAAGCTGAGGTCGAGGTCGGGATGGTAGGCGCTGAGGTTGAGGTTGGTGGTGGTGGTGGTGGTGGAGGTGGCTGGGGAAAGGTGCTGGACGTAGGCGCCGAGCGAGGTGCGTTTGCGCTTTTTGGGCATAATGGTAGGTGAGATTGAGCACGCTACCGAGGTCTCTATCCGACGCTTCCGAGGAGGCGAGAGGCGGAAAGTGCGAAATGAGCAATGGTGTCAGAGTGTCATCTCGAGATTGCAACGAGGACAAAGAAGAAGGCTCGTCTGGCATGATTGGACCCTGAATCTCTTTTCCAAAAACTCGCCGCGCAACAGTGGCGGTCTCACAATTCTCCAAAAAAGCTGTCGCCGTCTCTGCGCTCGAAATGGCAAGTCTGACGTGCTGAGTCGAGAGGCCTGGGCCCGGTGTTGTTTTTTTTGTGAGGTGACGGTCTACGCTTCGGAAATAACTACTAAGCGTGGGTGTGCAGATGAAGCTCCTATTCTGCCAAATTTGTCGCGCAGACAGAGAGAAAGAGTGCGGCTGTGCCCCTGAACCTGTAGCGGGGAGCTGCTGCTGGCTGACGCTTGCTGCATGCAAGGCGGGCAGTGTTTGACCCCTCTCAGCGATTGCATTTACAGCCGAGAGACCAACACTTGCACTTTGTCTCGCTCTCCATCTCTTTCCTCTCTCCAAAGCATCTCGAAACGCTCCCTCGCCCATCGATATCTTGCACTCGGAGACGACCGGCTTTCCTTCTTTCTGAATCACGATCCACCTACGAGCATTTGCAGCTGCAGCACGCGTATCCCAACTCTCCAGCAAAACGTCGACAAGCATCCAGGCTCGCATCTCCACTCGCATTCATCTACTCTTTTTACCGCGAAGCAACACTTCTTTCTGTTGGACGTATCTCAGACAGCCGCTTCTGCCTCATCCACACTCATCGCATCTTGATCGCTGTATTGCGCCTAAATGCCACCGATGAACTTCATCTTCAAGTCCAAGTCGCGCACACCACAGGAGCTCGTTCGTCACCTGCGCGACACCATCCTACGCCTTGACTCTGCCTCTCCCCTCGGTGGCAGCAACTCTTCCAACTCGCTCAGCAATCACTACTCTAACGGAACTTCTTCCACTTCCTCCTCTTCGGGTGCATCCGCCGCTGGCTCGTCTTCTTCCTCTGGCATCACCTCGTCCGGCTCTTCCGGTGGTGGCTCCTCCTCCGAATCTAAACGCAAAGCGGTCGACGAAATTTCCAAAACACTCTGTCAGATCAAGGCCATCCTCTTTGGAGACGGAGATGCCGATCCACAGCCAGAACTAGTCGCCCAACTGGCACAGGAAGTCTACTCCCACGATGTGCTCCAGCTCCTCGTCGCTCACATCTCCAAGTTCGAATTCGAAGCCAAGAAGGATGTCTCGCAGATCTTCAACGTCCTCCTCCGAAGGCAGATCGGCTCTCGTTCTCCCACCGTCGAGTACCTCGCCACACGTCCCGAAGTCGTCTTCCTCGCGCTTCGCGGATACGAAAACCCAGACGTGGCGCTCAACACTGGAATGATCCTTCGCGAAATGCTGAGGCACGAACAGCTAGCCAAGATCTTGCTGTATTCGGATCGATTCTACACCTTCCCCGAATACATCGAGACCACCACGTTCGGCATCTCTTGCGATGCATTCTCCAACTTCAAGGAAACCCTCACTCGACACAAATCCATGGTCGCCTCCTACCTCGAATCCAACTACGACCGCTTCTTCGCCACCTACACCACCCTCCTCACCTCTCCCAACTACGTCACCAAACGTCAATCCCTCAAGCTCCTCGGCGAAATCTTGCTCGATAGGACAAACTTTACCGTCATGACCCGCTACATTTCGTCGGAAGACAACCTCAAGATGATGATGAATTTACTGAGGGACAGGAGCAAGAACATCCAGTTCGAAGCCTTTCATGTTTTCAAGGTGTTCGTCGCCAACCCAAAGAAGCCGGTTCAGATCGAGAACATTCTGCGCAGGAATAGGGAGAGGCTGGTCAAGTTCTTGGGCGAGTTTCATAATGATAAGGACGACGAACAGTTTGTCGATGAAAAGCAGTACGTGTTGCAGATCATCGAGGCTACGGGTAAGACGAGCGCAGGTCAGGCGCAAGGCGGTGCAGCACCGGCGATAGGCGCAAAGTAGACCCCAAGGTGTAGAGTGCTAGATCGTATTGCAATAAGGCAGTGCCGAAAAAAATAGTGATGGTGTGTGTGATGCAGTGTAGCATCCTGAACCCGTAAGTGACAGACTCAGTCCTCTTTGAGCTCTGGTGAATTGTCGTACGCTCCTCTTACCACCCTTCGCGTTCAACCACACCTTCTCTCGCGCATCCCTCGACCACACGCACACACACAGTCCTCGAATCGCATATACAACCCCCCCTTCTGATCGGCATTTCATCCACTCGCAATCAACGCAAACAACTCATCCCCCAACACGGCATCCAGTTCGTTCGTCCCCAGGATCTCCACTACGCCCTCCTCGTCGCCCAACAGCAACCCGATCTGCCTCTTGCCGCCCACCGCCGCCGCTGCTGCTCCCTCCCCAAACCCAAACCCTAACAACGCCGGCGCGCCAAACATGTCGTTTCCATCCGAAATCAGCCGCAGCGCCTCCACCAGTCGGCGGCAGAGCACCGAGAATGGGTTGCGCGAAAATTCGGGCGTCGCCCTCGACAGCTTCTTGACAATCCGAAGTACGATCCCGCTCAATCCGGGGATGGCGCGCAGTCGCAGCTTGACGTTTGGCGGCGCTAGGAAAGCCACGTTGTACAGACACATCGCCAGCCTCTCGCAGTAGCCCAACCGGTGTTCCGTGTTGAGCACCTTGAAATCCGACTCTGTCATGGGCAGCATCCTCACCATCTCCGATACCAAGCCTTCTAAACTAGCTCCCGAGATCATCGATCCCAGCACCTCTCGATTGTCATCCGGCAACGCTAGCTTGGACAGCGCGTCGAGTGCGAGGTCAGCGTGGTAAGGAATGCGTCGGATGACAGGTGGTGCAGGAGCACCTGGTGGAAGCGTCGCTGCCAGCTCGGCGATCTCAGCTGCGTGGTCCATCTCTTCCACCTCGCCAGATTCCAGGATAAACGATGCAAGCAGCTCAAACAGCGCCTTGACCGTCTCAGCACTTTGGTCTCGCAGAGCAAGCGCCTCGCCCGCCAAGTTGGACACGATCACCAGCACCTCTTTGCGCACCCGCAGCGCCTCCATCGTCGTAAACACCGTCTCGTCGTCGCCATCCGCTTCTGCATCCGTCTCCGCCTCACCATCGTGTGCTGCTCGTGCCCGCTCGGCATCGCTCCGGCAGAGCCGCGCCAGCACCTGCAGCAGCTTCGGCGTGTGGTTGAAAAAGTACATGTTCTCTGGCATGACACTGAAGTTCTTGATGATCGTCAGTATCGTCAAGGCTGTCATGGCTCGTTGCTCCGTCGACCGCTCTTGCTCCGACTCTACGCCGTTGGTCGAGATGGTCGCATCCGGTCCGTCGAGGCTCGATGAGGCTGCTGACGACAGACCGGCCACGGAATCGACCTCGCTGCTTCCGTTGAGTACACTTCCTGCCGTGGAACGTGAGCGTACCGCTTTTCTGCGCCTCCAGATCTTCAGCTCGGCCTCCTCTTCTGCTGCGGCGGCGATCCAATCGCGGTACGTCGGCAGAGACTCGAGATGTCCCTCTCGGCGCGACCGCTTGGCCGGCCGACGCGAGCTTTCGCCGTTGGTGCCGTTCCGCAAACCCAGCACTAAGTCCAGGCTGTGCTCTGCAACAGCCTCTGGCTTGCCCTGGAAGCTGGTCTCTTCAAGCAAGTCCAGCAACTCTTCGAGCAGATCCTCGCACGAGGCCAACCCGAACTGAAAGTTGGGCGCAGCACCGACGCCGGCCGACAGGATGAGCAGCGTGTTGAGCGCGTACGAGACCTCGTAGTCGAGACGCGAACGCAACGACATGATGAGGCCCTGCACATCCACCAGACCGAGCTCCCGCAGCGTCCTGGGACGGCCCCGTGACACCATCGCTGGTGCGTACTGCGATTCGGCCAGCGTGAGATCCCACCCTCCGTGCGTCTGAACGTCGCGACGGAGAGGAAGGTATTCGATCTTGTGCTTCTGAGGAGGAGCGGGAGGGCCGACGGGTTGAGACGTTCCCGGAATCACCTGCTTCTCTGCTTGAGGTGGCGGCGCGGGCGAAGCTGGTTGCATTCCGACTGGCGGCTGGCCCATCGCACCAGGACCGCTTGCTTGATCGGCGAGCTGCGGCATAGGCGGTTTCACGTCCGCGCCCACGCCTGTCGGCAATGGCGTTGGCATGCCGCTCTCAGTCTTCTTGCGCTTCTTCTTGGACTGCTTGGGATCTGGCTTGACCGCTGTGATCGGTGTCTTTGGACCCGCCCCGTTGATGGCTTGAGGCTTGGTGGGAGAAGGTGGCATGCCTGTGGGCGCTTGAGAAGGCCAAGCCGGAACGCCATCAGCGCCAGCATGTCCGGCAATTTGTGCATGTTGCTGAAATTGCTGCTGTTGCTGTTGCTGTTGCTGTTGCTGAGCGAGCATGGCGGCCGGATCGCTGAAGAGACCGGGCGCAGCTCCCGGCATGGTGCCTGGCAGGCCCTGATTCGGGGCGGGAGAAGCTTGACCAGGCGTCGAGCGTTGGGCAGAAACTGGCGATGGCTGCGTCTGGGGCATTTGTGGCATTCCAGTAAATCCTTGAGGACCGTTTTGCATTGCAGGAGGGACTTGTTGCTGTTGTTGTGGCTGCTGCTGCTGACCTTGAGATGCGTCGCTCGACGATCCAGCCTGTGTTTGCTGCTGCTGCTGCTGCTGCTGCTGCTGCTGCTGCTTGACCATCATCTGACGCGTAGCCTGCTGCATGGCAACAAAACGTTCGCGCGCCTGCTGCGAGGTGATGCGACCGCTGCTCACGAGTTGTTGAAGCTGAAGCATCTGCTGGTGTAAGTTGGCGGGGAGATTCGCTGGGGTGATCTGACCAGGCGCGCCCGGCTGATTCGCAGCGGTAGGCTGACTGGGCTGCCCCCCCTGCTGTTGCTGCTGTTGTTGCTGATGCTGTTGCTGCTGCTGTTGCTGCTGCGATGGCGTTTGCGGTTGCTGCTGCGGGTTCTGCGGCGGTTGCCCAGGCTGCTGCTGCATCTGTTGCGACTGTGCGTTTGTGGACTGCTGCGACCCCGCTGCTTGCATAGTTGGACCTACCGCACCGGCATTGGGCCCGGACGCAGCAGGAGAACCGGCAGCCGCGCTCTGACCGCTCGGCTGTCGTTGAGGCATGCGCGACATCCAAAACTGCTCGAAAGCGGAGAGACGATCTCGGTAGAAGGCAGACAGGCGATCGGGAACCTCGCCAGGACTTGGCACGGCATCTGGCGCCGATTGTGTGCCATCTGGAGGTCCTACTTTGAGACCGAGGCGGCTGGCGATGACAGCCCAGAATCCAGGGATCTGCGCTGCGCGTTGAGAGCCTCCCGAATGGATGACAGCGGCAAAGAGAGCTTGCAACTCGATCGTTTTGGTGTCGCCGGGCAAGTTGGAAGACGCAGGACCAACGAAACGAAGGGAGAGTTGTGGGGGAAAGGGTGTTCCGCGTTGCTGCATGAAGTTGCGGACAGTTCCGACAAAGTCACGTTTCATGCCGGGAGCCCCGCCGGCAGACTGCGCAGACTGGCTTGGGCCTGACATATGTGCTGGATTGAAGCCTGGCTGCTGAGATTGTGTCTGTGGTGTTGGCATCTGCTGCGCCTGCATGCCGGGCTGCGCGAAAGGAGACTGTTGAGGTTGTTGTTGTTGTTGTTGTTGTTGTTGTTGTTGTTGTTGTTGTTGTTGTTGTTGTTGTTGCTGCTGCTGCTGCTGCTGCTGTTGTTGTTGTTGTTGTTGCTGAAGCTGACTCATGTCATTCTGCTGTGATGCTCCAAAGTTCGAATCCATGCCGAGACCGTTCATGCCCTGTTGGGATTGCATCTGGGCGAGTTGTGCTGGGTTGAGTCCTTGCATCAGGGCATTTTGCTGCTGCTGTTGCTGTTGCTGCGGCTGGATGCCCATCTGTGTCGGCTGCTGCTGCTGATTGAGCTGCGCGCCTGGTGGGATATGGGCGCCCATCGACTGAATCGCCGACTGCTCCATCATCTGCAAGCGCTTGAGCTGAGCGGCGAGGTGTTGCTGCGCGTTGGTCTTGGTCGGTCCGTCTGGCTGACCAGAGATGACAGCCCACTGTCGCTGCAGAGCGGCGATGTTGCCGCGTATCGACTGTAGCATGGCGGTCATGATGAAATGAGCGGGTTTTGATCGACGCGTAGGATTTGAGGGGGAGAAATGAGCGTTTCAGAAGCAATCGAGATGGGTATCAGGGGATAGTCAGCACGCCTGGTCGCCTCGAGCGATGGCTGGTATCTAGGTGACGAAACTAGGGAGATGGCCGGCATGTGAAGAAAGGCGCGATGACCACGGTCGTAGTGACGCCCGACGACAAGGCTGCGTCGTGAGCGCCTCCGGGGCTGGCTGGCACGGACGATGAGGGAGGAAGTGTCTGCTTGCCCGATGGCGCCAAGGGAGCGCGACGTCGAGGGCAACGGGTCGAGGCGACGGCCAGTTGCAGCTGCAGGGAGAGGAGGGAGTACGGAACACGGAGAATGGCGAGAAGGGTTTCGGCGGGATAGAAGACCGAAGGTGCGTGCGAGATGATGGAAGAGCGACTTGGGCGAGAAGCAAAGAGGCCGAGCCCAACGCTCGCTGCTTGCTGCTTGCTGCCCGCTGCCTGACGAGACGCAAATGCAGACGCGCGACGGGCGTTGCCAGAGCCGATTTCCACGCTCGAGGCTGCCCAAGCCGGTGACCGATTTGGTTGCAGATCAGATCGCAACTCGTCTCGCGAATTTCCACTGCGGCCGCATGTAGCGTCGAAATGGAAGATCGGGCCAGATCGGGCCAGATCGGGCCCTGGCCGACACTTCTTCCTACTCCTCCTCCTCGCCGCTCCCGGTGTGACTCGGCAGCCTTGCCTAGGCTGAGGACGGGACATGACGATCTTGATTGTTACTCACCTGTACCATTTGCGCTGCATTCTGTAGTTGGGCACCCATGTTGCTGGAGTCGCCGACGGCGGGCATGCCCATCGGACCCGAGGCAGCAGAGGCGACATTCGGCTGGTTGCCCACGTTCAAGTTCTGTTGTTGAGCCTGTGGGAAGCCGGACGGAAACTGCAGGCCCTGCGGGTTCATGACGACGCCAGAATCGAAGCTACTGCGGCTGCCGCGAGAGGAGGGCGGCCTCTGCTTTCACAGTTCAAGCCTGCTGTTGGGAGTATCATGGCAGATACGAGCAGAATCAAGATGTAGCGGTCAGCGTCAGCGAACAGGAACTTGTGTAGACGAGACTGAGAGCAATTGAATCATGACAAGTCCAGGTGAAGCACAAGTGAAGGAGGATGGCAAGCCAATATGGCACGCGACAAGAGCGCAAGAGCGCCTTGGTCGTTGTGATGATCATCTCGACTCTTGGCGGCCTGGCGCTTGGGACAGAGCGGAGAAGGCGCGAGGGGATGGCGTTGGAGGACAAATCACACCGAAGGGTGGATGCCTCGAGGCATTGGGCACGTGGTAAGCAGGCACCGGCGTCTGTTCCGTGCAGTCTGCCATGGCGGCGATGCTCGACAATGCGGAAACGAGTCAGACGAGCGAGGGCGAGCGGCGACCTGCACTGCAGATCCTGGGGCATTATTCACGAGCAATCGCAGTATTGTGCCAGGCACTGCATGCATGCCCGAGACGAGCGACAATGAAAGCAGTGGCGTGGACAGCTCGCTTACAGGAAAGGAAGGGACGACGTCGAGACAGGGCGAGGAGCGGGCGCGGGCGACTTTACGGGCGCAAGCACGGGCAGGACAGGCAGGCACCCAGATGCATGCGTGGCAACGACTCTCGCCTCATCAGCGGGAGATGACGCAGAACAAGTGGGTTGCATAGCCGGCGGAAGCTCACGAGGGACGAGCCGGCCAAGTCGAGGGCAAGGGGAGGGGGCACACCTGAACGACACAGCACGGGTGAAAGGATGGCATGCAGACAACTCCGAAACTAGGGCACGAACGGAGCAGGACAGTGACCGCGGCCACAGGGGAAGGAGGTGCAGGAGGAGGAGGAGGGGGGAGGGGGCGGCGGGACAGATGACATGGGTGGAGCACACCGAGCGAGAGGCTAAAACAAGCTTTGCATGGGGTTGGGATGGGAACGGATACGTACCGAAAGGGCCGAACGAGGCGGAGACGACGCAGAGCAGCCACGGTGAGGATCAGGAACGGCGGCGTCGATTGCCAGGGAGAGTGAGAAGGGGCGAGCAGGATGGGCGGAACGGCGATCTACCCAAGAAGCCGGATGCTATACGCCGTACTGGTATGAAAGGGGGGGCGGGGACGGCGGTTTTGGATGTGGATCGCAGCAGGGGGCGGAGGGGCGGGTACAGGGGCACGCGAGATGGCGGGATGGCGACAGGATGGCGGCGGCGATCCGTCAAATCAAGCTCTGCGGTTTGTCAAAAGGGAGAGCGGTTGCGTAGGCGGCGGCGGGGGCGAGAAGGGAGCGACGATGGAGCGACGAGATGAGATAGATGAGTTGGACCAACCGAAACGGAACGCAACCAAACCCAAACAAAACCCCTGCAAAAGGAACCAGGCCAGACACTGACACGACACGAGACCCGAAGACGGCCTGAGCCCGAGCGCGCGCGCCGACTGAGCTAAAATTGAGCCGGACTCTCTGCCCCTGCGGTGCGTGCGTGGGTGCGTGGGTGCGTGATTCGTGCTTTTGTGATTGCATCGGATCTGCAGATTTCTGGTCAAAGGCCAAAACAGAAATCAACGCGAAGCCGCTCCCTTTGCTCTTCTCGCAGCCGCATAACACCGCCGCCAATCGCTGCAGTCAGGCCGAGAGCGGATCAAGCCGTGAGAAGGGGGAGGTCGGCTGCTCCGCCGCAGATCAGACGAGCAACATCGGATGGATGTGATCGCAGGGATGCGTGATCGTCAGCATGCTTGGCTCTACGCCATGATATGCATGCTGTACGTATGTCGTGGTAAAGTTACTGTGTACCTGCCGCGAGTGAGCAGCTCGGCTGCTGCGAAGGCATCCTCGACCTCGCTAAGCACTTCAGAATGTTTCATTCAACTTATTATAGCATCGGCGGCTTAGTGACAAGGTGGCATGCATGGGACTTTGCCTTTGCATTCGACTTGGCGAGGAGGACAGACAATGTCGATACGGTGCAATTTGAAAGAAGACGAAAAGTTGTGCCGGCTGACCTTGAATTCCTGGCTGTACTTTTACGTGCATGCTTCCACCACGTCGTGGTTTCGATCTCAGTCAGGCAAGCGAGCACAATTTCATGCCAAGGCTGTTTGCAACCGTATCTCACCCCCCTTCCCTCCGCTTTTGCCGAGACCTGCAGAGCCCGCCTCCGTTGTGCCTCGGTGGATGTGTCGCCAGGCATTCATCCTCTGACCCGTTCAGATGAAGCGAGGCGTCACAGTGGAGCCAATTTGATCGCTAACCGATCGTGACGGTCTATGCTCCGAACGCCGGATGAGTTCGGCTAGCTTGGCGAAGAGATTGACGTGGATTCTGAATCCGTTATCCGCGCCCGATGTGCTCTCCCCTTGCGATATGCCATTCTCTACCGACTTTGAGAACGGCTGACCTCACAAATTCATGAGGTCGTTACCATTGTGGGTACTTCTGCAAGAGGCAAAGAGAGAGCACCGGAAGAGCGAGTGCAATCCGTGAGTCGGCATTTTGTAACCTCTTTTTCCTCGGCGACTTTTTCGTTCTCGCCTGGATCAAACTAACGTGTCCGTCCGTTCGTGTTGGCTGCGTCGGGTCATCGAGGCGGATTTGCTACCGCAGTGGATGAAGGCTTACCGAGACCCAGCTGCCGGTACAGTCCAGGGACAGCTGTCTCCATCTTCGATGCGGATCGACGCTCAAAGTCGACCGATAACGTCATGGACTAGCCTCAAGAGTGAACAGTAGAACCATCGATGTCGCTGTTCTGATCGGGAAACCCGATCTGAATTATCGAGGAATAATGCGCGATGGGTGATCTTCGCCGCTGACGTGAAGCGCTGAGCTTAGCCAATTTGTGACTCTCAGAGCCGCAACCGCAGAAAATCGACGCGCCACTGCTTCTGGACGCTGCTCCACTCAAGGTCAAGCTCAGTCGATGGGTCACTGTGAAGCGCCGACGGTCAGAGCTCGATATTCTTGACCATCTCATCATCCTCTCTGCATTCTTCTCTCCCCTCACATCAACTAAAGGATCGACCAGCAATTCTCGGAAGCAGACAAGCCTTTGGAACGAGAACCCGAGTAGATCGACCGCGCTTCGACTCCCAGTGCTCCGCGCATCGCTCTCTTCCAACCACTCCGTCATACACTCGGCCATGCTCCGCTCGATATCCTCGCGGTCAGCGCCGGGTCGCCTTGGCCTCGTCGCCTCCCGCTCTACGCAGCAGCTTGTCGCCTCCCCTTCTTCTTCAGCAGCTGTCTACCGATCCTTCACTCACCTCTCCAGATCAACACAGCACCCAGCTCCTCCCTCTTCCCTGCAAAGATTCTCGGCGCCAAGGGTGCAGCTTCGTCACTATGCCACACCGGCTGAGGAGGAAGACAAGAAGAACCGCTCCGCAAAGGAGTCAGAGGAAGACGACAAGAAGAAGAAGGACTTCGAAGAGTCGGTAGAGCGTGGTCTCAAGGAGGCTCGTCAGGGCAAAGCCAGCGGCAGCCTTCCCGAGAATCTCAAGCAGTTCTTCGAGAGCGATGACAAGAAGCCCACTGCGAGCAAGAACAACAAGGAGTCCGAAGCAGACGAGGACGACGTTGCCGAGAAGAAAAAGAAGAAGGCCGAAAAGTCTTCTGGCGCCAACGGCTCAAGCGGCGGCGGACCCAATGGTCAGTTCACCGAGATCCGTATCAACGCTAACACCATCCTCGCCACCATCGTGTCCACCTACCTCTTTTATCGCCTCACATCTCCCGACCAGCCTAGCCGCGAGATCACATGGCAGGAGTTCCGCACCGCATTCCTCGACAAGGGTCTCGTCGATCGTTTGGTTGTCGTCAACCGCTCCAAGGTCAAGGTTTACCTGCACTCGAACGCCACAGGTTCCATGTACCCCTCGCCCAACGGAGGTTCGAGCACCCCTGCTGGAGGCAGTGGTCATGCCGCCTACTGGTTCAGCGTCGGCAGCGTCGAAGCCTTCGAGCGACGTCTCGACGAGGCCCAGCGCGAGCTCGAGATTCCTGCCAACGAGAGGATTCCAGTCGCCTACCACGAAGAGATCTCGACCGCCTCCACTCTGCTTCACTTTGCTCCAACGCTGCTCATCGCTGGTCTCCTCTTCTGGATGTCGAGACGCGCTGCTGGTGGCGCCATGGGCGGAGGTGGCGGCGGAGGACCCGGCGGCATCTTTGGTATCGGCAAGTCGAGGGCCAAGATGTTCAACCAGGAGACCGACGTAAAGACCAAGTTTAAGCACGTCGCCGGCATGGACGAAGCCAAGGAGGAGATCATGGAGTTTGTCAACTTCCTCAAGAAGCCCGAAAAGTACGAGAAGCTCGGTGCAAAGATCCCGCGCGGTGCCATCCTCTCTGGCCCCCCCGGTACCGGTAAGACGCTGCTGGCCAAGGCTACCGCCGGCGAAGCTGCCGTACCCTTCCTGTCCGTTTCGGGTTCCGAATTCGTCGAGATGTTTGTCGGTGTCGGTCCCAGCCGAGTCCGAGACATGTTCGCCAACGCCAAGAAGCACGCTCCCTGCATCATCTTCATCGACGAGATCGACGCCATCGGTAAGAGTCGTGGCAAGGGCGGCAACTTTGGAGGCAACGACGAGCGCGAGTCGACGCTCAACGAGTTGCTCGTCCAGATGGACGGCTTCGGCACCGAGGAGCACGTCGTCGTGCTCGCTGGTACCAACCGGCCCGACGTGCTCGACGCTGCGCTCATGCGTCCCGGCCGTTTCGATCGACACATCGCCATCGATCGTCCCGACATTTCCGGTCGAAAGGACATCTTTCTCGTCCACCTCAAGCCTCTCACCCTCCACACCGACACGCATCGTGACCTTCTCGCGGAGAAGCTCAGTACGCTCACTCCCGGCTTCAGCGGTGCCGATGTCGCCAACGTCTGCAACGAAGCTGCCCTGATCGCTGCCCGCGGTGGCGCAGAATCGATCGAGGAGCACCACTTCGAGATGGCCATCGAGCGAGTCATTGCCGGTCTCGAGAAGAAGTCGCGCGTGCTTTCGCCCGAGGAGAAGAAGACGGTGGCCTACCACGAGGCAGGTCACGCTGTCTGCGGATGGTTCCTCGAGCACGCCGATCCGCTGCTCAAGGTCTCCATCATCCCACGCGGCGTCGGCGCCCTCGGGTACGCTCAGTACTTGCCCAAGGAGCGCTACCTCTTTTCGACGGAACAGCTCCTGGACCGAATGTGCATGACGCTCGGTGGTCGTGTCTCGGAAGAGATCTTCTTCACCACCATCACCACGGGTGCACAGGACGATCTCTCCAAGATCACGCGCATGGCCTTTGAGATCTGCGCTTCGTACGGTATGAACAAGGAGCTCGGCCCCGTCTCCTACCGCACCGAACAAGAATCGATGCACAAGCCTTACTCGGAACGCACCGGCGAGATGCTCGACTTTGAGGTTCGCAAGATGGTGTCAGAGGCGCACAAACGTACAACGCAGCTTTTGTCGGATCATCGTGCAGATGTGGAAAAAGTGGCCAAGTTGCTGCTGGAGAAGGAGGTCATCACACGAGAGGACATGAGGAACTTGCTCGGTCCGAGACCGTTCAGCCATGCAGACGAGGCAGATCAGTACCTCGACAAGAAGGGTCGATTGAAGAGGAAAGGTGAGGTGAGCGCTCCACCACCGCCGCCCGAAGAGATGCCTAGTCCTGGTCTGGCGACCAAGGCGCTCAGCGACGAGCAGAAGAACCTCTAATCAGTCATCTTTTCTCAAAGATCCCTCTTGATAGCCACCATTCCTTCCACCTCTGATCCTTTCACATTCTTGATCTTGTATTCGTAAACATGCTGTGAGCAACGATTCTTCCATTTCGGAGGCTGCGTGATGTGATGACTGATTCTGAATGAAAACGGTGAACATGAAATGGCAGAATACGGGAGTGCGATGTTTTGTCGCCACGAGCGGCCATGCGTGACGACTTGATTTCTGACGCATGGGATGATTCAGCCTCGGCGAGCAGCGGCTTTGCTCGGGGAAGCAGGTTGATGCGAGACGCTCATGCTCTCCCATTTTTTGACAGCTGAGCCTACGACCGAGTCTCGACCACTGGCGTGTAGCTGTGGAACGGCCAATGCTGCTGCTGTTGCTGCTGCTGCTGCTGCTGTTGGCTTTCTTTCGCCTCCGGTCTTGGGCTGACGGTGGATGGTGAGGTCTTGAGAGACGGCTTCGTTCAAGCCGAGGATGCGTTTCGAGGTTGAGGAAGTTGGCATGCCTACTTCCGGCGGGTTTGGGGTGGAGAAGAGGGAGAATTGCGAGTCTGAAAAGGGAACGGTTTCTACTTGTCTCGTCGCAGCTGGAGGGGAAAGAGGGGCTGTGGAAAAGTCCCAATCGTCGGTCTCGGCTTGATGGGGTTGGCGGGGGGATTTGGTGGGTGAGCGAGAAGCGTTGCTTCGTGCGATAGTTGGAGATCGCACTGCATCCGGATGGGAAGAACCACGAATCGGGGTGTTGATGAACGCTCCAGCCATACCGTACCCTCCGTCAGCACCTGAGATAGCAGGTGCCGGTGCCTCGGTCATCCTCGTCGCGCTCAACTGTGGCAACTGCAAAGGCGGCAACAACGGCGCAGTCTCCACCTTCCTCCTCTCCAGCCAATCCGTCAAGCTGCACGGCAGCTCAAATCCAGCCTGTCTCGCCAACCAGATGTACCTCGCCAACTCGAGATGCAGCCCGGCATAGTAATGCTGAGAACTCTTCCTCAACGTCACCAACACCCTCTCCAAACCGCTCATGAATAGACCCGCATGGAACTCGCCGGCCGTCATCACCGGTCTCGGCAACTGATGCTCCTTCACCCTCCCCAACACACCCGCGATCGCATTGATCAACTTCAAATGCACCGTCAGGTACGCCATCGCCTCAAACTCCACGCCCCCCGTCATGCCTCCTGGCACCTTCGGTCCCCTGATCAAATCCATCTTATCCCCGATCAACTCTTCAAACCTCCAATAAAAGTTTTGAGAATGACAAAAGATCCAAAAGTAGTCTCTGCAGACACACGACACCTCCACCACGTACGTCTTGAACGGTCGTGGTGCGTGCGTCTGCCTGATGAAATCCACCACGGAATCTTTCGCCGGATCGGAGGGATTCTGCAGGAGATCGAGGAGGTAGTTGAGCGAAGACTGAGAGTGAGCCTGCTCAGCGGGGAGTTGAAGGTCCAACAAGACGACCAGCATCTCTACCATGAGCTTCCTCGTACCGAGATCTCCCGGCTTCTTCTCCGAGAACAACAGGTCCACGAGCTGACGGAACGGTCGAGGCGCCTGCGAAGCCAGAGCATTCCTGCCCACCTCGGTGGTGCTCAGCGCTACAAAGCAACGGAGCAGCTCGTGAAGCAGCATATCGTCGTGCTGCTCCTCCCTCCACTCCATCGCCAGCAGCTCATCGAGCCGTGTCAACATGGCATCATACCCACCGCACTCCGGCGCGATGAAGGTCGTAATCCAAGCTGGCGATTCTGCCGCCAAGACAGCGCGCATCCTCTTGACGCGCGCTACGTCGATCCTGCTCGCATCTGTGCACTTCAACATGGTGGCAAAGCTCTCCGGCGTTTCCTTGCCGAAGGAAGCGGCGAACTCTTTGCCAAACGACATGGATCGAGGCCGAGCAGTCGACGCAGCACTGCCGATACCGCCAGCGGACGAAGCAGCGAGAGAGATGAGCGAACCTCCCGGACCAAGGTTGGGAGTAGACCTCTTGAAGGCATCGCGGATGGCACTTCGGGATGTGTTGGAAGGCTGTTTAGCGTGACCACCGGAGCTCGAGGAGCCAGAATCGACCGAACTGGAAGAAACCTGTCGAGGGGGCCCGATTCCAAACAGCTGGGCTGTGTTGGGGGGCGCCATCAGCTCGGCAGAGTCGTTCGAGTTGTTCAAAGTGGAAGGTTGATCGAGCAAGGGAGAGCTTGTGTAGACGGTCGAGTTCGGACGGCTTGCAGATCGTCCCTTCAAGAGATCCGGGATGGGCATGCGAGTCGACTTTGTAGGTGAAGAGGACATCGCGGAAGAAGAAGCGTCGTTGATGCCGAACGCTGCCAGACTCAGCGAAGCTTGACCCTGGAGCATGTTGGCCTTGACGGTAGAGTTGAGGCCGAGAAGCCTTTGTCGCATCTCTGGCTGCACCTGAAGTTCGTCGAGGAGATCGAGAAAGTCGGCATCGATCTGCTCAGGTGTACGTGTAGCAGCATATTGCTGAGCTCCACGGGAGGAAGCTTGAGAGTTGAGTGTATCGGTCTTGTCCTTGCCGAACAGTCTGCTACGACTGCGACTGCGACTACGTAGACCCTTCTTCGGACTGAAAGACGAGCTGAGCTTGGATCGAGAAGCTCTGTCCGTGTCTTCCGGAGAGTTGCCTCGAAGACGATACTTGGCATCTATGACGATCGGCTGTGCTGCAGCGGAGGCGGATCCTGCCAACTTTGCGGCATCGTATTGCTGCCGTCCTCGAGGCGAGAGTGGTTCATTTTCCTTGCCAATGTCGACGTCAGAGTGCTGTCTCGAGTATTGACCAGGTCGGATGCGGTTCGAATCGATGGGGGCTGCGATGGCCATGTTGGCGGCCTGAAGCGCCTAACTCGGCTTGCGATAGTATAGATCGAGCTGGATGATGGTCAAGAGGGTGAGTCCGAGAAGAGGAGGTGGTGCAGGGGAGAAGATGTGCTCGCTTGCGTGTTTTTGTGGAGTGCTTCGTTGCCGTGTTGGCTGTCAAGGCCGAAATAGGAAAGGGTCGAAGCAGGGTTTGGCGGCAAGATTGGCGCAGAACAAGCTTTGCTTGCATGAGACGTGAACAATGCGTAAGAGCAATGACTCTGTAGAGGACAAGTGTCTCGGGCCAAGTTGGACAGGGAGTGCCGCTGACCATCAAGGTCACACTGAAATTCTACTCTATCAACAAAAACGACGTGTTGGCGCGACAGTGCATCACGTGCAATTTGCCGTGCACCTTCCGACCACTGTATTGGCTTTGGCAACGGTCGCACGTTCGCTTTCTTGACAGATAGACATCATATGAGCAGGATGGACTCGTCGAGCTCTCGCTCAAGGCAAGGCAAGGGAAGGGATACTATATGACGATTCGGTTGCCAGATCGCAAGACGGAAGCTCATTGTGTTACACCGTTTCAAACAGACATGTCCAAATCGGTAAAAGATACAAGCCACGTGCAGCTTCGCGTCTGAGCGGCAAAATGGCGCCCGTCAAGTCCAAGAGTGCCAAAAGGTGGAGTTTGACTCAACATCAACACTCACTGCTCAACTGCCTCGTACAGCTGCACCTCTACTTTGTCCTGCTTCGATCCTGCAGTCTTCTGCTCCGATCGGCTGGTCGACGCTTGCAATGCCTCGCTCGAGAGCCAGGATGGCTTGACGAATCGACTTGTCGCAACTGACACTCGGTTTCGGGGTTGACAGATACTTCTACTGCGCTACCACACCATCCTGCCTCTTGTGATCCATCCCTCCATTCGCCCACTACTGTTCATCCACTGTGTCCAAGAACTGTAAATCCTCCCCATCCGATCTCATATCGCTCTTCTTTGCATTCTGCAAGCCTAGCCACTGTGGCTATTGCAACTCCGTCAGCGTTTCATCGCGACTCCAGGCCCACAATCCAGAGCCACCCACGGCTGCAGTCTCTGTAGCACATACGAATCCCTCTCAGCGACAGCCAGTCTGCTGCTGAGCCCAAACCCATCCAGGAAACAAGCATCACACGAGCTCATCCCTTGTACCGTACCATGTTTCGCTTCCGAACCTCGACTTCATCTCCCTCATCTCCCCTCTGCACGCCTCGCAAGACCTCCCACTCGGGTCTCGTCTCGAGCGCTTCGACTTCATCCGAATTATCCACCGCGAGCTCTGTTCCCTCGAGTGCCAGCAGCAACAGTGTCCTGTCGCTCCTGCAGGCTCGCTCCTCTGTATCCGCTTCGTCCTCTCTCGCATCCGCCCTCTCCCCGGCTACCTCTTTTGCCTCTTTGCCGTCTGAACCCTTTCTCACGGCAGAGCCCTGTCCCACCTCGGTGCTGTCCGCTCATACCTCGGAGCCCAAGAAAGCAACCGCGAGTCCCGCACGACCCTCCACTTCCTCTCGCAACCGCAACGCTCTGCTTGTCACTTCTCCACGTACCTCGAAAGCTACCACCACAATCACCGTCCGTCCCTGTATCACTACGGCAAGCCGCCGCTCCACCATCTCGCCAGCAACGACAGAGCATCGCAGCTCGAACACAACCACAATGGCCAAGAAGGCCAAGGTTGGCTCAGCCGCCAAATCCTCACCATTTACCAAGCTCGCAGCGACCGAAAAGACAGCCGCCGACTCGACGACAGCGATCAACGATGTAGAGTCCAGCCTGGCGACCGTCGCCGAAGATGAGGTCGCTGCATCGAGTGTTGACGCCGTCAGGCCCGCAGTCAAAGCAGCAGATGCATCCTCCTCCTCGTCATCAGATTCGAAACAGAACGTTGTGGTCTGTGTGCGAATGCGTCCATCCCGCTCATCTGACTCGGACCCAGCCGTCTGGTCCTGCGATTCTCTCAAAAGTCAAATCACACCCACCGAGCACCACCCAGCCATCGCCAAACGAACCACATCATCCGAACGTGCCGGTGCCGTACCAACTACACATTCGTTGCCCTCATCTCACGATCTCGCCTCCTCAGAAGACCCTTCTTCATCCACATACCACTTTCAGTTCGACAAACTCATCATCGGCTCCCAAACCACCGACGACATGTACCACTCTCACATCGCTCCCGTCGTCCGTGCTGCCATGGAAGGGTACAACGGAACGGTATTTGCGTACGGTCAGACTGGAAGTGGTAAAACGCACACCATGTCTGGAAGTGGTAGCGAGCCGGGAGTCATCCCGAGGGCGGTGGAGCAGGTATTCCAGATGATCAAAGATGAACCTGATCGCGAGTACTTGCTGCGCGTCAGCTATTTGGAGATCTACAACGAGACGCTCAAAGACTTGCTAGCTCCACTTCCCACGCTGGCGGGCTCGAGCGGTGCGACGTTGCAGACGACCGATCGACCAGCTTCACCCATCAAAGGCGGCCCTTCGGGCTCCTCTTCGACACTTCGAATCATCGAAGATCAGAAGTCGAGTAGAGTCATCATCACGGGACTTCGAGAGGAGATCGTCACCGACTCCGAAACTGTTTTGTCTCTCATTCAACGGGGTCAGGATGAACGACACGTCGGTGCAACAGACTGGAACGAACGATCATCACGTTCCCACTGCGTGTTCCAGCTCACCATCGAATCACGTTCCCGCACCTTAACGGAGGGGAAAGAGGTTCGAATCAGTCAACTCAACCTCATCGATCTCGCAGGAAGCGAACGTGCAGCCTCGCAAGCAGAGAGACGCAAAGAAGGTGCTTTCATCAACAAATCCCTCCTCACGCTCGGAACGGTCATCGGAAAACTCACAGAACCTTCCGAAACCGGTACCGGCGACGCACACATTCCATATCGCGATTCCAAGTTGACCCGAATCCTACAAACTTCCCTCTCCGGAAACGCGCGGATCGCAGTGATCTGCACCCTCAGCCCCGATATGGAACACGCCAACGAGACGCTGTCGACGTTGAAGTTCGGCAAGAGGTGCAAGTTGGTCGTCACGACGGCAAAGAAGGGCATGGAGAGGGACGATAAAGCGTTGCTGCAAAAGTACAGGAAGGAGCTGGATGCATTGAGAGCAAAGTTGGAGGCGAACGGTACGAGTCCTACCCTCGGGGCGGGGTCGATGGAGGTATCGAAGGAGTCGCAGCAGAAATTGGACGAGCTCAACCAGCAGAAAGAGGCAGCGAAGAAGGAGGTGGAGGATATGCAGAAGAAGCGGAGCGATCTCAAGGGGCAGATCGAACACCTGACGAAGCTCATCCTGACGAGTCAGAGCGTCGCCTCTGACGACGCTGCGGCAGCAGGTCCAAGTACGCCACTTCGCAAAAGTGCGCACGCTTCAGCGTTGGCACGTCGAGGTCCCAGAATGAGCGATTTTGGCGGCTCCGCATTCAACAGCCCTGTCACGAGCGGTCCTCTCTTCTCCACCGACTCGACGCTGAGCGGCGCCAAGCCGTTCGAACTGGAAGCGGAGCTCGCTGCGCTCCGTCGACAGCTACGCCAACAAGTCGAATCGCGCACCACCCTCATCGCAGAGCACACCGCCGAGCTGGCCGCACGAGATGCGCGCCAAGCCGAACTGCAGGATGCCATCAAGCTCAACGAAGAAGAACTCGACGAGGCAGAGGTGGCATACGACAAGCTCAAGGCCGAACGAGACGAAGCGCGAAGCATCGCACTCAAGGAGCAGGACAAGGCGAGGGAGAACCGCAAAAAATTGCTCGAGGAACAGGAGGCGAATCGATTGCTCAAGCTGGTGGCGAAGGCGAGGGCTGGTGAGGAGGATAAAGCGTTGCAGGCGCAGATCGAAAAGTTGAGGGCGGAGTTGAGCGCGAAAGAGGAGCAGGCGGAACAAGTGAAGAGGAGGCTGGAGGAGGAAGTGAGAGAAGCTAGAAAGTTGATTGCGGAGGAACAAGCTGCGAGGGCAAAGGCGGAGGAAGAGGTGGGTGAGGTGAAAGAGGCGAAACAGGCTCTGCAAGTCGAACTGGACCAGGCCATGGCTTCCGTGTCCGAGTTGAAGGAGAAGCATTCCTCGCCTTCAAACGACGATGACGATGACGACGACGTCAACACCGAGTTCCAAAACCTCGTTCGGCGCGCATCCCAACCGCGCCTCGACCTCACCGCCGAGCTCAAGCTCCGCGAATCCGAGCTGCAAGACCGCCAAGCCCAGCTCGACCATCTCCGCACCGAACTCGAACAAACGCGTCTCGAACTGGCATCCAAACCAGACTCCACCCGAGAACTCGCTTCCCTCCGGGACGAACTCGGTCAATCCGAAGAAGAGCGTCGTTGCTTGCAGGTCGAGCTGGCCAAACTCCGCGCCACCGCCTCTGGTCGCGAACAAGATTCGCAAAAGGTATCGTTGCTCGAAGGGGAGCTATCGCGAGCCAACGAAAAGATCGCCGAGTTGGAGAAGGAGGTGGTGGCAGAGAAGGCGAAGGCTGCGGAAGCGATGAAGAAGGCTGTGGTTCGACCGCTGCCTGTGCCGCAAGGTGCGCAGGCGGGATCGGTGCCCAATTCGCCCATCAAGACCCTTGCTGGCGGATCGAAGCTGCGTCCCGGTGCGACGACTCCCCTCAGCTCGGGAAGCCTCAACCGAGCAGGATCCGTCAAGGAATATCGACGCTACCAGGCAGGCACCGACACCTCTTCCCCCACCCCGCCTTCGCCCAGTCCTGCCTCCGGTTCGCGCAGCGTCATCCTCGGCCACACGTCGACCTTCTCCTCCTCCTCCAGTCCCGCTTCGCGGAACGCACTCCTCACCACCGCTTCCTCCACCGCAGCGCTATCCAACAAGGCCGAACGTGAAGAGATCGATCGTCTCAACGCCGTGATCGCCTCGCAACGCGCCATCATGTCCGACCTGGAGAAATCGGTGGCGTCGTGGAAGGAGAGGATGAAGACGCAAGCCGAACTCATCCACAAACTTGTCCTCCAAAACAGCAACTCTCCTCCCACGTCCGATGGTGAAGTTGAAGAAGCGGTTCCCACCACACCACGTAGGAAAATCGCCTTCGCTCCTGCTGTGGAAGTACAGCATTCACTACCCCGAACAACCCACCTCTCCCTCGCGCACCCCGACGCTCCGTACTACGGCGCCCACACCTTCAATCGTCCCCCCTCATCCATTTCTCCGGTCAAACCACTGTCGAACAACTTCACCTCCAACACCTGGTCTTCCTCCTCCTCCTCCCCGCACCCACTACCGATTCCAACAACGATTGATTCCTCCCCCTCCAAACGCAAGCCGCGCAAGACCATCGAGATGGACCTCAAACTCCTCAACAGCAGCCCACGCGTCGAATCGAGCAAGAACAGGTTCACCGTCGACGATCGTGCACCCGACACTCCTACCAGGAGAAGAACCAATGCTTCCGCTTACTACATCTAGTCTGTTTTTTTGCAACTCTCGAGAACATTTTTTTTTTTTTTTTTTTTTTTTTTTTTTTTTT